GAAAGGCGTTGATCGGTGCCGTCGCGACGAATCACCTTTCGACGAATCACCTTTCGACGCACGTGTCGAATCACCCGTGACATCGCGATCGCGACATCGATCGACGGCCGACGCGCGCGCGCGCGGCGTCGATGGCGCGCGCTCGACCTCGGGGCCACGCCCTCGCGGTCGCGGTCGCGGTGACCGCGGCGCTCGCGCGCGCGGTGGGGGGCATTCGCGTCGATCGCATCGGGAGCAGAGACATCGCGCGAGGACGCATCGGTGATGCGCGCGTCGTCGCCTCGCTCGGCGGGCGCGCGGTGACGGTGAGCGACGACGCGATCGCGAGCGTCTCGCTCGTCGATGGCGCGCGGGCGTGGCGCGTGACGGCGGATGATGGGGAGGGGTTTGAGGGATTCGCGATGGACGCGGCGCGCGGACGCGGCGGCGCGGCGAGCGGACGCGCGGCGCGGATGATGGACGTCGTGAGGGGTGGAACCACGACGTGGGAGGACGTCGTGGACGTGGGGGGGGGTGTGGAACGGGCGAACGGGGGGGCGGACGTGGAGATGACGCGGGAGACGTCGACGTATCTCTCGCGCGGGGCGGTGGCGGCGTTCGATTCGGCGTCGGGCGAAACGAAATGGCGCGCGGATCTCACGAGCGCGGTGTCGAGCGCGGGAATGGGCGTGCGTTGGGAACGCGTGTTTTATGGGTCGTGCGGGGGGACGAAGGGATCGACGTGCGCGTTCGTTCTGGGGAGGGACGTCGAGCTCGGGACGCCGTGCGCGGCGGAATTGGACGCGAGCGACGGCGGCGTCGTCGGCGCCAAGTGCGCGGCGAATAAGTGGGCGTTGGCGGAGGATTCTCCGTTTGTCATCACGCGCGAAGTGGGGAGCTCGAAGACGCCGCGCGCGTTGATGATGACGCGCGATGGGGGGTTAGCGATGGCGGATGTGGGCGCGTTGGCGACTCGCGGGAAAGGCGTGTCCGCGGCGAGCGTTCCGGGCGCGATCGGCAGCCGTGTGACTTCCATCGAGGATGTGATCGGAATCGACGTTCTCTCGCGTGACGCCGCGATGTCGATCGGTGGCGTCGTCGTTCGTTACGCCGACGGTTCGAGCGCGCTCGTGAAGACGGATGTCGCGAAGGGCGCTTTAGAAATCGTCGTCTCGCACGACAACACCGACGACTCCCGAACGACGTATTCGCCGCTCGTGAGTTCGGGTGAGAAGTCAGTCGTCGTTGTCGTGCGATCGACGTCTCTCGGCAATGGCGTGATGCGGTACAAACACGTCGCCGTGACCGTGAGCAGTGGTGTGTCGAGCGTTTTGGGTGTCACGACTCGCGGCGATCATCTTAAACGCTCGTCGCCGCTTCGCCGAGCCTTCGCGATACCGCGCGGAGCGAGCGGTTGGGCGACGATCTTGGTCGACGAAGATGCGACGATGAGCTTTCACGAAGGCGACGTCGTCGTCTGGACGCGAGAGGAGGCGTCGAGCCAGGCTGAACACGTCGTGTTCGGTTCGCTCCCTGTGGATGAATCGGTTTACGGCGAGACAGGCGCGACGGAGAGTTTATCCTTGTCCGAGCGCTTGGAGCTTCAAAAGCTCATGCTCAAGGCACGTTTCCAACGAGTAAACAAAGCCGAGATGAAGCGTCTCGCAGAGCTGCGCTCTCGTGCGGGCAACAGGAATCTTGCGCGCAGAGACGTAAATGGATTCCGCAAGTCAATCCTGGCTCTCTCCCCGCGAGGCTCCCTCGTCGCGATGCACAACGGTGACGGGCGAACGCTCTGGCGTCAGTACTTTGGTGGTGAGGGTTTCGGGAAGTTTGTTCGTTTGATGGCGTGGAGACCGCTTAGCGGAGACGAAAGCGTGGAGTACGCGCTTGCGCTCGCGACGACGGCGGATTCCTCCACGTTTGTAGTCGTCAACCAGTACACCGGAGACATTTTCGGTGAGCCCGTTACGGTGCGAACGCGAGCGGCACACGTGTTACCCATCAAGACTTCTGGTGGTAGAGACGCCCTAATCGTCGTGGACGGTGAGGGGAAAACGGGCTTGTACCCAGAGGCCACGCGCGCCGAAGTCGCCGTCGGTCTCCATCGATTGTCCTATTACACCATCGATCGAAACGCCAACGAGGTTCGTGGATACAAACTGATCGATGAATCTGGATCGTTCGACTCCTTACACGCATGGACGGTGTCGTTCCCGTCGGACACGGGATCGATCGTCGGCGTCGCCGCCAAACCTCCGAGTGGAGAAAACGTGCACTCGTGGACGCGCATCCCGGGCGATCGATCGACGCTCTTCAAATATCTCAACCCGAACGTCGTCTTCGTCGCCACGAGCGACGGTGCGTCCGTACGCGTGACCTTACTCGATGGTGTCACTGGTAGGATTCTCTACCGCGTTCGTCACGGTGACGCACGCGGTCCAGTGCACGCCGTGGCGTACGAAAACTGGGTAACGTATCACTACTTCAACACCAGGGCGCGACGATACGCGATGAGCGTGCTCGAGATGTTCGACGACGGCGACGACAGGCGCAGATTGGAGGTGAAAAAACTCGTGTATGATGCCATCGTCGGACGCGAACGCAACGAGACGTCGAGCTCGCACTCGCCGCCGCCTTTGCGCGTCATCGGACAGAGCTACTTCATTCGTCCCGAGGCCAAGGTGCTCGCGGTGACGCGCTCGGCGCGAGGCATCACCGAGCCCGCGATTCTCATCGGCACCGCGAGCGATCAGGTGATCTCGCTGGATAAGAGATTTTTGGACCCGCGAAGACCGACCAAACCCACCGCGGCTGACAACGAGGAGGGATTGATCCCGTACGCCGAGGTGCTTCCGATTTTCCCGCAGAGTTGGATCACACATCGCGAAGTCGTCAAGCGCTTGCGAGGCATCATCACCGCCCCCGCGGACCTGGAGTCAAACGTTCACGTCTTCGCGTACGGCCTGGATATGTTCTACGCCAGAATCACCCCCAGCGCGTCCTTCGACGCCCTGGACGACGACTTCAATTTCGCCCTCCTCTCCGTCACCCTCATCGCCCTCGTCGTCGGCGCCGTCGTCTCCAAGCGCGCCGCCGACGCCGCCGAGGAAAACCGCGCCTGGCGTTGATCCGAGTGTCATTCTATCGAATTCATCCTCAACGCACGCCTCGCTCGATCGTTCCATTCGCCCGTGCGCCAACCGATTCGTCTCACGTCCGCGTCCTTCGCCGACCCGCGGCGCGCGGCTCGCCCTCCAAACCCTCTCCACAAGATTTTCGTCACATTTCCCTCATTCCGCGCCGCGTTCGTCCACGCACGCGCGCTCGCGCGGTTTCCGAACGCGCCGCACGCTCGCGCGCGTCGAATCGACCCGTCGAGAGGTCGCGTGACGTCCACGGCGTCGTCGTGATTGAAGTTTTCCGTCGAGATCTCTCGAGCGGCGACGGGACGATCTCGATTCGCGATCGTCGTCGTTCGCACTCGTCGCGCGCGCGCTCGGGTCGGGGGACTTGGACGGCGACGCGATGTCGGATGTCGATGAGGCGGGGACGGCGCCCGCGTCGATGGACGACGTCGCCGTGATGGAGGGCGCGGGAACGGAGCCGACGGAGCGGGAGGCGCGCGCGGACGACGGGCGGGCGGAGGCTGCGAAGGAGGAAGAAACGGGCGCGGATGAGGGCGCGGAGGACGATTCCGAAGATGAAGACGATGGAATTCGTCGTCGACGACGGAAGCGGACGATGACGCTCGATGAGGAGGATTACGAGCTCCTGGAGGACAATCAAGTGTCCGGGTTCAAAAGGAAAGAGAAGAAGAAACGTCTGCAGACGGCGGCCGAACGCGAGGGCGGCGCGGCGAAGCCGGCGGGAACGATCGCAGATCTCGAACGCGGGTTGTTCGGGGACGAAGACGATGACACGGCGGCGCCGGCGGAGGCGGGCGCGACGGAGGCGGGCGCGGAGGAGGCGAAGCCCGAGGCGGCGGCGAAGGAGGCCGAGCGAGCGGCGTTCGGGTACAGCGACAGCGAGGATGAGATGGACGATTTTATCGTCCGGGACGAGACGGACGGACCGAGAGAGTCCAGGGAGGAGCGTCAACGAAGGCTGGCTTCGGGCATTCCCGGGTTGCGTCGCGATCAGCTGCAAGACGCCGCGGATCTCTTTGGGGACACGGATGAATTACATCGCCTGTTTGCGAGTCGCGCTCGAGGTGGTGGGTCTCAAGAAGCGTCAATCGAAGAACAGGAGGAGGAGAGCGACGAGGACGAAGAGGATGAGATGGATGACTTCCTCGAAAGGGACGATGCCACGCAGGAGGATTACGAGCGAGCGAGAGCAGCGACCGCAGCGAAGAAAGCAGCCAAAGCGGCTCGCAAGAGCGCTCGAAAGTCCGTCGGCCGTGATGATTTGATATATCAGTCGTTTGAACCGTCCGTTGTGAAGGAGCAGATGCTCACAGCGAGTGACGACGCAATTCGCACGACAGACTTACCAGAGCGTCACCAACTCAAGCCTCGACCCGCAAACGCGCCGAGAGATTGGGGCGTGGAAGCGGCTTGGATTTATGATCGTATCATGGGCCGAGACTCGCTTCAGCAGCAACCGACGCAAGCTGGATACACTTTGCTGTACGGCTGGCTTGACTACGAGAGTGAAGTTGCGCATCAACAACGTGAAGCGGCCATTCAAGCGCAGAGCAACACTCTGCCCCCAGAGGAGGAAGAAGAAGTCATCAAGTGCATTGCGTACTTCCTCAGTATGACTTTCGATGAGAACCTGGAGATGCCGTACATTGTGTCACAGCAACGCGACGACATCATGTTGCTATTGCGCTCTTCGCGAGCGGAAGAAGCACGACCGCCGATGACGGCGGAAGGAGATGGTTACAAGCGCGTGCTCAGACGTTTTGAGATTCTTCATGCTGTCTTGGAGTGGGATGATCGTTATGTGCGCCTGGAAGTCCGAAAGGCCAGAGTGGCGGGTACGTTTGCTAAGCTTGCAAGCGAGCACGGGGAGGGTGAATTGGGAACCATCGCTCGTCAGTGCATGGATTTGGTTAACGATGCCTTCTTGGAGCGACACGTGGACGACGCTGAAGTAAAGACGAACCTGTTCTTCACCACGATCGACGGATCGAAACTTCGCAGGCCGACCCGAAAGTCGCAGTACGACAACCATGTGAAACGAGGCATTCGGGATCTCGTCAACATGTCTGGTCCGATCGCTTCGACGTTTGGAGAAGACTTGAAGAACGGCATTTCGAGCGACTTACTCGCAAATTTGCCGCCCGAAGAAGTGGCCAAGGTATACTTTGACCAAGGTTATGCGAACGTGGATGAAGTGATACAAGCGTTCGTCAACGTGGCGGCGACAGAAATCGGTGCAGAACCGGAGGTCCGCCGCTGGTTCCGCGATGAATACTGGGGCAACGCTATTATCAGTACGCACCCGACGCCGGAAGGCAGCGACGTCGTCGATCCGTGGCATCCGATCGCTTCCGTCAAGCGTTTGTCCAGAATGCCAGTGTACTATCTCACTGGCGCTCAGTTCGCGCAGATTGTCGAGGGTAAGCGTCGAGGCTTGCTCGTCGTCGACATTGGTCTCGCGAAAGAGCGTGAACAAAACGTGTTGCAACGCATGGAGCAGGCCTATCTGAGCGAGGCGCAGAGCGATCTCGCCACTGCTTGGAATGACGTGCGACGCCGAGTGATTCGCGCTGCTTACGAAGAAAACTTAAAACCGTCTCTGGAGCGCGAGACCTTGACACAACTCGGTCTCGACGCTCGAGACGCGCTCATGAACGTATGCGCCGACACTATCTGGGCGTACATGTCCTACGCTCCGTGGCGACCGCCGAATACAGAAGAGTTCGACATGGAGGTGCGCATTGTCGCCGCTGTCTCGGGCTTGCCTGCGACATTTGTCGCGCTCGATACGTCCGGCGAGCTGGTTGATTTCATCGAGTGCCACACTCTCGGTCGTAACATTGGGAACGGAGGCGCGCAAATGAGCAACCAGCAAGATGAAATCCAGGCGCTCATGGATTTTGTTGTGCGCCACCGCCCACACATGTGCTGCGTCGGTGCGAGTGGTATGGACTCTAAGCGAGTGAAGGAGGCGCTCAACCTTGTCGTCGGTCGCATCATTGAAGAACAGCCGCGTGCCATTCCAGAAGAAGTTTCGGAGATCGCGGTACTCCTCGTTGACGACGGCATCGCCAAGTTGTGCGAGACAGCGAAGGAACCAAAGGCTGAAATGCCGGAACATCAGCCGTCGATTCTGCGCGCAGTCGCCCTGGGACGAGGTCTTCTTAACCCAGCTGCAGTCGTCGCAAGTCTTGTTAGCGGGGGTGAGATCGCCTCGCTTCGTATGGCCGACTTGCAAGACTCCGTGCTAGGCAAGGAGGAGCGCGTCGCCATCGTCGAGCGACAACTCGTGAGCGTGGTGAACCAAATCGGTGTCGACATTAACATGGCGAGTTCGCATCCGTGGATGAGCGTTCTAGTTCGATACCTCGGTGGTCTCGGTCCGAGAAAAGCAACGGGTGTGATCAGCGCCGTCCGCTCGTTGGAGGGTGGCGTCGTGGACTCTCGCGAGCAACTCAGAGCTTCCATGGGCGACGTTGTCTTCAGAAACGCGGCTGCCTTCTTGCGAGTGACTGATGCCGACCTGCTTGACTCCACGCGCTGCCACCCGGAGCACTACGATGAAGCGAAGGCGATCGTGGTCAACGCCCTGGAGATCGAGGAACAACTCGGATCCCTGGAGCACTACGAGCAAGAGCGCATGCTGGCGAAGGTGTTCGATCCGAAAACGTGGGAGCTCAAGGTGGCGCCCCTCATCCTTGAAGAGTATGCCGAGTTCCTCCAATCCGAAGAAGGTGGAAGCAAAGGTAAGTGCTTAGAAGTGCTTCGAGAGATTCGTGCCGAGTTCAGATATCCGTTCGAGGACCTCCGCCCGGCTTGGACGCCTCTGTCTGCCGAGGACGAATTCGCGCTCCTCACCGGCGAGACTGTGCATACGTTGGCTTCGGGTAAAATCATTCAGTGCACTGTGAAGAAGATTGAAGGCCCGCGTGACGGTAGAGGAGCGCGTGCGGTATGCGTTCTCGACAGTGGCGTGACTGGTTACGTGGAGAAGTACGACTTGAGCGACGACCAGTACTTTGAGCGAATCGAAGAGAAGGTACAACCTGGACAAGTCATCACCGCTCGTGTCAAGGCGAACGGCGTCGACGTGTATGGCTTCACCGTCCAACTCGCGTGTGCGTCTCAAGTTTTACATCCGAATGAAACCGCTCAGTGGGAGGCGCACATACATTGCAACCCGGACACGAATCCGTACTACATCATGGACAAACAACCGGGCGAGCTTCGACAGAAGAAGGCGGCTTCAAAGAAGACGAAGAAACTCAAATTCGTGCCGAGAAAGATCGATCACCCAAACTTCCAGAATGTCGACCACGAAGAGGCTGAGAAAAAGCTCGAGACTGCAGATATTGGCGACGTCATTATTCGTCCGAGCGGTAAGACGACGAAGAACATCTGCGCCACCTTTAAGACGTACGATGGCGTGTGTGCCCACGTGATCATTAAGGAAACGAAGAAAAGCGGCGTGGCCAACCTCGGTCTCGGCACCCCGCTCATTATTGAAGAGGAAGAGTACGAAGACTTGGACGAAGTCATGGCGCGACACATCGAACCGATCGTTTCCCACGTCAAGCACATGCTCAAGCACAGAAAGTTTATGCGAGGCGACAAGCACGAGATCGACGCGGCACTGCAGCAACAACTCGCGCGCAATCCCAGCGTTCGTCCGTACGCCCTCGGCGTCGTGCATCCCCCGCTCAATAAGGGTGCACCGGCGTTCTGTATCTCTTTCATTATGAGCTCCAGCGGCAGAGTGCACCACGAGCCTATCATGGCGATTCCGACTGGATTCAGATATCGCAAGATGGAATTCCCGTCTGTCGATCGATTGTTGGCCTACTTCAAGGTGAACTGCTCCAAGCCCCCGCCCGGGAGGGAGGTCGATAACGGTGGGTGGAATTAAACACAAAGCGAGGACGCCCGCGTAGGCGTTCACGCGAAACAACGACACCAACATTAGTAGAAAACCAAAAAGATTGAAATCAAACGCGCGACGTTTTAGCATCGCCGCCGCCGCGCCGCCAGCCCCAACCACAGTTGTCGACGCCCGACGCGACGCACTCGAGTGCGTCAACGATCGCATCGCGCTCACACATCGACGTCATGAGCGCTCCCGACTTTGATCGATTCGCGTACGATTCGCAAGACTTTGAGGACTACCACGCGCTCGCGCGCGGCTGTGACGGTTGGGATCGCGCAGCGCGCGCGCTCGACGCGTTCGAGTACGACGACGACGACGGAGCGCTTCCAGGGTTTGACAACCTCTTTGCCACGCAGTGCAACGCGCGCGGGGAAGCGCTGCGACGAATCGAAGCCATGGCGCGTGCGTTCGTAGAGGATGTGCTGTTCGGTGCGTCGGACGCGCGCGCGGCCGATTCGATCGAGAATGCGCCTGCGACCAAAAGCGGGTCCGTCGGCGTCTCGGTCGGCGCGGCGTATGAGGGTGACGGCACGACGTTCGAGCGATTTTGGGACGTCGCAGACGTCCTCGCGCGAGGGTTGCGGCGATCTAACTGCGAATCGTCAATGACGTTACGAGAGTTGTACTATGTCATGAACGCTCGATCGGCGCCAAAGCGAACGAGCGAGAAACAGTTACAGGCGACGATTCGAAAACTGTCCCTCGCCCTGAGCGCGCCGCGATGCGCGCTAGGAATCATCGCAACGTCAAAGGGGATGGTGTGTGGACGGTGTCACATCGAGACGGCGAGCGGACAGCGATTTGACTGCACCGCCGAAGGGTGGCCCATCTCTGGCGACTTGTTCGAGCTCGACGCGTGTTCCATCCACAGCGACGCCGCGTACGTCATCGTCGTCGAAAAAGACGCCGTTTTCAACAAGTTGTGCGCTGAACGAATATATGAGTACCTTCCGTGCGTGCTCATCACGGCAAAGGGCTATCCCGACGTCGCAACAAGAAAGTTTCTGTGGCTTCTTGAGACTGTGCTCGAGGGATCCGGCGCCAAATTTTTTGGACTGGTGGATTGGAATCCACACGGTGCCTGGATTCTCGCCACGTACTCCTCCGGTAGCAAAAGAAGCTCCATCGACGCCGCGGAGTTCGTCGTTCCGCTCACGTGGATAGGCTTGCGTTCGGAAGATTTACGTGATGTCGCGGCGGACGCGATGCAAGATTTGACGACGCGAGACGCTGCGCTGATTCGAAACGCGCTCGAGGGCGACGACGCGCACCCGCTTTGCTCGTTCCGCGAAGAGTTACGAATAATGCACGATGTCGGGAAAAAGGCTGACATCGAAGCGCTCTACGCGGGACGTTCGGATGATTTCTTTCTCACTGACTACGTTTCGAAGAAAATCGCTGCGCGAGAAGTGTGACTGCGTGATCGATCAATAATCGTATTAAATGGTTCGTTAAATCAAATCAGGACCTTCTCGGAGATGTTCTCTCTCGTTGCATCGCGTGCGCTACTACTCATTATCGTACTTTGTTATATCAGTTTTCCTCATCGAGATTATCCACGGAGAGCGGCGACTCATCGGTGGCGTCTTGGTACGCGCGCGCGGCGATATCCGCCAGCTCTCCGCCGCAAAGTTCCAAAATTTCACGCCACAGCGGTTTTGGGAGCTGAATCACTTGCTTGAGCGACAGTTCTTTCGCCGCGGCGATTGGATACCACACACCGCGCTCGCACTCGCTCTCCAACTGCCCCGGCGCCCATCCGCAGTAGCGGGCAAAAAACTTGAACTCATCCGGGTGACACGTCGACCCGTCCTGTTGCACCAACTCGCACGCGCTCTCGTAACCGCCGAGGTAAACCCCGGGAAGGACCTCCACGCTCCCTTTCACATCCTCCCGCCCGTGCAAAAAGCTCACCGTACCGTCGCCGACGTCACCACCGAAATACAACGCGTTCTCCGCGAACGGTCCGCTCGGCTCGCCGCTGACGTACCCCATGTTATACTGCGTCGGTCGATTCAAGATGATCCCCATCGACCCGTTCTCGTGGTGTTCGAGCACCAAAATCACAGCTTGATGAAAGTACTGCTGCGACATTCGAAACTCCTGATCGGCGGCGACGAGCAAGCACCCTTTCTCCGGCGCCGCGATGACGTGCGCCCACGGCTTCGCCTGCGCCAACCTCGGGTTCTGCGCCTCCAACACCTTCATATTCTCCTCCGAAATCGCCGACGCGCGCTCCTCGGGCGTCGCCTCGCGCTCACGCGCGAGTAATCGCGCTCGGAATTCCCGCCAATCACTCTCCAACGCCGGCGCCACGTCCTGCGTCGCGAAGCGCGCGCGCCGTCAGTCTCTCGCATCCATCTTTTCACCCCGCCCATCGTCCCACCCTCCCGACTCCCCGAGTCACGTCACGACGCGCGCGCGCGTCACACGCACGTCTCCATCACCGCGCCCGTCCTCCATCGCCCGCGGCCGATCCGTCGCGCGCCATCGTCGCCCGTGCACCGTTCCGCCACGCAAACGTCCGCGCATCCGTCCCGCGCGCGCGCCGTCCACGGTCGTCCGCGTCGCCGCCGCGCGCGCGCGTCCCGGGCGCGCCATCGCGCGCGCCATCGCTCGCGGTCGCCCCTCGCGCGCGCGCGTCCGCGGCGTCGCGCGATGCGCACGACGACGATGCGTCGTCACTCGCGTGTGCACACGCTCCAGGGGTTTCGTGACCACGCGCGCTTTGCACCACCGGTCGACGCGCCTTGCACCACCGGTCGACCGCGCCTTTCACCACCGGTCGACCGCGCCTTTCACCACCGGTCGACCGCGATTTTCGCCACCGGTCGCCGATCGACGCCGATCGACGGGCGTCCCGGGGCGTCGATCACTCGCGCGCGCGCGCCGCCGACGCGGTCGCGTCGCCGATGCCCTTAATCGTCGACCCGCGGTTCGCGCTCACGTCCTCGGACGACGACACCGACGCCGAGGACGCGCCGAGATGTTTCAATTGCGAGACGACGTCGAATCATCTCCTGCTCTGCTCGACGTGTCGGAAAGTGCGGTTTTGTAACGCGGCGTGTCAACGGGCGTCTTGGCGCGCGCACGCGGTGGTGTGCGCGCGAGACGCGACGTCGCGACCGCGCGTGGAGGTGCCGCGACCGCCGAGGATGCCCACGGCGCGCGAACGGGCGGCGGCGGCGGCGACGGCGCGCGAACGGGTGGCGCGCGAGGTTTTACCGAACGCTCGGGACGCGTGCGCGGTGGGCGAGCGGCGAGGGCGGGCGCCGGATGGATTTGACGCGATCGTGGACGCGTTGGAGGACGCGATCGTGTTCGCGATCGAGGACGAGGACGAGGGGTTGACGAACGCGGTGCGCGTGACGCTGGCGAGGGCGTATCTGGTGGACGGAAGACCGGACGAGTGCGCGCACTATTTAGCGCCGGCGCTGGAGCGGGCGCGGAGAGAGGGGGGGGCGGAGAGCGCGATGACGCACGTGCTCGCGGCGCGCGCGCACAAGGTGAAAAATGAGAAGGAGATGTGCCGAAAAGAGCTCACGGCGGCGCTGGAGTGCGCGAGCGAGAACACTGACGAAGGCGAGCAGTGCGCGACGCTTTTGGAGTGCGGAACAATTTTACACGACATCGGCGACTGGGAACGATGTGCGCCTTTGTTGAGCACAGCCGGAGAAGCGGCTGAGCGCTTGGGGAGGAACGCGGACGCGACGCGAGCGTATAATCGTGCGGGATCCGCGCTCCTGAGCTCGGGTCGACCGGATTACGCCTCGAGATGTTGGTTGCGTGAGCTCAAGGTGATGGAGACGGACGCCGCGACTTTGCCCGCGGCGTTGGCGCAGACGCATGGAAATGTTGCGACCGCGTTTTTATTAGCGAGTGGGAGCGAGAGCGACTCGTTCAATCTGCATAAGCAGTTCGCGCTCGGTAAGGCGCGCGAGGCGGGCGCCGAGGAAGAGGCGCGCGTGTGGTTGCAGCTGGGCTCGGCGTACAAGCTGGCGGGCGAGGCACTTGACGACGCTTTGTCGCGGGCGCGAGAATGCTTTGAAAAGGCAAAGGAACTATCAAATGCGCGCGCGGGTGACGTCGCATCGCGCGCGTTAGAGATGCTGACCATCTGATTGGTGGTAGTACTAGCTATTAGCCGACTGTTTTACAAGTCACAAGTGTGCGCAAGGTGACAGCGAAAATCGCGCGCGCGAGACGACGCGAGCTCGATATCGTGGAGCTCGAACGCTCGCGTAAAAGCGCTGTTAGAGTAATATATGTGCTGTAAACGATGGTCCTAACCATCCAAAGCCTGTAAAAATTCGTCGTTGGGGTCGATGGAGAGGTTGAACTCGGTCGAGGCCGACGTTGTCGTGCATCCGTGCTTTGCGGCCCAGTCGCGAACTTCAAAGTTGCCCTCCTCCGTCGATTTTTGAATCGTCCATCCATCCCAAGGGCAACCGTGCTGTCGAAGCCACTTCAAAATATCCAAGTGTCCGCCCATGGCAGCGAACGCGCACGTTCGAGAGTTCCACAAGCACCCGTGTTGACGCGCCCACTTGAGAATGTGAAGGTTTCCCTCCCACGCGCTATACTCGCACGTGTACATGTTCCAAGGGCATCCTCTCGCGCGAGCCCACTGAAGGACGCTCAGGTGACCGCCGAGCGCCGCAAGTGCGCACGTTTGCTCGTCCCACGGCACCTCTTCGGCGCGCAAGTACTCAAGTAACTCGACGTGTCCGCCGTACGCCGCGGCGGCGCACACGCGTTCGTTCACGGGGCACCCCTGCTTGTGCGCCCACTTGAGCACCTCGAGGTGGCCGTGACGCGCCGCCTGCACCGCCGTCATCACATTCCACGGGCAACCTTGCATGCGCAGCCACTTTAACATGTCCAGGTGACCGCCAACCGCGGCCTCTTGGCACGTCCAATCGTGAAGGATACCCCCTTGCGCGTGCAAAAACTTCAAGCAGTCGAGGTGCCCAAAGCGCGCGGCGACGTCGCCCGCCGAGTGCGGCCACGGGCAATCTTGTTCGCGCAACCACTGTAACACGTGCAAGTGACCTCCCTTCGCTGCGTCCCACACCGCCTGCTCGTCCCACTGCTCACCCTCTGCTCGGAGCCACTTGAGCGCCTCCAAGTGCCCGCCCTCCGCGGCGTATTGAATTGCGCTCGAGTGCCAATGATAGTTGTGCCGTTTCAACCACTTCAACACCGCGAGCTGACCGTTCTTCGCCGCCTTTGCGCACACGGCCGATCCCCACGGGCATCCCTCGATTTTGAGCCAGCGTAAAATGTCCAAGTGCCCGCCCCGCGCCGCGCAAATCGGCGTCATGTCGTCCCACGGGCACCCGTGCTCGCGCAACCATTTCAACATTTCAAAGTGTCCATTATTCGCCGCGTTCGCGAACACCGCCGAGTTCAGCGGGCACCCCCTGGCGTGTGCCCACTTCAGTATGTCCAAGAACCCCCCTCTCGCCGCCGCCACGCACGTCTCCGCCGTCCACGGGCACCCGTCCCGGTACCCCCACTCCCCCGGCTTTGGCCCGCTATAGAAACCTTGCTCCCGTAACCACATCAGCGCTTCGATGTTCCCACTCGCCGCCGCCGCTCGACACAATCGCCAATCCCATCCCACGCCCTGTTCCTTCGCCCACTGCAGCATGCTCACGCTCGACATGAATCTCGACACCCGCATCGGGCACACCGGGTCCCGCCCGCTCTCGATGACCGCGTCCAGGCACCCGTGCGACACCCTCGACAGGATGTTACAATCCGTATCGTCCAGGTATTTCATGATGTACTGCTGGAACACATCCGGGAGCATTCCCTGCGACACCAGGCGCTTCGGCATCGCCCCCGTCGTCGTCGCTTTCCCTCGCCGCTCGTCTCGATGCCTTTTTCAACAATCGCTTTTTCGATGCGTCCCGATCGCCTCGGCGCGCGGTCACGCGTCCCGGTCTCCCGCGCGCGGCGAAGACGCGGACGCGCGCGTGGGAATCGGTGCGGTCTCCCGCGCGCGCGTCGCCGCGGGCGTCGAGGCGGAGCGCTCTGGCGCGGAGACGGTCCGAGGGCGGCGCGTCGGAGGGACCCCTCGACGTCCGCGGCGGTGCGTGCGCGTATTCGGACATTCGGCACGTACGCTGTGGGACATAGAGCTATGTAAGCTTAGGTGTATGATATATATGCATGTCGGACACTCGGTCCGTATACGAATGGGGCGCATGGAGATGTGGCACACGTGAGACACCCGTGCGTCGACCGACGCGCGCATCGACCGACGCGCGGCGCCGGTCGACGCCGCGCGCGCGCGAGAGACCCCGCGCGCGCGCGCGAGGGGGTGGACATGGCGGGCGACGCCGACGAAGGGGGGTGGAGCGGCACGAAGGGATATAAACTCGGTGGTCTCTTTTTGTCGCTCGCCGTGCTCTCGATCGCGCTCGCGCGTGGTCTCTCCGCGGCGGCGGCGCACATGGCGCGAAATAAACGAAGCGCGTTGTTGCACGTGTTCGAACACGTCCAGGTGGAGCTGATGTTGCTCGGGATGTTGTCGTTGGTCTTGACGGCGCTTCAGGATGGATTGATGCAAATTTGCGTGACGGAGACGGGGAGCGACGGGACGGATTACTGCCCGAAGGGTGAGGCGCCGTTGTGGTCGTTGACGACGTTGCACCAGACGCATATTTTTATCTTTGTCTTGGCGTGCACGCACGTGATTTACGTGGGAGTGAGCACGGCGGTGTGCTCGTGGAAGCTTCGGCAGTGGCGAAAGTGGGAGACGGAGGGCGAGGCGAAAGTGGGAGCGCTTAATCCGAAGATAAATCCCCGGAACGCCACCGGGTTGGTGAATCTCATGTGGCGCGCGTTCTGGGCGCAGTTTCGGTTCAGCGTGACGAAACCCATGTATCTGTCGTTGCGCAGGTTGTTCCTGGAGCGCACTGGGGCGACGCCGGATTTCAACTTTTACGACTACCTGAGAGAGTCCATGGAGGAGGACATGAGCTCAATCATCGGGATGACGGCGCTCATGTGGTGCATGGCGACTTTGTTCGTCACTCTGCCCGAGGTATTCATGCTCCCGGCCGGTCTGGTGTGCATGGGATTGATGCTCTTTGTTGGGACTTTGCTAGAGAGCGTGGCCCTGCGCCTGGCGCAGGCATCATACGAACGCTTCAACGAAAACTTCCTCTCGGAGGAAGAGGAAGATGACGACATGGACATTCACGTCGAGAAGACAAAGTCGCAGAAGCGTCGAGAGCTGCGAAAGGAGATCGATTCGAAAAACTTCTTCTGGCTAGGCAGACCGCGGCTCATGCTCAAGATTTATCAGTTTGTCCTCTTTGAAAACGCAATCTCGCTCTCTTTGCTGATCTTCAGCCAGTGGCAAGATAAGAAGTGGCTGAGCTCTAACGCTCGAATGGGCGTGGGGCTTGGTTGGGGTTTATTCGCGTTGGACTTCTGTGTGCTGATGCACAGCGCGTTGTTCATCTTGCCGGTTTACGCAATCACCTCCACCGTCGGTTCTCACTGCGCGACGTCTCTGCAAGAGTACGCCGATAAACTGGGCATCACTAAAGAGGCGGCCCTCGCTGCGTATTTGGAGCGCGCAAAGGAAGGAATGAGTTCGGAGGACGCCGCAGAGGTGGCGGCTTACGATTTAACTCTGCTGGAAAAAGACGCTGAGCGTGTCGTGGCGTCGGGAGACTACGACCACGAAGCGATTCCAGAAGCGAAGCTCACGACTCATTTGCACAACGTTGCGCGCGAGAGCGAACATCAGCAAGCAATCACTGGGTGGATGCGCGGCATGAACGCGATCAGGATGCGCGCGGAGCAGCGTCAGTGGTCCATGGGAGGAAGTATGACAAAGCCAGCCAAGTCCAGCAAGAAACACAAGTTACCGTTTACGAAGGACTATTCGCACGAAAACGAAGCTTCGCTGACGGGCCTGCTCGGTGCTGTGCTGTCGAAGAAAATGAAAGAGGAAGTGGCGAAACAAAAGGCCGCAAAGAAGAAGAGAGAAGAGGAAAAAGCGGCTTCTCCGGGAGTCATGAAGTCGCTCGCGCGCACGTTCTCCAAGCAAAACTTGTCTCTGGATCAGCCACCTGCCACTGAGGTCATGGAGGAAATGACGATCAAGCCCCCTGCGAAGTCCTTGACGAGTAGGCCATCGATGCGGGACGTGTTCATGATGAACACGCCGCCACCGAGACATTCTGAAGAAGGCGAAGAAGGCAAACGCTCGCCCTCCAAGGAAGAGCCGATCGACGAAGAAAAATAGACATGGTCAAGCAGAGCGTCCCATTAACACTTAGATTCAGTAGCATTCGGATTGACACAACAACTAGTATTAGAGCATGTAACTTGCTTATGTCCTCTACGGGATGCAGCACGAGACGCATCCTAGACGAGCCGATGAGCATGGGGCAACCTCGCGCCATTTGTCCGCGCGCACATCGTACACTTCCACCGCGGAGATGGCGCTCACGCCGTCGAAGCCACCGATCACGAAGACGGCATCACCGGATGGATCAACCACCGTGGCGTGAAGCTGGCGACGATACTGCATCGAGGATAGCGCGCGCCATCCGCGCGCTGAATCGCGGGGATCGTACGCCTCAACGAGGTTCAGCACGCTTCGCTCGTCGCGGCCACCGGCGGCGAGCAGGAATCCACGCGCGCTTAGACTCGCGATTCCCAAATCGCGACGCTTATGCTTGAGCGGAACGCTTGTGGTCCACGCGTCTGCACGCGGGTCGTACGTCTCGCACAAATCTAATATTTCACCCGCACCGCTGAATCCACCCGCGGCGAACAACTTTCCACCGAGACTGGCGACGCCGAGCGTGGCGCGTCCTTCGCTCATCGGCGCGCACGTCACCCACGAGGATGACGGTTGAGATCCGACGCCGTTCGCGTCGATCGACGCGTCGCCGATGTCGAATGATCCAAACGTTTTGTTCGCCTCCATGGAGTGCAAGTAGTACTCACCGTCGTATCCTCCGCAGGCAAAGGTGACGCCATCGATCATGGTTGAGCCGCACCAGATTCTGGGCACGCTCATTGCATCGACGACTCTCCACCTCCCCACGCTCTCGCGATACTCCTCGACGCTCCTGAGCGCTTCGTTCCCATCACTACCACCGATGACGACGGCGCCGCCGATCGCGGTCGTCGAACACGCCGCGTACGCCCTGGGAGTGTTCAGCGCCGGGAACGGTTTCCACTGGGTGTACCCGTTTGCGTCCGACTCTCCCGGTTTCATGCATTCCACGTCACTCAGCGGTTTGTCGCTTCCCCGCTCGAGACCGCCGATGGACAATATTCGTCCGACAAGTTCAATGCCATCGTAATTCGACGCGCGAGCGGTCTCAGGTGCGACGCCGAGCCCGGCGTTTGTCTCGGCTGTTTTCGTGAGTGACGCGTTCTCCACTGCGCGCGTCAGCGTGTTCACGCGATCTTTCGCCCGTTTCCAACGCGACGTCGGATTCGACCGCGACGCGAGCGCCGGTGTTTCTTCCATCGCCTCGTTCACCCACGCATCGATCTTCGACTTGCCCTGAATCCCGCTTCGCGAAGACGTCGCCTCCGCGCGCTCAAACGCGAGCAAGTCCTCCACGCCGCCGACGTCCCCCCCCAGGCTCTGACTCGCCGCGTACGACAACGACCGCGTCGCCATCGACCCCGACCGAGCGTACCTCTCGTGCACACGCGCTTCCGCCTCCGCGGCGACGACGACACGCTCCACTCGAGCGCGCTCTCTCTCCAACTCGGCCCGCTCGTCCCGAAGTGCGGCGAACGCCCTGGAGAGCTCATCCTCCTGCATCGCTCGTCGCGCGTCGAAATCCCTGCGCTCACGCTCGAGTAAATCCTTACCTCGGAGCACCTCTCGTCGCGTCCGCTCGATCTCATCCAGCGCGGCGTCTCTTTCCGCGTCCAGCTCGCGCAGCAACGCGTCCAGCGCGCGCTCGACGTCCGCCGCGTGCTCGCGCGTCAACGTCTCCAAGCGCTCGTGCGCCGCTCGCACTCTCGGCGGTACCGAGCGGACGTCATCTAAAACCTCCGTGTGCTCATCCGAGCGCTCGGCGTCGCGCGCGCGCCGAGCGTCGACGCGATCGTATTCATTCGCGCGTCCAACGTTCGATGTGCGTCGACGCATGTCGTGTATTTAAACCTCTCGGGCGATCGCGGACGGTTCGACGCGCGCGAACGACGACGCGCGAACGATGTGCGACGAACGCGGCGTCGCGAGACGGACGCGCGTCGACGCGCGTCGCACTGTGCGATTCGTTACTCCAAAAGACGCATGGTGTTTTGATTCAAAAGCCCGACGACGCCGCACACGTCGCCGCGCCGACCGCGGCGCGCGTCCACGGCGCGAGCGCGCGGGCGGAGATGTTCCGCGAATCGGCGCTGTACGGCGTCGCGATCGCGCTGGGGTATTTCTTCCTCTTGGAGCTCTACTGCGACGCGCGAGCGATCGGATCGAAGCAAACAACGAGCTCGCAACGCGATGGTGACGGCGTCGCGCTCGTGAACGCGGTCGGGAACGAGGCGGAAGACGCCGAGAGTGGGCTCGCGCGCGTCGATGATGCCGTGGAGGATGACGTGGACGAGCGAGGACAGAGAAGGAGCACGAGCGGTGGGGCGAGAGGTTTCGCCGCGTGCGCGATGCTCGATCCGATCGCGCTGCGAGAGAACAGACCGGCGATTCAGGCGGCGGCGGAGCTCGGAGTGATCATGTTCTTATTTTGGTTCTGTGATCGAAGCGGTCTGGTGCGAGACGCGAAGAAGGCGTACGATAGGGATCTGTTTCTGGCTGTTTTTGTCGCGCTGGCGGCGTACGGTTGGAAAACGGCGCTGAAGAAAAGTAAGAGCACGAGCGCGCTGCATCGCGAGCAGACAGAGGAGATGAAGGGTTGGATGCAGGTGTTGTTCCTACTGTACCACTACTTCGATGCTGGGGAGATGTATAATTTGATTCGCGTGTTCATCGCGGCGTACGTCTGGATGACGGGGTTTGGGAACTTTTCTTTTTATTACGTCAAGAAGGATTTCAGCGCAACGCGATTCGCGCAGATGATGTGGCGATTAAACTTTTTCGTGTTCGTTACGTGCGCGGTGATGAAGAACGATTACATGCTGTACTACATTTGTCCCTTGCACACGCTATTCACGCTCTTTGTGTTCGGCGCATTGGCGATCGGTCGAGAGAAGAATAGTGATCCGAGGTGGGTTTATGCCAAGTTTGCCTGTTGCTTCCTCCTAAGCGTTACGCTCTGGGAGGTCCCGGGGTTGTTTAAACGCGTGTTCCGGCCGTTCGTGTTCATATTTGGGTACACGAATCCCGCCAAACCGCACGGCGATCCGTTGCACGAGTGGAGGTTTCGATCTGGTTTGGATCGCTACGTTTGGATTTACGGGATGATGTGCGCGTACGTGCACCCGCGATATGAGGCGGTATTGAAGTGGATCGATGATCGCCAATCCACACGGGAGCGGTATATATATCAGGGAGGCATCATTATTGTGGCGTCGATGACGCTTTTGTGGTGGTGGCAAACCTTCATGAAGATGGACAAGTTCGCGTACAACGAGTGGCATCCATACACGAGCTGGATTCCTATCACGGCGTTCATCCTCTTGCGGAATGCGACCAAGGCGTTACGAAAGCATCACATCGAACTGTTCTGCATATGCGGTAAAGTGACGCTGGAGACGTACATCGCGCAATTCCACATATGGCTGAGCACGGCGGGCGTTCCAAACGGACAGCCGAAAGCGCTGATGTCCCTAGTCACCGGGTACCCGCTGTTGAACTTAATATTTTGCTCGTACATCTACGTCGGAATATCGCACCGAATTTTCGATGTCACTAACGTGCTCAAGTCAGTGTGCGTGCCAAAGGAGTCCAGTGACATGGTTCGCGCTGTCACAAACGCCGGGATTTTCATGGGTACAACGTTTGGTCTTGGCGCGTTCATGTCGCTCATGTTCACGGGGACAGTCTAGTTTAGCTATACATTTCATACGACGAGTATCGGTAGCTGTTGTTGCTATGATGAGTTTGATATCGATATCGCCGCGCCGTGAATCTCGTCTCGTGACGCAGTATTACTCGTCTCCTACGCGGGCCCGCATCTCAATAACTTGTACGTCTCGAGACGTCGCGTAAACATATTTGAGCGTGTCGTCGAGCGAGCGTCGGTAAAGCTAGCCGCGACGGCAAAACAGCCGATTACGACGAAACCAATAAGCCCGATGCCGGCGACAGACCACTCGAACGCGAGACTGTGGTCGCTATCTCTTTGCGTCACCACTGTCGTGTTGTTATCCGTAAAATCCGTCTGAACTGCGCACGAAGCAAGCGGTGGCGCCGATGGCGTAGCTTCGACATGGTTTTGGATATCAGTCATCCGTGCGAGCGTCTTTGTTTGAGACAACTATCAGTCTTCTCTCGGCTCTGACTTCGTGTGGCTCGAGATCTGCATATCCTTGAGAAGCTTAACCGATCCCGGGTTACCCGAGATCTCGGCAACATCCAACGCCGTTCGACCATCCTTATCGACAAACGTATCTTCGAGTCCGGCCCGGTGCAATATTTCGATAGCTGCATTTGATCCTGTGCGCGCCGCAACGTGAAGCCCCGTACTCCCGTTGTAGTCTTGGTTGTGCAGGCACACTCCAGCTTCCACCAACAGTTTGAGGTGTTGAATTTGACCCTGCGCGATTGCATTGTGCACGCTCACTTGCTCGCTTGGTTCCGTGAAGACACCACCGGCGGATACGAGGAGCTTCACCAACTCAAGGCTCGCCACAGATACCGCGCGTGAGAGGGCTGAAAATCCGGCCTTACTCAAAGTGTTTGGATCTGCACCGCGCCTGAGAAGGAGCTTCACTACTTCTTTTTGCTTATTTTCGACCGCTGTCATGAGTAACGTTCTTCCCGCCGCATCCGTGAGGTGAACGGACTGTGGATTATCGTTGAGAGCCATGTCCAGGTCCGCGACATCTCCGGTGACGCATGCCAGAGTGAGCTGATGCAGTTCCACCTCGTTCAGCTCCGAGCGCTTCGTCTCGAGCGCGTTGATGAATGCAGCGTACAGAGATCCACGGCTGTCTTGCGATCGGCACTCTTTCATCTCGTCCCGGTATTGTATCAGGAGATCTTTCATGATGTGCTTTGTATCTATAGGGAACCGTCGCAGTACGTCTTGCAGTTTGTTCGTTGAGACGACGAGGAGCTTGCACGTTGACTGCACGACGCTGGTGTGAAAGCAAGTCTTACCGCAAAGAACGGCGGCAATATTCAACCATTCTCCGGGGAAAACGGTTTCAATCTTGTTTGCAAGCGTAGAATTGGTCAAATAGTCCTCAGAAACGATGTCCACCTTGCCAAGGCATAGGTAGAACATTGCTGTGGCGTCTAAGCCTTCGCACGTCAACAAAGTTCCTGGATGAAAATATTCCACTGTGATGCACTCCAAAAAGTGTTGGATAAAGACAGGCGAAACTTCTCTGAATATGGGGCTCTCTTGGACGTACTGCTGGTACAGTGCGTGCCTTAGCTCGGACTGAATTGTTGATGGACAAAAATTCAGTACTTTTTCATCGTCGCGGCAGCCCATCTCAAACTCGAGCTGGATGTGCGCATCAACCTTCTGTCGAACCGCGTCTGGAATATCATTCCTTCGCATGAAGCGCTGAAGTGCGCCCGTGTGGTCGCGGAATGCCATAATTGTGGCGTCCTCTTTCGTCACTAGTTGCGTCACGTTACCCAAGATGTACGCCGTGACACCCATGTTCATGATCATGACGACCATGGCGACCGCACGCTCGCTAGTGCTCACCGGACTTATGTCACCGTAGCCCACCGTCGTGAGCGTGACGACGGACCAGTATAAAGCCGTCGTGTACACGTCGTAAAACGCCATGTTTGGAAGTTCTGGATCGACAGCGTACACCCAGGTGTTCTCGTTGAACTCCTGGATGCGCGCGATGTAGTAGAGAAGACAAGCGCTCCAGTGCGCCGCCAGACCGATGAGCAACGCGAACTTGATGCTGAGTAATACTAGGTATGGAAGATTTGAGTTTCTCTCGAATTCGCTCATCATTCGTCGCACTCGATACATGCGCAGTAAACGTAACAATCCCAAGCCGGCAATCACGCGCGATACATCTCTGTTATCGTGCGTTTTGGAAATAAACATGAGATCGAATGGAAGCGACGAGAGAAAGTCCAGAACGAACCAGCCCCTCAGATACTCTTTTGCGATTTTTTTCATATCCCAGACGAGTTTCCCGTACTTCTCCAACGGCCTGAAAAAGTTCATAAATATGTCCACACAGAACACGATCGAGAATAGAATCTCGATGACGTCGATCCATTGATAATTGGACAGTACTTCCCGGCGTTCGTTTCGGAACGCCAAAGATGCGGGCTCGATGAATGCGACAACTAAAATGAGCAGATTCACGACCCTCGTGACGGCTCTCGCGTGCGGACTCGCTGGATGACACAAAATGAAGCGCCAAACGCGCTCATCCTCTTCCTGCAACCGTTTCGAGCCGAACGTATCGGAGCGGGGCGTATGTGGTTGCGACGAAGCCGCGAGCAACGTCTTCGCGGACGCCGCGTTCGATGCCCTTCTCGGCTCCTCGGGCGCCGCCGAAGCAGCAGCCTGCGTCTTTGACATCGACGAAGACGGACGCCGTTTCGTTTTCTTCTCACCTCTCCCTGAGTCGTCGCTCTCTAGAAACCACGAACTCACTCTGCGCACGCCTCGCCCATCGCTCGCCGCGTCGTCCTCTCGCGGCTCCTCGCTCGTTCTCGACGCGAACCCTTCGAACCCGTCGCTCACACTTCTTCCGTACGACGCCTCTCCTTCCCAGCTCGACGCGTCGTCCCACGACCGCTCGCGCATCGACGCCGACGCCGCGTCCGTTCCCGACGTCCCCGAACCGCCCGTCCCCCGCGTCCCGCCACCCGCGCCCCGTCGACGCGCCAACGCCGGATTCACCACGACGTCCTCCCCCGTCGACGCCGGCGACGCATCGTCGGCGTCCCGTCGTCCCATGGCCCCCGTCCGAGGTCTCGCGCGCGCGCCGCGCGCGTCGCCCGGCGCCGATCGCGCGAGAATGATGATCTTCTCGCGCGGTCGGTGATGTCTCGCGCGCGCACAATCACGCGCGTCGTCGTCGATCGCGGACGTCGCGCCGGACGCGGGCGCGCGCGGGCGATGGCGACGGAGACGTATAACTGGTGCGCGATCGACCCGCGCGTCGGGCGTCGCGCTGGCGACGATGGGGGGCGACGGCGGCGGGCGCGATGTCGATCGGGCGCGACGCGTGGTGGATTGAAATTGAACTCGCGCGCGCGACGGTGCGCGCGCGCGTGCGGGCGAGCGAACGCGCGCTCGGGCGAAGACTGAGTCGTGTCGCGCGCGCGCGCTCGCGGTGCGTAGGTTTTTGATCATCGTCGCCGTCGTGGTGTCGGCGCTCGCGTTGCTGTGCAACGTGTACGTCTTGGTGCACTTCCAGCACCCGGATGACCGTAATCAGGCGTGGTTTCCGAAGGTTGTGGTGATCACCGGTTTGACGATTGCGGTTTTGTCGATTTTGTTGCTGCCGCTGGACGTGGCGAACCGAGCGGCGTGCGATGGGTCCATCATAGAGAGCGCGTGTCGGTACACGCTGCCGATGGAGGCGCTGTGGTACGCGACGTTCACGACGATGATAATATACATCTTCGCCGTGATCCCGTGGGCGCTGTTTTATTACGAGCAGGATTCGGACGCGCCGCAGTTGAAGAAGGTGGTGAGCGCGACGATGTGGACGATTTCGATGGGGTTGGTGTTGATCATGGCGATGCTCATCGCGTACTACTTTGGCGGCGAAGCCGAGTTTCAGTTGAAGAGCGTGGTGTCGGGGATGGGTTTGCTGTCGAACTCCGCGCTCTCGAGTGCCACGGCATGCATCGCGCTTCCGGCGTTGATCACATCGGCCACGGACTTCTCCACGTCGTCAGGGAGCTTGGGTGGAACCGCGTGCAGCGCATACGGCGCCGAGGTCGGGACAGAGACGTTTGCCGTGCGACCGACGTTCATAGTCTACGTCATCGCCGTCGCCTCCATAGTGTCCTGGGTGATTTTCATGATTTACGCTGGCGTCGGTGTGGTCGCTCTTCCGATGGATCTCATTAAGGGCTTCATTTACCGTCCGATGAAGGTTATCACAAAGAGCGAGTACATTCGCTGCGCGACAATCATAGCACGCGACGCGCAGAGCATACACGCTCAGATCAAAGCCGTGCAAAAAGAACAACGCGAGAGCGGAAGAACGAGAAAGACTAAAACAGAGCTTCACTGCTTGCAAGTCAAACTGAACGACTTAGAGGACGACGAAGTTGAATTGAGAAGAGTGTTCCCGCAAGGCGAGCAGCGGGAAGCGACGTGGTTAATGATGGTGCTCGGGTTTTACCTCCGTTTATTCCTCGGATGTTTGAGCGTCTTGCTAAGCGTGTTTTGGACGACCCACATCGTACTCACCGTGCTCATTCAACCCGCGGCGCACCCATTCTTGAACTCGTTCTTCATCTGGATGGACGGCGTATGGTCGCTCTTCGGCACGTTATCGTTTGCGATATTTTGTTTTTACTTGGTTGCCTGCCTGATCAAGGGTAACACACGATTGGGAGTGCGCTTCATCTTCTTGAGTTTATATCCCATGAAGATCGGGCGCACTAGCATGAGCTCTCTGCTGTTCAACACTGGCCTGATTATGCTCGGATGTTTGTCGGTCGTGCAATTCTGCGCGCAAGTGTTCAGCGTGTACACAGCGGAGACGGCGGTGGAAGGCATCTTTGGTGGGAATATTGAAAATTTCAAGGGTCTGGGTTGGATTTTCAAGTACAACATCTTCATATACTCCTTCTTCGCGATGATTTGCCTCAGCTGCCTATGGATCCCGTTCGAGAGTTGGAAGAATGAAACTCCGAAGAAATCGTGGGAAACTGGGCGCGCGTGAGCTCATGCACATTGTAAAAGAACGAACAACCATTTCCTACAAGTGTTACACTCGCCCTTTTGGTACTCGCGGACGATTACATTATCATTTAATCCGACTCCAAATACGCTACGTCAAATCGATGACGTCCGCGTTGCCCTGTTTTCCCCTTCCCGGCATATTGTCCACTCGCTCTGTCTTCGCATGTATCCGTGGCGCCACAGCCTGTGGAGCACCAGAACGTGGTCCCGCTGGCGGCTCCGACGGTGCTGCGGCGCCAGATATCGGCGGATTCTGGTTACGTTGTGCCGACGCCAAGACTACGCTCGTCGACTCAAAAATCTGGTCCGCATTACTCGACTCGAAACCGTCGCGCAAATCCTGTTCATTAAGTTCCTCGAACGCTTTATCCGCATGTTCAGGCCTGGGCATGCGTTGAACGAATTCGATGTAAGATCCAGGAAGCTTGTACTCCTTGAAAATTTCCTCCTCGTCGTCTCTGCCGTATCTGTTCCGAATCGCTTGCGTCTGTTTGTAAAGGTTGAATCGATGTGGCTCGGACATCAAAGAGCTTTGCAACAACAAGCCCGACGGTGAGCGCTTGATCCTGCCTCCTCGGTCGTTCCACGGCTTCCTCGCCAGTGCGGCGTTTGCCGCGAACGCTTTATCCACGTCCTCGAGCGCGCGTATCGGCGTCTCGGGATACTTTTTCCTCAACTGAAACAGGCTCACCGCGATGTGATTCACCGCGTAGCCGTGCAAGAGCGTCCAACTTGCGTACTCGCTCAACTTTTGGAGCTTGGCGTACGTGCTTGCCGCCGGTAATTGCCATCGAGCGATGCGTCCATCCGCGTACTCTCCGCTCTGAAACACCTTCCCATCCGAGACGCGCGCCAGTACCCCCTCCACCAAACTCCTCAGATCTGCGTCGCACTCTTCCAACACCAACTCACTCACGAAGATCCTCGGCAGCGCGATCTCTCCGATAGGCGTCTCGGGTGGCCGCATCCACCGCGCGCGGACTCTCTTCTCCGGAAACCGATACGTCGCCGCCGGTCCGTCCTCGCTCTCCTCACACAAAACGTACCCGCACGCCTCGAAGCGCTCACACACCCCGTCGATCCCCATATCCTTCGTCCCCAGCGATCGAAACGCCAGGTGATCGAGCGGCGTCTCCCGAGCGACGTACTCAGCGTCGGTAAGATTTTCCATCGTCTCTCCGCTCACGCGCATCAAGTGTTCGCACGCCGTCCTCGCGCTCGCGTTGTGCGCGAAGTACCCCCGCACGAGCTCCGCGATCGAACGCTTCGCGATTCGGTACGTCTTGCGAATCACGCGCTGCGCCGGGTCGACGTCGGCGTCGTCGTCGTTCATGATGATTCGCGACGACGACTGACGACAGAGCGTCGCGCGCATGCGCGGCGGCGAACGTGCGAGCGCGCGACGACGGGCCGCGCGCGTGACGTGCGCGGCGTTCGCGGCGTGCGCGGCGGCGCGCGCGGTGGCGACGGGTTCGAGCGGCGACGCGCGCGCGGCGAGGATGAATCTGAAATCGTTCGCGTCGCCGACCGCGCTCGTGTTCGGAGACGTCACGTTCGCGAACGACGACGACGGCGACGCGGAGGGCGGCGATGGACGTGGGTGCTGCGCCCTGGTGACGTGCGAGATCGGGAGGGAGGCGCACGCGCAGAGGGTGTGCGATGAGGGTGTCGGGTCGCGCGCGCGCGCGACGGGGACGGGTGCCAACTTTAGGACGCGCGAGGCGGAGCGCGCGCGACAGTTCGGATTCGGCGTCGGGCGATCGATCGAGAGCGAAACGGTGACGACCACGGTCGAGGCCGAGGGCGAGGGGTGCGTCGTTCGAGCGAGTGAGACGAATGGGACGGGTGAGCGTTTTGCGGCGGTTCGATCGGTTCGATCGATCGAAGTCGCACGATCAGAGGCGCATCGTTTGTCGACGCGCGTCGTCGTCGGGCGAGAGAATGGGGGAAGCAGAAAGGGCGTTTCGGGTGAGTTGTTCATCACGCTGGCGAGCGTGTTCGCGATGATGGTTGTGAACGCGGGACTGGCGAGATTGCGTCGCGCGCGCACTCTCGAATCGATCGAAGACGCACCGGCGAGCGCGGAAAGAGATTGGAAGGAGATCGTCGGCGAGCACAACGCCGAATTAGTGAAACAGATAGTGGAGGAACAAAACGAGCGCATCGAGCACTTGACGTCAGCGGAGTGGAAGATCACGGCCAAGGCGCCGTCTTTGGATTACGCCGCGCCACGTGTCAAGACGTTCGATTTGGTCTACGATTTTTTGACGAGTCACCCGCAATCCATCGCGCCGACGTACATTAACCCCGAGTGGGACACGGATGCCGATGACGATCGGCGTCCGAATGAGTCGAGTGGGCGATCGTCTGACGAGCACTTTGATCACGACGTGTTCGGTTTGCCGTTTCGACCAGGAAGAGAATATAGGATGACCATTCGAGGGCACGGAGATCAGAGAGCGGCCAAGCTCGCGTTGTCGCAGGTCGCGGCGTGCACTTTATTTGAAGACACGGCACTCAAATTCTATCACGATCAGCACGAGGAGTGAATGAGAGGTTCACGAGGGTGGCGCTGGAATACGCGCTCACTTGAGGCACGCTATCACGACTCGATGACGTCACTATGAATACAATCGAAAGAATTACTACGGTACCGGTACCCGCGTAGCGGTAACGAAATGTAAAACGATGAAATGTACAACGCAATACGAGAAAGCGCTGACGAAAAACAAGATTGAAGCGATCCCGAACGAATACTCATTTCTTCGCAAATGGGTTCGAGAAGGAAAAGTTCTTCGTGAACGCGCTCGTATCGATAGTCGGCATAGTGAATCCGCTCGAAGCGCTCGCAGACTCATCGCTCTCTATTGCGGGCGAAGGAAGTGTTAAGGAGCAGTACGCCGCCTCGCGAGCGGCTATGAGCGCCTTCACTTCCTCCGTTTCGCTTTGATGTCTCACCACAGCCTTCTCAAAGACAACCTTCGCGGCCAGGTATTCCTTCTCAAACTTCATCAACTCGTGCTTCTTATTCGATAGCTTCGTCTCAACCTCTTTGATTTTGGAGAAGTCTAAGTCACCACCATCGGTGACAGCGAAGATTTCAATCTCGAACTTGCACTTATCAAAAAAGTTGTCGCCGTACACGCCAAAGACGTGCTCGCCGGGCTCGATCGTGACACACTCGCGCGGCGACCAGTTATCGAGCGAATGAAACACCGCCAAATCCCTCGATTCCAACTTCGCCAGCTTCACCGCGTGCATCGGCTCGTAATTGAAGCTCTGCGAGCCGGTGAAGTAGAATCCAGCGTGCGAGCGTTTCGGCTTCACCAAATCGAACCTCGAGCTCACTTCCTGCAACGACACCTCCAACCCGCTCATCGCCCCGCGCGCTTGATCAAACTTCAAAATCTTAAACTTATCCCCCGCCGGCGACGTGACGCTCACGACGACCCCTCGTCTCGCGTCCGCCTCGGTTACCTCGCATCGAAACAACCGAATCTCACCCTTTCGCACGCTCTCGCTCACTTTTTGTCCAAAATCAATGTGCGCGATCGCTACTTTGCCAGCTCGCACCGTTTCCAACACCTTCATCGGCACCGCGGTCTTGATGTTCACCCCGAGCGAGCTCAGCATCGACGCCGCGAGCGTGCTCCCGAACCCAGCTTCACTGATGTCGATCTCTGCGTCCAGCACATCCGGCGCGTGCACGGCGTCGACGCCGCCCTTATCGTACGCCGCGCGCGATTTTGGATCGCTCAGAATCTTGTGCGCGAGAGCGATGCGCTTGAACTGTGCGTCGTCACCGTCGCATTTGTCTGGATGATGCTTGAGAGCGAGTTTACGATAGTTTCGTTTAATGTCCTCGTCGCTCGCGTCGCGCTCGAGCTGCAAGACCTCGTAAGGGTCGATGACATCGCTCGTCGACGATGTCGCGTCGGTGGTGGACATTCAATCGGGATTGAATCGCGACGGTGAGTGGCGATGGGTTTCTCGATGTTTTCACTAAACGAGCGTTCTAACGCGTAACGATTACAAAGCCGGGACGTAAGCGTCTTGCATCTGGCGAATGAAGGCTCGAATCTCTCGACCAGTGCCGACTTTTCGCACCCGTCCGTTCTCCATGTACGCCGCACCGTCGCAAAACTCCAACTCCTCCAACCTGTGCGTGACCCAAATCGCCGTCGTGCGCCCGTTCGATTCGTCCACAGCTCTTCGCACGGATTCGATCACCTGTCGCTGATCCGCCTCGTCCAAGAAAGTGGTCAACTCGTCTAGTAGTAACAGCTCGGGCTCCTCCACGAGTGCGCCCGCGATCGCGACGCGTTGTTTCTGTCCGCCGCTCAGCGTGCTCGTCTGTCGCTCGTACGCGTCCTCGTCGCTCAGGTTCACCGTTTTCAACGCCCTCACCACGCGCTCACGGATCTCTCGCTCGCTCATGTCTGGATTTCTACCCAATCCAAACCCCACGTCCGCCCCCACCGTGGGCATGATGACCTGATGATCGGGATTTTGAAACACGAACGCCTTGCGCTCCGGCGCGTCCGCTTCGCCCGAATCCAACGTCCCCAGTCCCGCTAACGTTCGCAACAGCGTGCTCTTCCCGCACCCGTTCGGGCCGAGCAACATGAATAGTGTCCCGCGTTTCACGTCCAACCAGACGCCGTCGAGCGCGGTGACGGGCGCCGCGGCGCCATCGGGAGTGAACCGCTTGCGAGCCTCACGCACTCGAACAGCGACGTCTTCTAAGTCGTTCGTCGTCGCGCAGACCGTCGTCGCGGACGCGCGAGGGCGCCGAAACGCGCGCGAGACGGACGTCGACGGCGCGTGTTGACTCGGGTGGGCGAGCGCGCGCGTCATGATGTGCGGTGTGGCTCGCCGCGTCCAGGTATTTGTTCTACGCTTTGTCGCGACGTGGTCGTTACTAATACTAGACGTGGGTCTCCGCAACGGCGACGTTGGGGGCGTGTGCGGCGGCGGCGTCGCCAATATCGTCGTCCGGTGTCGTCCCGCGGGTGCGACGACCGCGAACGAGCGGGGCGGCTTTGGGGACGACAGCGGATTTCGCGCCCTTCGCTGTGGCGCCGCGACCTTGGCGGGACGGCGAGTTCGGACTCACCGGCGTCTTCTTCGCAGGCGCGTCTTTCCCTGTCGCGGTCTCGTCCTTTTCGAAGCGTCCGGCGCCGTCGATTCGGTGCCAGCGCATGAGTTGGTCCGCGAGTCGCTTCTCTCTCGCAGCGTTTTCGGCATCGCCGATTTCATCTCGCAGGCACGCGCCGACGGCTTCTTGCAGAGCGCCCATGACACGCTGCGCGTCGGTATGGCGAAGTACCGCGAGTTTCGCCTTTGCGACAGCAATATTTCTATCCTCCTCGCTTGCGTTTTTGAGCTCGCTATCGTCCAGCGGCTTCGGCGCCTCAAGCGCGGGCTCGAGCGTGTTCGTCATGTACGCGCGCAAGTTGGGCATGATGGTTTCTCGCACAACCTTGGGCCCGAGCGCTTGTAAACCGCGCACGGCACCGTAGTGCGTCGTGAGCGGTTTGGTGTCTAAGAGTGCGCGCAAGAGCGTGCGCGTGATCCTGGGTTGAATACTCGGGTACGCAGCGCCAAACTTGGCGCACACAAAGGCCACAGTGTTTGCCGCGTCGTCGCGAAGCGACCAGTGATCTTCGTCCAAATTTTGACACAGCCGCTTCGCCACGACGCAGGTCACCACGCTCGGCATCAGTTGATGCAAGTACAGCTCGACATTGATGTCAGGATTTGAGATCAACGCGCGAATCATCTGAATCAACACCCTGAGTCGTGGCAAGTCCCTCAGACTCGCCGTGGTCTCCTCTGTGATAAACTGAGTGAAGTACGGCATCAAATTGTGCAAACCGACGTCTTCGCCGAGCGATCGCAGTGCACGAGCGAGTAAATCGACGTCGCGATCGCTCGCCTCCGCGCGTCCCGCCCCTCGAACCAGCGCGGTGACCTTGTCGAAGTAATACTGCAACTCCTTTGTCAGCACGTGCGACACCACCGGCTGCAACCCCCCTGCGTCCGGATCCCCTCCACCCTCCGCCCGCGCGCGCGGCCGCTTCGACCCAAGCGGCGGCTGCAACGGTTTCGGTTCCGGCGCCAGGGGCATGGGATTTTCCGGAATCATCGGCTGCACCCCCTCCACCGCCAACCAGTGCGGAACCAGGTTCACGTCCACCGGCGGTCGCGGCAAGCGCTTCGTGATCAACTCTCTGACATCAATCTCCCGCTCATCCAGATAAAAAACCTCCGGGTCCTCCTTCGTGCGCTTATACTGCACGCTCGACGTCCCGGTGCCGAATCCGTAGAGCGGTTCACAGTTTCGCAACTTTAACGCCGCGTTTACATCCTGCGCGCTCGAGGTCGCATTCGTCCCAGTCAGTCCCCTCGTTCTCACGCGTCTCCCGAGCGCATCCCACCAAACTTCACGCGCGGTCGCGCACGCGCGACGCCCGTCGTTCACCGCGCGCACGGCGTCGCGCCATCGTTCGCGCACCTCGGCACGGAGCGTTTCCCGTTTACAGTGTCTCATGATTTTGATCGCATCCTGAATGATCGTCCGCAAGCGGTACTCCACGTCGCTCGCGAGCGCTTTCGCCGCCTCGTCGCTCGGTCGCGGGGCACCGATGGTGTCCGCGACGGCGACGACGGACGCCGGCGCGTACGTCGACGCGGGTGCCATGACGCGCGTCGCGCTGTGCGGTGTGCGAGGGAATTTTTTTGAGTGCTGACCCATGAAAGAGTCCCTTTCGGTGTCCACATCACCACACACGGCGACGCGCGCGGTGGCCGCGCATGCCGCTTCCGCCCCCGTGCGCGCGCGCGCGCGATGGAGAATCGTCCGAGCACGCGTGGCGCGTCTTTGACGACGCGCTGACGACGGCGGAGGCGTTGACGGCGTCGCGTTCGGTCGTTTCAACCACCGAGGATGGGCGTCTCAGAGCGAGTGTACGCGAACGCGGCTTTGGTTTCGTGCGTGATCTCTCTCGGAGCGCGTCCGAGCGCGCGCGGGACGAGAGATTAGCGCGTCGCGCGAAGGCGCTCGCCGAGAGAGGGTTTGATCCGACTTGGATCGCGGTGTGGGATGATTTTTGGGACGCGTTGAAGGCGCTCGGCGCGCGGGTGCGGGACAGGGCGTTCACGGGATTGGTGATGAATTACGACGTTTTGGTGTGGGTGGTGGATCCGACGACGGATGAAAAGACGTCTGCGTTCGGTCCACATCGGGATCGGCAGCCGGAGGACACGAAGGGGTCGTTTAGGGGGGAGGATGGACAGGCGAGGTACGTCACGGCTTGGGTGCCGCTTTTTCACGACGCGACGACGAGGAATTCGTGCTTGTACTGCGTCCCGCGAGAGTGTGATCCGGGGTACTTTGAAGGAGACGACGACGATGGTGATGATCCAATGCGCGTGGCGCTAAGCTCGAAGGAGAAGTATCAGCACGTCACGGCACTTCCCGTAAAAGCGGGGGAGTGCGTCTTGTTTACGCATCGCCTCATTCATTGGGGCTCTGTGGGTCAAGGCGAAGAGGGTGAACCGAGAGTAAACTTTAGCGTCGGCTTCGCCGATGATTTCGAGCCGCCCTATCTCAAGGACTCGCCCGAGTACCCGACGCACGAGGAGCGAGTCGCGCTCGTCGCGGGGCAGTTGATTTGCTACCACGAACGATTTCCATCGTCCGCGAAAGATTTATCCATGCTGAAGAAGCTTTTCGACGCCGCCAAGGGCTCTTTTCATCCGAATTACGTCAAGAAAGTGACCAAAGAGTTCGCTTCGGCCGCGTTCGAAGGTGAAAGCGACGAGGACGATGCCATCGACGATGCGCTCGACGCGATGATTGAAAACGTCGACGATTTCGACGACGACTTCGACAGTTTCGAGGATGGTGTTCCCGGGGACGAGTTCGGGCGCGCAGAAGCGAGCCAAAGCGACGACGACTACGGAAAAGATACGGTAGCGAAGAGGCGACGCGAATCATAAATGGTAACGCTCAAAGTTGTAATGATATTTGTTACGAAGTCTCACGGTACCTGGTAGTATTTCAACGAGGTGCTGTGCAACGTCTTCAAATGATGATGCCCTCCTAGAGGACGACTACTTGATGTGTCGCGTCACTTATCGGACGCAAAACGGGGTCTTGAAGTGCGCGTGGCAAAGCCACGCAAAAAGGGCCGCTCGCGCCGTCGTCACCGACGGCAAAAGGGCTCGTCTGAGCAGTTGGATGCGCGAAAACGCAGGCTTTTAAAACTCGCCTCGATTTCTCCAGCCGCAAAGGGCGCGTGAACCGATCGGTTCGCGTCTCGCCCCGGTTTGGTGGGTCTACCGCTAATATCGCGGTGACTCGTCCGAGATATTGTACAGAATTTGACGATGTTGGTACAGTGTGGGTGTGAACGCAAGGAGGCGTCACACTCGACCAGTGTTGAGCTTGTTCATAAGCATCTGAAAGTTTCCGCCAGAAGTTTCTGGGGCGACAGGGTACGGAGGTGGTACCGGATATGCCTGCGGTGGCTGCGTTGGAACGCCGAAGATGGCGTTGAGTTTTTGACGCACCGGCGGCGGCGGGCCCATTGGGTGACCCATCATGGCCGAGTCATAACCCGGCGGCACCAATATTGGATGACCCGGAGGAGCCATCATGGGCGGCGGAGCCTGAGCCGTTCGCGGCGCGGGCTTGTTCGCACTGTCCAAAATGTTATTAAACAGCGCTTGACCCTTCGCCTGTGCGCTCGGGGGTGTGAAGAGCGCCGGAGGTGGCGTCGCGGGTTTCATCCCGAGCAAGTCCTTCAAATTGGCCGCGCTCGGGGGGGCGACTTGATGCATCGTTCTCGGTTCCGGCTTCACCGCGACCGGATGTTCGATCGGTGCCATATCTCGCAAGAAAGATGGCATCGGGAGCTGATCCGCCGACGGCGCGGCTTGAAAGGACGACTGCGCGTATCGCTCGCCGCTCGTCGCGATCTTCACGTTTGCCTCGGGGTTGTTTCCCTTCGACTTCTTCTTGCCATTTCCTTTCGTTTGCCCCACCGCGAGCACCGCCGCTTGCTGTTCAGGTGTCAACGTCGCTTTCTGCGGTTCGCACACCTGATTCGCTCGAGCGCGTGGATCGGTGATCGCGCCCCCGTTACCCGAGGCGCTCTTGTCCTTCTTCTTCCCGTTCTTCTTCCCGGACGTCGCGCTCGTCTCGTTCGCCCTCGGCGCCGGAGGCACTTTCACAACGCGCACGTCGTGCGCCGAAGGAGTCGTCGCGTCGCCACCATCGCCGAAATCAAAAGGCACGAGCTCGCGCTCGAACGATCGCTTCTCCTTGACCACGTCGCCGTCCACGTCAAAGTTCCCACGCCCGTTCCCCGCGTTCCCGTTCCCGCCCTTGACCTGCGATGCCGCGATCAGCGCCGCGATCATGTCCTCGCCTTCGCCTTGGAACGTCGACGTCACGTCGATCTTCGTCGACATCTCGCGCGCTCGCGCGTCCGAGGGCACGCCGCGAATCGTCGACGAATTCAATCGCTCGTCGCTCGCACGTCGCTCGAACGCCCGCGACGCGCGCTCGTGGACGCGGAGGAAATTTTCCTCGAGCGTTCGGCGCTCGGTCGAGCCTCGCGCGCGCGTCGCACGCCGCGATGTGCGGCGCCGAGCGACGCCGGTGTCGAATTTTCCCGCGCGTTTACGGGTGCCCATCACATCAAAAAAAAGTAGATGGCCTTTGTGTCACGCGTGTATGGAAACCAGCATTTCGCGACGCGACGACGCGCTCGACATGCGCGCGCGCCGACTCCGACGCGCGCTCGCGTGCGTCGCGTGCGTCGCCGCGTGCGTCACCGTCGTCGGTGCGTCTTCGGATGCGCTGAAAGACGTCACCGAAAGGGTCGGTGCGCCGAATTCGTCGCCGAAACGCTCGAGCGAGCGCTACGTGCTCCAAACGACGCGCGGCGACCTCACGCTCGCGCTGTACGACGACGAGGAGGAGAACGTGGCGCCGTTGACGATCGCGCACGTTCGCGAGATGCTCAAGCTCGGGATGTACGCGACGAATCACGTGTTTAGGATCGACAAAGGATTCGTCGCGCAGATCGCCGACGTGAAAGGTGGACGACGCGCGGCGATGAATACGGCGCAGACGCGTTTGGCGGAGAAGACGGTGAAAGGGGAGTTTAAGAACCAACCGAAACACTCGCGGGGGCGGTTGAGCATGGCGCGTTGGGACGATCCGGATAGCGCGACGTCATCTTTCAGCGTTCTGTTGGGCGACGCGCCGCATTTGGACGGGAAGTACGCGGTCTTCGGAGAGGTCGTGGGGGAGGAGAGCGAGGCGACGTTGAGGCGGTTAGAGGCGATGGAGACGAAGAGGGAGGGAATATTTGTGATGCCCAAGGAGCGGGTGGAAATTTTGGCGACGTATGTCGTCGAGGGTGGGCAGTGCGGCGGCGACGAACCAGAGGACGGGGATTGCCGAGACGAGCTCCGGACGTGTACAGAGCGCGCGGATTCCCTCGCGAAGGAGCTTCATGAGATTCGCTCCGCGCGTCTGCCAGGGAACTAGTATGTGTCGATACATAACCTTTAGAGTAGTTGCTATGGATGCTATTGTAGAGAATTGCGCGCGTTTACGTCTATTTCCACACGCCTGTCAAGACGTGTCGCGCGACGAACGCCGCTGCGCACGACGACGCCTGGAACACCAATAATCGCACACACAGCGCGCGCTCGGTGCATGGACCGAAAAGTCGGAGGAACAAATTGACTAAGTTCATGTTATACCTCGTTTCAGTCGCCTTCGAGGGATGGAGCAAACCCGTCTTCGGGTCAAAGATCGGGAGACGGTGCCTCGGACAGTGCACGAACTTGAAGAGTTGCGGTGTGCTGTACAAAAAGTTGAGCACTTGCGGAAAGAAGAACAGCAGCAACGTTTCGCTGAAGTGACCGAGTGTGCCCGCGACGCCGAGCGTCATGCCGGCGAAATACGTGTACGTATCGCCGACGAAGACTTTCGACGGATACCAGTTGTGCGTCAGCAACGCGAGCGTCGTCGCGATGAACGGGAGTACGAGAGAGATGCTGAACAGGTGCGCCCCCGCGGTGATTGGTTCGTCAGAGGGATCGCTCGTGAGCGCCATCACATTCAGTAGCAAGACGGCGCCAGCGATGATGAGCGATTGCCCCGCCTCTAGACCGTTTAATCCGGCGTGAATGTTTATCGAGTTGGAGCAAAACACCACGAGGAGCCACATGTACACCATGTACAGCGCCCCGATATCGATCGATCGCACGTCCGCGGGGAAGTTGAACATCGCTCGCACGGGCGACGGGACCAACACCGTCGTCGCGCCGCCGTAGGACAGCAGGAGCGGCAGCGCGGCGAATCCCGGACTCACGATTTTTGCTCGCCACGGGAGATCCAACACGTCATCCACGAATCCCAAGAACACCATATATCCCACGCACGCCAGCGCGCTGTTCGACTCCACCGCCCACGACTCCGCGCTCCCAGCGCTCTGCCCGAACGCCACCCGAACGAGGCGCTGGCACAACTGCTGCATCGTCAACGCCATGGCGTACGCGCCTCCGCACGCCAACCCGGCGCTCTCCGGCACCCGCGTCTCCCCGCGCCTCGTCCCGCGCTTATTCAAATCCTTCCCAAACATATTCCTCGACAGCGTCTTCGCCGCGACGAAGGGAATCAATCGCATCGTCATCCAATACGCCAAGATCGAGATCACGACGCACACGAGCGTCGACGTCGCGCCGCCTACGTTGTCCGCCCCGCCTCTCGCCGCGAACCAAAGCGCCGCCGGCGCCAGCGCGACCACCGCCAGCCCCCCGACCTCGCTCGATCTTCGCCAATCGTCCGAGGCCTCATCCTCCGTCTCTTTCGCACTCCTCGACGGCCGTCGCGACGCCGCGTTCGTCGCTTTCCGAGCCATCACCGATCGAAATCTCCGATGAAACCACTCCGACGCAGTCAAAGTTTCCCCTCCCTCCGTCGTAATCGCTCGACGTCTCGTCGAACGCCCTCTCGAAGACGCGCCCGCTCGAGCGTCTGCTGTTCGTGCACCGCGCGAACGCCCACGACGGCGCACGCGGTGACGACGACGACGACGAGCGTGGATCTCGACGCGAAGATGTTTCCACGCGGCATCGACTGACGCGACGCGATCGCCCATGCGCGCCCTCACCACCGCGTCGAGCGTCGATCGACCGCCTCGACGGTTGAAGATACTCGCCCTGCACGGTTTCCGCGCCAACGCGAGCGTGTTCGAGCGGCAAACGACGCTCGCGCGGTGGGATTTGGATCTGCGGGACATCGCTGAGTTGTACTTTCTGGATGCGCCGAACGCGGCGAGCGGGGCGATACCGCGGGATCTGGACGCGTTCTTCGGTCCCGGAGTGGATGGGAGGGAGTGGTGGAGCGCGGAGACGACGGAACGGGGGACGATGTCGTACGAGGGGTTGACGCGGTCGTTGGCGGAGATGGAGCGACGGTGCGCGGAGGACGGACCGTTCGACGGGGTGCTCGGATTCAGTCAGGGGGGGACGATGGCGGCGATCGCGCTCGCGAGTGAGGGTTTGAGGGAGAGATTCAAATTTGGGGTCATCGTGAGCGGGATGAAGTCGCGGGGGGAGGAGACGAAGGGGTTGAGTTACGGAGACGTCAGCGCGCCGACGCTGCACGTGATCGGCGAAGCTGACCGCGTGGTTCCGAAGGGTTTGAGCGTCGGATTGTTTGACGCCATGTCTGGATCCGTGAAGACGATGGCGACGCACGCGGGTGGACACGTGGTTCCGCGAGCGAACGAGCGGGGAGAACCCATTCTCAGGGCGTTCCTAGAGGAACGGCTTCGGGAGGTGCAGGGAAGCTGACCGCTTGCGCGGCTGTGAACCGTCCCACGTTCACGTCGCTAAACGGTTGTCGCCATTTGTTACCGGTACAGGTAGATGCTAGATGTAGTTATTTCTAATTCCTTCACGCGTTCTTTTCCTTCGATGCCGACGTTGTTTTTTGTGGAAAGGAACACGGCACGCGCCACGGGTGCTCGCTTTGCACGGGCGGGAACAACACCTCCAGCAAGTTACGCAGAACTCCGACGTCGTACGCGTTCTTCATGACCTTTTCGAAATCAATCTTTGTTGGTTCGGCGCGCATCGCCTTGACCGCTTCACGGAGATCGTCTCGCTTAAACGTCTCGTTCGTCGTCACGTTTTTTGCCGCCAATCGCAAATTGTACACCAGAAACACCGCGATTAAAATTGTGGCGAGCGTACAGAACGCCCACAGAGCAAACGCGGTGGGGTAGTGATACGATACAAATCGATAGAACAACATCTTGTCTGTCGCTAGCGTCGCTCGCTCGCCCGTTTTCGTCATCTGATTAAACCGCAAAGACCACGCGTCTTTGCGCGTCAAATCGCGAAACACGGCGTACGCGCACGCGTACGCCACGTACGCCACGAGCCCGAGTTGCGCCGCTAAAAACGCCAGAAAGTACCTCAAGTTCCAAGCTCCGATGCTGTTATTGATCCACACGCAAAAGTGATCGAACCGTGCGACTCTTCGTTCCGTCGTCACGCACCACTTGGATCGCGCCGGAGCGTCCACGCCGAGCGTCCGACACGTCTTCCTCCCATACATCACCCCGTCGTACGCGTATGCGTCGAGGTACCGCTCCACATTTTCCCGCGTCACCGTCCCCGGATCGCTCGCGCACGCCGCGACCCACGTGACGACGGCGATACCGAACGCCGCGCTCGTCGCCGCCGTCCACCCGCCGGCGTCTCCGTCGTCCAACAAACGTTCTTCCACCCCCTGCACGAAGCTCCAGTGTCCACCGAGCGCTAAAATCAAGTACACCAACTGTCCCAACGGGTTCGGGGCGTCGCACAGCCGCTTAAACATCGCGCGCGCGAGCATTTCAGCGCGTTGGTCGTCCCGCAAGAGAAATCCCAAAACCATCACAAACGCCCTCGGCGTCCCCTCCACGATCGCGTCGTGCGCTCGTCCGACGCACGTTCGCTCGAACGTCTTCGTTGGACCGAGTACGAGGAGTACCATCCCACTGATCGCGAGCGCGGCGAGGACCAAGGCGAGAAATGTCTGCATTTCGCGACGCACAGTCACGTTGGATGATTCGAACGAGCGTCTCGCCGCGCGTCGCGTCTACGCGCGCGTCGAAACGCGACGCGCCTCGCGAAATACGTAAACGCCCGACGTTATTCCTCGACGTCGACGGCGTGCTCAATCGAACGGCGACGGCGAAGCAGATCGTGGTGCTCGAGGACAAGGTTGAGCTCTTGGGTGACATTTTAGCGCGGAGCGAGTGCGAGATCGTGCTCACGACGTATTGGCGGTACTTTGAGGAGTATGTAGCGTACGTGTTCACGAGACACGGATTACCGGACCGCGTCGTCGGCCGCACGTCGGGGGAGCCGCATCGCGCGGATAGCGTCGCGCACGACGCGGCGGTGTCGACGAACAGGGTGCTGGAGATTGAGCGGTATCTCAAGGCGACGCACGGCGAGGACGCGAGCGCGTGGCCGGAGTTCGCGATCGTGGACGATAAGGAAGTGGTTTCGGATGGGCACGCATGGCGGAGGCGGTTCGTGCGGACGACGCACGACGTGGGATTGACGCGAGAGAGCGCGGACGCTTTGGTGGACATCCTCAAGGGAGCGGAAGTGATGTCACGCGTGTGAGCACCCGTGCGCTGCAGTGGTTATTTTTTATGGGCAATTGAACAGCAACAATGTCATTCACTACAGCGAGCCTACATTTACCATTTTGAGGCCTCAGAGGCTGGGGGAGGTGAGAGAGCGCGTCTCGGTCTGGTGCGCGCTGTCACCCTGGCCTCGGCTATCCCGGACTCCATGCTAGTCACAGTGAGTTTTACGAGCGCTTCGAGCTGCGTCGCGAGCTCGTTTAGGCGCTCATTCGTCTCGACCAATGCGGCGGTTTGCTTCGCCTGCGAGTTCGTAATTCTTCGATCTAGTGGGACCAGGCGGTTGGTGAGCTCGTCGACTCGAGACTGCAACGTTTGAAGCGCGCTCTCAGATCCCGACGTCATCCAGCCCCCGGCGCTGATTCGCGGAGAACGTTCACCGGGTGTACCCGCAGTCTTCTGTTTGGAGCGCGTGTGTAGCATGACCTTGCCAGAAGCCGCTGCGAGAGCGTTCGCCATGAGAGAAGCGTCCGCCTTCACTTCAGTTGCCTCCTCCTCAATTTCGTTGTAGTCCAGCAGCGAGTTCAACTTTCGATGCACCTCCGTCAGAGAGTACGCTAGACGCCAGTGAAACACGTCGATGGCCCGCGCCGTGTAACTCACGGGGTCGCGCTCGCGCAGCATCTTGTGGAAAATACCGTGTACGTCTCGCTCAACGAGCGCACCGTGCATCATCACACGATGAAGCATGCCTCTGAAACGCTTCTGAATCACGATCGCCGCTTTCGTTTTCGCCTCGAGAATCTTAGGATCATCCAACCCTTCACCGTCTTCTCCGTAAATAATCCGTAATTTTCGCAAATAAAACTCCGGCCGATCGTTTATCTCCCCTGAAAGATCCGCGTCGATTCCTTTCTCCTTGAGGGCGTAATACGCCTTTGAAAACGCCAAAATTTCATCCCTGAAGACCTTCTTTACGCCCCTGAGCTTGAAGTATCTCTTTGTGGCTGGGAATGGCTCGAGTGCCGCGTGGAAATCATCTCGCTCGAGGGTGTAAATATCAGCGTACGTCACGGCTCGCGCGCTGTATACCATTGGCGACGTTGTGAAAAGCGCTTCCTCTGCAATCGTTTTGCCTGAAGTTCTGATCACGCCCGCGACATTAACGAGCCCTCGACGGATGACAAAGAGCGTTGTGACGTTATCGCCGATGCTGAACAACGTTTCCTCGGGCGGAAACGCGTGTTCGACGACGCGAGTTGAGAGGTGAGTGACGAATTCTTCTGGGCATCCTTTGAAGAAATTGACATGCTTGATCCACGTGTTCATTCGGATCGAACACTCTCCTCGCAACGCCGGTGACATCTTGAGCAGGAGACGTTTGTACATCTCCTCATCAGATCCTTCCAGCTGATACCTGAAATATTCGCGGAGACGCACGCACAAGGAGGGTGGAAATCTGTTTTCTCCCATGAAGGAGTTCAAGTCGCGCATGAGCGCTTGAAATTTATTTGTCTTCTCGTTTCTCGTCGCGATGACGTTCGACACTGCCCCTACGATGTAACCATACTCGAACGCGCCGATAAGCATGGCAATGATGACGTAAACGCGCTCGCCACTCGTCACTGGAACGATATCACCGTAACCAATCGTGGAGATGGTCATTGTAGACCAGTACAACGCGGCCAAGTACAGACGGAACGACCCGACGATTTCGCGAGGGTCACCACCATCAACTCCAACTACGACGCCACCGAAATCGGTTAGCCGCGACCAGGAGTAAGAGGCTCTCTCTAGGTCCTCGACCAAACCGAAGCCACAGGCCAACCAGTGGGCGAACATCACCGCGGTTATGCCAAACTTCACGAGCTCGATGAGCGAGTAATCGAGACTGTACTTGAGTTCCAAGTTTTTATACAAACGACTCACACGGAAAGCCCGCACAAGTTTGACCAATCTGAGTAAGCGTAGCGTTCGAAGCGCGCCGAGACTGGCGAATCCGGGTAAGACGCCGCCTACGCCCAAGTACATGGCGTCGAATGGAATGCACGAGACAAAGTCAATGATGAACCACTTCTTCAAGTACCGCTGCGCGATGTAGTTGAGGTTGTACACGAGCAGTCCCGTCCTCGGGTGCACGATGGCGGTGAAAAAGTTCAAGATGAGATCAATGATAAACGACGCGGTGACGACTTGATTGACGTAGAAAATCGCGTTGACCTTTGGCTCATAGAAGCCGACTTCAACCGGCGTCACGATTGCCGTGTAGCACAACAACAACATCATGCAACCTTCCCATCGCTGCAAAATCGCGTGCTGCGGCGATATCGCGAATTTACTTCGCTTATACGTCGTCTGTTCTTTTCGTTTCCGTCGCTCGCTCTTCTGTCTTCGTGCCCTCTCCTTCTTTGCCTCGCGTTTGATTGTCTTTTGTCGCTCAAACGAGCTCTGTTTTTCGAGCTCCACGGGCGAGGGCGCGTTCTGCTTCGATCGCATCGACGACTCCCTTAACATCGCTTCGTACGCTGTCATTCGTGCTCTACCGTGAACACCCTTCCCCGAACTCGTCAACCCGCTCATTTTACCCGGTACCCGCGTCCGACGTTCCTCGCTACTGCTCCCGAACGGCTCAACCTTCCCCCGTTCCTCGCTCGTCGACGTCGTCGCGCTCGGTGCGTCCTCTCGCGACCACGATCGCTCGCGCACGGAATCCCCGTCCGTGTCCGCGAACGACTGACGGTCGAGCGCGTCCCCGTCGTCCCGATCGTTTCCGCTCGCTCTGCGCGACATATCTCAGAGCGACACCAAAATTCTTCAACGCGTCGCGCCGTTTCGTCCGCACGACGGCGCCGCGACGTGTGCGCGCGCGTCGATCGCGTGAGAGCTTCGCGCGCGCGTTTTGCGCGCGCGTTTCGCCGCGCGCGGCGACGTGTGCGGCGAGAGCGTGCGTCGGAGATGGCGCGAGAAAGAATGGCCGCGGGCGAACGGCTGTTTTAAGCCATCGAGGACGTTTCGAGCGCGCGGCGGACGTTTCGAACGCGCGCGCGAGCGTCGAGGCGATGGTCGGGAAGATTGGTCGCGAAACGATGGAGACGTGCGCATGGCGCGTGATGTGTGTGGATTCTGGTGGTTGGGTTACACGACGACGATGTGAGCGCGGTGGTTAGCTCCGTCGCGCGCCGCAGTTGGCGCAAAATCGAGCGGTTTTGGAGGCGAACGCGACGCCGCAGTCTGAGCAAAACTTGGACTTGGCGGCGGATTGCTCGGCTCGAGTGAGACCTGGGGTGAGGGTTTCAGCGTTCGCGAGCGAGGTTGAGTCGGCGTACTCGGGCTCGGGAATGCCTCTGGTGTCGTCGACGCGGCAAGCGAAGAGCGAGCCAGCGTCGTTGCGGCCGTTTTCAGCGCGAGTGGTGATGAACACCGTGTCGAGCATCGGCCCCCCGATCGTGACCGAGGTTGGTTGCTTCACAGGAAGTTCGATTTCGAGATTGACCTTACCCTCGGGGGTGATTCGGATCACCTTGCCGGCGCCAGAGATGGCAGCCCACAGGTTGCCGTCGTCGTCGCACTGCGCTCCGTCGGGGCCGCCCGGGACGGAACTCGGGAGCTCGTACAAAAGGCGGCGGTTCATCGGCCCCACACGCGGGTCATAATCGAACTGATAAATCTTCCTGGTTGGCGTGTCGCAGAAAAACATCGTGGTTCCGGACTTGGTGAAGCAAATGCAATTGGAGCATCTGAACTTGTAATCGAGAATCTCCTCGAGCTCTTGGCCTTTGGCGCGGAGTCTCCACAAACCTCCGATGGGAGCGGCGTCAACGCGGTGCGCGTTGTTGTACGAGCCGATAACGAAATTCCCAAATCGATCGACGCGACCATCGTTAGGTCGCGTGTTTAGTCCCGGTTCGAACTCAGACAAGAGCTTGAGCTTCTTCGTCGCCGGGTCAAAAGCGTGAAGACCCGACTCGAGACCGAGGATGAGTGTGCCGCCGCTTCGAAGACCGACGCATCCCAGTACCTCACCAAAATTTGTCCTCACTGGCGCCGACTTCAAATCCCAGCTGAAAAGTGTTCCCGCCGGGGCATCAACCCAGTAAAGCGTCTGACGTTCCTCTGACCAAATCGGCGACTCGCCCAGTTGGTTGCCACACGGCACGACCTCCTCAGCCCAAAGCTTTCGCGGACCCTCCGGAGTGGGATCGAAATTGAATATTCGCCCGAACTGTTCAGCGACGAGCGACGCGCCACCGACGAGGCACCCGTCGACATCTGGCGCCTGCATGAGCTCGTCCACGGTTTCCGGCTTGACGGATCCGCCGTACTGAATGCGAATCTTACTCGCCGCTCCATCGCCGTACTTCTCACGAAACCACTGACGAATACCCGCATGCACGGACTGCGCTATAGCAGGTGTCGCGGTGAGCCCGGTGCCGATGGCCCACACCGGCTCGTACGCGACTATCACCTGTGATAGCTCGTCCGCTTGGACGCCCTCGAGCGCAGCCTCGAGCTGTCTGCTGCACACGCGTCGAGCCTGACCAGCCTCGTACTCCGTCTTCGTTTCCCCGATGCACAATACCGCCGTCATGCCGCAATCGATCGCCTTGCGCGTCTTCAATCGCGTGTGTTCATCCGTCTCGCCGAATAGCTCCCTGCGCTCGCTGTGCCCGACAAGCACGTGAGTGCATCCAACGCTCTTCGCCATCTCCGCCGTCATCTCCCCTGTGAACGCCCCGGAGTCCTTCCAATAAATGTTTTGGCATCCAACGGCGACGCCGGACCCCTCGAGCTGCGAGGTCGAACAAGAAACAATAAGTCAATCTACGGATAACGAATTCTGACGACGAAGAATTCTCAGCGCGCGCGTCCATCGTCAACGTACCACACGCACGACGTCCGCCAAAAACGGCGCTGGCGGACAGACGAAAACGTCCACGTCCGCGTCGACATCACGTCTGGCCGCGCCCACGAGCGCGGCGAGCGTTTTCGCGTCCGCGGCTGTCTTCGGATTGAGCTTCCAGTTCCCCGCCATAACAGCCCTGCGCTTCGTATTCGCCTCGTTTTTCTCTCCCTGACGCACGGGCGCGGTCTCAAGTTTCACCGCGCGCTCGAGCGCGGCGACGTCGACCTCCGACGTCGTCCCCGTCGCGCTTTTTGCGCCGTTTTGCGAACGCTTCGACACATTCCGGAACGAATCGAGTAAACCAGCCTTCGTGGGCGTCACCGCGCGCGCCGATCGCCCGAAACGCGGTCGCGGACGCGCGAATCGAAGCGCCGATGCGCCGTGATGCAATCGAAGCATCGCGAGGGACGGCGCGCGCGTGTGAGGACGCGCGCACGCGCGACGCCGCGCGCGCGCGATCGCCCCTTGGCGGATATAGTATATTAACTACAAAAATACTATGTATTGAAATAATGTCTTACAGTACGTCGAACCAACGCACTATGTAGTACCATCGGTCCGAGTGTTTTTATCATTTTTATCATCGACCGCGATGTTTTTTGAAAAACTCATCGAGCGCGCGCCGCGTCCTCGCGCTCGACCTCGACGCGCGGGCGAGGGCGTGGGCGCGCCGAACGTCCCGCGTCGACGCCTTCGTCGTCGCGCGCGCGATGTGCGCGCGTCGATCGTCGCAAACGAACGGTTTTACACGCGTGCAGCGACAGCTGGGACGACATCAAAGTCGACGCACGAACCGCCGCGCTGGACGCCGTGACGCGCGGTCGACGCCGAACGAGACGCCGGAGGAGGACCCGATAGGATACCGAGGTCGTGAGGTGGCGATCGTGGGGATAGGCACCAGGGGATGCGCTTTAGTGGATGCTTTGTGCGAATCCAGGGCGTTGCCAGAGAGCGCGTCTTGGGCGCTGAGCGCGGACGTCGGGTCGCTCGAGCGAAGCGCGGCCGCGAATCGATGGCGTCTGCCGCCGCAGACGGTGGAAGTGAGTGGGAAGGTGGTGGAGGATAACGCGGCGAGCGCGGCGGCGGCTGTGATGTCGGGAGAGGGGACGTTGAGCGGGACGCCGCCGCGGACGGTGGTGGTGCTGTGCGCGGGCGGCGAAGCCTTGGAGAGCGGTGAGGCTTTCGTGCGAGAGATTTCGAGGGTAAAGGCGTCCACAGCGAAGCGTGGGTTTTTCGGGTTCAAGGGCGCTTCGAGAGCGCCGGAGGGTGGGATGATGCTCGCGGGCGTCATTGAGCCGTTTTCGTTTGAGGGACGAAGGAAGAAGACGTCGTGCGAGGAGTTCGTGCGATGCGCCTCAGGCGCGGGGGCGTGCGACGTTGTGCTCACGGTGTCCCAGAGCGAGCTGCTGAAGAACGGGGAGGAGAACATGTCGGTGCAGGACGCGACATCTGTCGCGGATGCGTCATTGTTGTTTTCTGTTTTGAGCTCGCTCGATGCGCTGCGAGGAAACTGTTGGAATTCCAACTTTGTTGCGAACGCGAGCGACGTTGAGGCCTGGGTCCCGCAGACGAAGAAGAATGAATTGCGTGCGTTTGTGAACAGAGTCATGTCGTCGCGCGGTGGTGGATGTGGGGTCTCCCACGCTGGCCGAGGCGTCGCGCAGGTTCCAACGTACGGATCGATCGATGAAGCATGCGCGAGCGCGGCTCGGAAAGCCATTCTCACTGCGGCGCGTGAGAGCCCATTTTTAGCGCCCGGTCGTTTCGACACCGCCCACTTGGTCGTATGTATGCTAAAACACGGGGTCTCGCTCGGCCCCATCGCGCGGGCGGCGGTGTCGCAAGTGCTGAGCGAACTTGCGCCTGAAGCGGAGCAATTCATCACCGTCGCGGATCCAGATAAAAAGGGGACGACGGAGGTGGAGGTGAGTCTCCTGACCGTCACGGACGCTGCAACGGCGGCTAATGCGGCGCCGGAGTCCACGAACGTGTCGACCGTGCTCGACGAACAGCGAGCGAAGGCGAACGCGATGCCCTTCATCCCCAGATACGACGCAGAGAACTCCGAGCCCGAAATACAGCGTCGTAAGACAACGAAGCTGAGTCGAGAAGACTTGAAAACGTTCGGTTTCGGGGACACGAAGGAGATGGTGACGCAGTTAGAGGCTAGTCGCGCCGGAATCTCGATCGAGTCAGAACCAGTTGCGGAGAAATCAAAGAGCGAAGAGCCAGTCGTGTACACGTCGGCGGAACTCTTAGGGGAGATGTCTAGCGCGCAAACGGTGACCGACAAAATTACATACCAAGAGGTCGAGATCGCGACGAACGCGCCGCCGAAGGTGACGCTCCCGGCGCTTCCGCGAGATTTTGCCGTCAACGGTGTCGCCGTGCGCATTAGCGAGCCTCAAAGGGATAACGCCGGGAACGTCATCGGTTATAAAACGCTTGAGGCTAAAGAATCAGACTCAACGAAGCAATCGAAGAAGCTTAGCCGTGTACGCTCGCTCTTTGGGTGGAGGCCCGCGAAGAAGGAGGAAGAGAAGTCTAATCTGTCAAAACGCGCGCTCGGCATGCTGGAGAAGGACCGCGTTGGATCCGACCGCTCCGTCGTCCGAGTGGAGTTCGCGTCGCTTGCGGTGTACGAGGGCGAGTGGGTGAATGGCAAACGTGAGGGAGACGGGCGCCAAGTCTTCGCGAACGGTGACTGGTACGACGGTAAGTGGTTTGGCGACTTACCCAACGGCAAGGGACGTCTATCCTTCAAGACGGGCGACGTCGCGTACTTCGATGGCACGTTCAACGCGGGCGAGGTCGACGGTGACGGAACACTCGTGAAACACTCAGGCGAGGAAATCACCGGTATCTGGCGCGATGGCGCGCTGGTTTCGGACGAATGTGATCTTCCGCGCTAGGTTCTGTGTGCAGTACGCTGTTTAATTTAAACAACATCACGCAAGTTTTTCGAGTCGACGATCGGCGCACACGTCCGTGAGCGCGCGCATCACGTTCGGTCTCGCCAGGATTACGCTTCCGATGTCTACCTTACTGAGTTCTAAAACCCAGACGTTACCGTCTCCTTCGTACGGCGCCATGACCGTGGCGCGACGCTCCTCGCCCGTCATGAGGGCGATTTCGCCAAAAAAGTCACCCTGCTGCAGTGTGGCCACCTGCAACGGTTCGCCTCGATTTTTCAACGGATCGGTGTGAATGACGTGTACCTTACCCAAAACAATGATGAACATTGACGACCCACGCTCGCCCTGTCGCACCAGTCGCGCACCACGTTGAACGAAGAAACATTTCGCCCCATCGAGAATGTCGACGATGGACACGTCGTCCAACGCCTCGAAAAACTTGGGTGTCGTCGATCGGAGGTGCGATATCCATTTCTCCCGCGTCCACTTTCTCGGATCAATATCTTTCGCCTCCGACGCCCTCCTGTCCTTTTCCTTGAATTTATTCTCAAACTTACTCCTCGCCGACGCGTTCGCTCGCTCGTCCTCCGCGTCGCCGACGCGACCGACTCGAGGCATCTGCGACACCACGTCCTCATTCTCCTCATTCACGGCCTCGCCAAAGGTCGTTCGTATCGACGCCACCCTTCCGACACTCTTGATCGGCGTCTTCGCCCCCGGACTACCGCTCCTCGACGGCGCGGCTCGGTCGCTCGCCGTCGCCAACCGCCCATCCGCCGCCGCGGCCGCGCGTCCCGCGCGCTCCCCGCTCGCGCTCGACGCGAACCGTCCAGAACCCACGACCGCATCCAACCTCACGCTCAGCGCGTCCACGCTCCGTCGTAACTCCTCGATCGAGCTCGTCGCGTCGTTCACCACCGCGTCGTAAATCTTCGGCACGGATCGCGCGAGCCAACGCATCTTCCCATTCATCCGCGTCTGCTGCTCCCGCAGCGCTCGCAGGGCATCGAGCGTCGCGCGATGCGCCGCGCGATCCAATCCACCGTCCCGTCCGAGCTCGCCGTCGCCATCATCGTCGTCGTCCACCGCCGCGTCCGCGTCCGAGCTCGCCGCGTCCGACCATCGCTCCCGCGTCGCCGCGCCCCCGGCGTCGCCGTCGCCGCCCTCGCGCGCGTCCATCGACGCCGCCCCGTTCACGACCGACCATCGCGCGCGCGCCCGTGGACGCTCGTCCGCGTCCATCGGTCGTCGCGCGATGACGAAGACGGACGCGGCGGAACCTCGACCGGGCGCGCGGAATGCTCGCGCGCACGCCTCGTGGCGTCCACCGCGCGCGCGCGCGCGACGCCGGGACGCACGCGCACGCGAGGCGTCACCGCGCGCGCGCGGGCATTCCGCGCGGCGACGGGACGACGCGCTCGCGGTGCGACGCGGTGCGATGGTGTTACGGGAACACCCACGGCGCGGTCGGCATTACGGTGACGACGCGCGTCGTCGGCACCCCGTCGCGCGCGAGGACGACGCGCGCGGACGATGACGCGCGTCGTGGACGAGCGCACGGCGTTAGTGCGCGATGGCGCGCGTCGATCGTCGACGCGGACGTGCGCGGTGACGCTCGCGCTCGGCGCGATGGTGTTGGTGTTGGTGACGGTGACGGTGGGCGCGGCGATGCGCGCGCGCGTGGGCGCGGTGATGCGCGCGCGCGTGGGCGTGGACGTCGAAGGACGGTGCCCGGCCGCGCGCGTCGTCGCGGCGGGCTGCCTGAACGACGACATGGTGACGTGCGCGCCGCACGCGAACGAGACGCTGGCGAACGGGCGCGCGTCGGACGTCGCCGCGCTGGGAGGGTGCTCCATCGCTGACCCGGCGCCGAAGCATTGTCTCGTACCCGAAGGTACGCCGGTGATGAAGTCTTGTGAGTTCGATTATGGGTGCTCGGTGTACGCGCCGGCGACGTGTCCCGCTGGGTCGCTCGTCACCGGCGCGAGCGCGTGCGAGACGGAAAAGGTGTGCTTTTGCCCAAAGTGCAACTTGAGCGGGTGTAAGTGGAATGGGTGCTGTAAAAATATTCCAATCAAGTTTACGGCGAATTGCAGAAAGTATCGGCTCGTTGGAACGAGCGATCAGTGCAAGACGTGCATGGTCGGCTATAAGTTGTCCTCGGACAAGAGGTCTTGCACGAAGTACGACCTTGGGACGGCGGTGAGCTCAATTTCGGTGCAAACCGCACATCAGTTGAGCGCGCAGGCGGTGAGTGGCGTGAGTTCCACTGCGATAAATGCCTGGCAACACTCTGGAATCGAGAATGCGTACGACGCTGCGTCAGGATGGAGTGAAGACGCCGTCGAGACCGTGCGCGAGTCCACCGTCGAAGCGGTCGAAGCAATGGAGGACGTTATTAAACTCATTCAGCAATTGTTGAGTCAGTTAGAGTGTCTTGAAGGGCTTGCTCATCTTAAAAAGTTTGCGAGAGCGTTGAGGAGTCAAGGCACCGGGATTTTCGACCTCGTTGAAGACGTCCTCAAGGGACAAGAGAATGGGGAGTCCAGGACCAAGTATTTCAACGAGATGTCTGGCGTTGCGTGTAACATGGTGTGGGCTAAGGTCTTTCCTCACGCAACGCTCGCGGTCGAGATGATCAAAGCTTTCGGACAACGCTTGAAGGCGTCTTGCCCTGCGCTTAAGAGTGGAGACTTACCTGCCTTCACGTTCGGTGTCGTGCTCGGTGGAGACTTAAGTGGTGGCGTACACACAGCTGAGGCCGCGACGGAGATCGGAGTGGGCGCGGATCTCGAAGGAACGCGTTTTTGCTACGTCGCGGCTTGCGTTGGGGGCGGGTACACCATCCCGCCAAAGACAGGTGCAGAGGCTTCTGTCAGCGCATCAATCGCTGTCTCCGGATATAAAGACATCGGTACAGTCGCCGGTACGGCGGGTTATTTCGCTCTCGACTTGGGTGCAGATTTGCCGATTATACCAGTAGGCATTGATCTCGGTATGTCGTACATACACGGTGTCGGCAATCCGGACCAGATTTATGGTATCTCCTTCGCAGGTCAAGTGAGCTCAGCGTCCTCGGATGTGAATCCCGCTCCCTGGCCAAGCGCTGGCGTCACCGCAGGAGTTTGTCACACAGGGATCTGTGTACGAACAGACGGTGAGCCATGCACCAGCGGGCAGAAGTTTACCCCGTTTGGTGTTGCGTCTTCGTCTTCATCTTCGTCGTCTTCACTGGGTGATGAACCCAAGCATACTACGGCGAACCTCAAGCCTCGCGCACGATTTGAGCGTGGGCGCCTGGGCTGGAGGAAGGCACTAAAAAAGATGTTTTCACCACCGGCTGCACCGCCACCACCGCCGCAATATGATGCCTCGGCTTTATTTACAGAACCTACTGCTGCCGAAATCAAAGCGGCAGGTGCTGCGGTGGATGCCCCTCTACCAGACGACCAAAAGACGCAAGCCATGATTTACCGAGACAATCCAAGCGCATACGTGCCACCTTCACGGGTTACCGGAGGGAAATTTTTGGCGCACGCTGGATGCTCGACAGATTTCAAAGACGCTAAATTGCTATGCATGGAGACCAACAACTGCATTGGTTTCGGACAGTACCAACAGCCAGACAGAACTGTTAAAATATTCGGCAACAGCGTCACAGTACCCGGGTCCACGTGTTGGGACTTGTTACAGCCGTCGACATCGGCGACTGATTCAAAGTACAACCTCGCTCAGATTCGTAACTTTGTCATCCCTGATTACGGGTTCGCATATCTCCGGACATGGGGCCGAAGCACGTCAGATGACGCCGAAGATCGAGAAGCCGTGCGCCGAGCGTGCTGGCGGGATTTCGCCTGCGTTGGCTACGGTCAAAAGTCCAACAGAGACTGGGACTTGCTCAAGTACGGCGACACGAAAACGAACATCGCGTACACGAAGGGAATCTGGAGAAAGTACGTCAGCCCGGTCCCCGGGTACACGCTCGTGAACGCGGCGAACATCGACCTACAGAGCGTCGACTCCATGGAAGAAGCGTTGGACGCGAAGTGTCAAACAGATTGGAAATGCCTCGGTTTCGATTTCTTCTTCAAGTTCAGCGGGTTCAAACTCACCCGCAGAGCGAAACTCCTCTACCCCGGTGGAAAAGCGCCGTCGGATGATTGGCGATTCAAGTATCAACACTTTTACGGCGTCGCCGACAGTTGACCTCGGCGTCCGCCGCCGCCGCGCCGCGCCCGTACGACCGCGTCTCGCCGTGTAATCATCATCAATCCACCGACGCGCCTCGCTATCCATCACGCGACGCACGCGCCGCCGCGTACCGTTACGTCCCGACGTCCGCGCCGCCGCCGCGTCCACTGAACCCTAGGCGCGACCGCGCGATCGACGCGCCGCCGCCGCGCGTCGCGACGTCACCGCGCGCGGCACGCGGACGATGAAGACGCCAAAGTCGGAAAAACGCGAGAAGACGCCCAAGACGCCGTCGACGCCCCGGTCGCCGTCCACCCCTGGAACCGCGCGCACGGCGAGCGAGGGCATGAAGGCGTGCTCGGCGATCGCGACCCCGCTCGCGGATGTGAAAACGACGAAGAAGATTCTGAAAACCGTCAAGCGAGGTGCGCGCGATCGACCGCGGGCGTCGAGTGATGGTCGGGACGTCGGTGATGGGTCGACGGCGCGCGGTGATGGGACGGTGCGCGCGTGGGAAGGGGAATGGGAGGCGAGACGGACGTCGCGGGCGCGCGGGGCGATTCTGACTGACGACGCGATTGTCGCGCGGTGCGCAGCGGCCAAGGCGAAACAGGTTCGACGCGGGGTGAAGGAGGTGGTGAAGGCGTTGAAGAAGGACGTGAAGGGGTTCGCGGTGATCGCTGGGGATATCTCACCCATCGACGTCATCACGCACGTGCCGATTCTGTGCGAGGAGGCGGACGTGCCGTACGTGTACGTGCACAGCAAGGAGGAACTCGGGGCGGCCGGGATGACGAAGCGGCCGACGTCGGTGATGCTTGTGTTGAAGGAAGGTGCGAAGGGGAGCGTGAAGATGAGTTCAGAGGACAAGAAGGAATTCGACGAAATGTACGCCAAGTGCGTGGAGAAGATCCAAGCCATGAGCAAGTGATCGCGTTCGTCGCGACGGTTGATAATTTTGAGAGAGAGAATGTAAATCATACACCCACATACACTATTCGATGATGATTACATCGCGCGTTCGGCGCCGTCGCGCGTCGCGCGAATCAATCGCGCGTTCGGCGCCGACGCCCGCTCCGACGACTAAAACATGAATCGTTTCTTTGGTTTTCTACGCACGACCACGGTGGCGTCGTCGCCGTCGCTCCCCCCTCCTTTCGCCTCGTTCGCCTTCGCCAGCTCCTCCGCCTCTAAACTCTTCGCCATTCTCTCCAACGCGTCTCGCGCGTCGTCGCGCTCCTCCCGCTTCCTCCGCGCCCCCTTCGCTCGCTTCTCCGCCGCTCGCCTCCGCGCCTCCTCCCGCTGTCGACGCATCTCATCCGCATACGCATCCGCATTCGCGCTCTCCCTCGCCCGCATCGCCGTTCGCGCGAACTCCGGATCCCGTCGACACTTTTCCTTGAACGCCGCGTCCGCCGCCTCGCGCACGATCTCCGCCCGTTTCTTCCCGTCTCGAAACAGCTTCTGCGTCTCCCCGATCGCATCGAACGCCTTTCTCGCATCGCTCGCCCTGTTTTTATCCGGGTGCACGCGCAGAGACGCCCGTCTGAAGGCTCGATTGAGCTCCGCGTCGCTCACGTCCCACGTCGCCCGTCCCGCGTCGTCGCACGTCGGTCGTCGCACGTTCAGGCACGCGAAGTAATCCCCTCGGGCGTGCGCGTCGAGGACGGCCGCGACGACGTCGGCGTCCTCGACGTCCTCGCGCGCGCGGTCGAGCGCGTTCGGCGTCGTCACGGCGTTCGCATCATCGCTCGCGACGCGCGCTCGAGCATTTTCCACGCGCCGACGCATCGCCGCGCGCGCCTCGGACGTGTCCTCCAGCGCGCGCACGCGATTCCGCATCGCGCGCTCGAGGGCGTCCATGGGAATCGACGCCCGCGCGACGACGGCGGTGCGGTGTGAAGACGTCGACCGATGCGTCGAGCGAGGGGAACGAAGACGAATCGTCACTTTTCGTCGCGCGCGACGAACGACGGACGATGCGCGCGCGCGCGTTCGGGGGCGAGCACACGCGACGGCGGGCGATTTTTCACGACCTCGGGAACGCGCCGTATCGTCGACGAGAGTCGTTCGACGCGGTGGCGCACGAACGCGCGGTGGCGGCGGCGTGCGCGGGACGCGGGAGCGATGATGATGACGAGCGAGACGCGATGGCGAGCGAACGACGGGCGATGACGGCGAGAGCGGTGCGCGCGCTCGAGGTGGGTGCGCGTGGTGTCGATCGCGAGCGACGACGGTGGAGGCGTGGGTGCGTGGGTGCGCGCGGGCTGACGACGGGTGTTTTCGAGACGCAGGCGCGGGCGAGCGAGGCGGAATCGCGAGCGGAGAAAGAGACGGAGGCGCGGGTGCATCGCGAGCGTGAGCTGGAGAGTGCGAATCAGTTGGCGCAGCGCGCGTCGGTGAGCGAGCGGTTGAAGCGACACGCGGAGCGGGAGGTTGTGGAGCTCACGCGCGAGTTGGAGACGCTTCGATGCGAGAAAGAACGCGAGCGAGACGTCTTGGAGGAGCGATTGGCGAGCGTGACGGAGGGAAGAGAGCGCGAGTGGGAAGAGATGCGCGATGCGCTCGCGCAAGCGAGGGAGGATCGCGAGCGGCTGAGCGCGGAGGGTGCGCGTTTGGAGCGAGAGAACGAAGAGGCGCGCGAGCGAGAGAGGACGCTTCGCGACGATTTGGCCGGCGCTACGGATTCGTTGACGGAGACGAAGCGACTTTTAGAGGACGTGCAGACGAACAAGGCGTACGTAGACGAGGAATTGAGCGAAATGCGCGACGAGATGGTGCGTGTACGCTCGGATTTAGAGGAGACGGCGGCGGCGAACAAATCTCTCGAGCGCGAGTTACGAGAGTCACGAAGGAAGTCCGAGGCTTTGGCCGCCGCGGTGCACACGGCGCGAGGGAACGACAGCGCCGCTCGAACGATGATGCGCGATAGCGTTCTGACGTTCGCGCGAATGGAGGATGCCGCGAACGCTCGAGAGATTCAAATATTGAAGGAGCGGCACGCGGCGGAAATCGAGCGCATGCAAGAGGAATTTGCCGCAGCCTTGGCTCGATCGAACGCGACACAGGGCGAGATCGCGCACAACACTGTTGACGAAACGCAACGCGTGAAGCGCACGCTGAGGGAGGTGGAAGACGACGCGCGCGAGGCTGTGCGCAATGCGAGACGTCGCGAGGAAGACGCGAACGCGGAGGCTACAAAGCTTCGACAAGAGTTGGCGAAGACCAAGGCGAGATTGAACGCCATGGTCGAAGCAGGCGAAGGGCAACTGAGCCATGCGAGTATTCGTGAGGCCCAAGCGGCGCGGCTGGCTGCGGCGCAGGCTCAGGCGGTTTGCCGGGATTTACAATCGGAACTTGAGGCGGAGCACGAATCCGCCGAGGCGGCGAGGCATGAGGCAGCCGTGACGTTGCATAAATTCTTCGAGATTCGTGACAAGTACGAACAGCGTGAGGCGTTGGTGATTCATCAAAAGGAATCGATTCAAGAGCTCAAGCGAGACGTCGAACGCAGAGACGGACAAATCGAGGAACTCAAGGCGCGGTGCAAAGAATTAAAACTTTGTCTTCGTGACAACGAGGTCACGTACTTGAACCGTCAAGATCTCACCGAAGAGGTCGAGCACTTGAACAGAATCATTGCTGATGCGAACATCCGCGATCGCGATCGATCGATCGAGTTGCATCGCGAGCGCGAGCGTGCAGATAATTACGCCGAACGACTCGAGCAATGCGAGTCACAGCTTTGCGAGGAATCGCACAAACGCATTCAGCTCGAGCGCGCCATGCGCGACGTCGACGGAGCGATGTCAAAGGCCGAGACCGACGCCGTGCGAGCGGAGGCGATGAGCGCGAGCGCGATACTTCTCGAAGCAGAGGTTTTGAGACTGACTCGCGTCAACGAACAAGCTGAGACGCGTGTCGCCGAGCTTGAGGGTCGCGTCGAGGACCTCATCGAGCAAGCCGATTCTTTGGCTTCCTCGAAAAATCCCAATCAAGCGATTCGTTACCTTGAGAAGCTTCGTTACGAACGTGAAGTTGCGGAGAAGGATGCGGAGGATGCGGGCAAAGCCGTCCAATCGATGAAAGCGGCTCTCCAGTTCGTCGTGTGTGCCAAGCGCGAGACCCGAGATAAGATCGTGACGTACGCTCGCGAGGCGCGCAAAACCGGTCGCGTGTACACCGACGCCCCCGGCATCCCAAGCGGCGTCGCCGCCGACGTTTGGGCTCGAGTCGTCGAAACCGTCGCTCGACTGGACCTCGACGCCATCGAGTAATCTACCTAGCTGTCGTACAATACCACAACGCTAAAACAATGCACGCATACCGTTTCTTCCGTCACAACTCTCCGTTCTCGTGCTTTCGCGCGCACTCCGCGTGTCTCTCCCGATTCCGTTCGCCCAACCGTCTTCGCGTCGTCTCCCGCTCGCGCGTCGTCATCTCCTTCCAATTCTCAATGTAACTCGTCGTGCAATCGGCGTTGATTACCACGGGTCCAATCACATCGTCCACCTGCACGCGCTCGCCGAACTTGATCCTCCGCACCGGCGCGCCGTCGTCGAGCGTCTCCGCCGGGAGCGCCGACGCGGCTGATTCGTCCAACGCCGCGTCGACGACGCGTGCGACGAACGGGCACATGGCGCAGACGACGAGCGCGGTGATGACCGATGCTCGTCCTCGCATGGCGCCGCGCCGCGACCGCGCGCGCGCCGCGGCGCGGGAGACGCGTCGGCGACTGCGGCCGGAACGCTCGCGCGAGCGAGCGAGACGCCGCGGCGAAGAAGATGACGATGTCGACGATCACCGACGCCCGCCGCGACCGGAGATCATCGGCCTACTCGAACTTTGTCGGGCGTTGTGACTCATCGGAGCGTCGATCTCGTACTCGGAGTCGTAGTACTCCTTGGGCGCCTCCGGCGCGAGCGCTCGGGCATCGCCAGAGACGAGCGAACGCCAATACGTGTGCGAGTTGTCGCAGCCGTTGTCGTAGTGCCCACGACGATTCTTCTTCAGGAGGGACATCTCGAGCACGCCGTCGATGATGACCCAGGTGCTGAGTTCGGCCTTTATGGCGGCGAAGAGATCGCCGTTGACGATGACGTCGCCGCGGACGCGAATGGAGAGTCGCGTCGCGGACAGGGACACGTCCACGTCGGATTTCGTCGTCCCGCGCGGGAGCTTGACAAAAATCTCGACAAAAGACTGATTTTGACGCCACTTGTACCGATCGAGCTCGAGTCCGAGCGCGTCCGGGACTTTGATCTCGCGCCAGGCGACGGTGGCGTCGTCCTCTCGCAGCGCGAGCAGGCGCGCTTCCTCAGCCGCTCGCATCTTTCGCATGTCATCCGCGTCAAAATTCGGAGGCGTTGGTTTTGGATTCGCTCTACCGTACATATCCTCCTGCGTCACGACCTTGCGATCGAGTCGATCGACCTCATCTACGACGCGTCAGTCGAGCTCTTCGGTCAAGTCGAGTCGTATCCAGTCGACGTCGTCACATCGCTTCATCACAACTCACCATCCTTCAGCACCGCCTGTTTCCCATGTTTCCGCATCCATCGCGCAAACTTCGGTTCGCGTCGCTCCACCGCGTCCGCGAAATCATTCTTCTTGCACCACTGTTTATGAAACGGCCAGTACGCGCGTTGACACTTGGTGGAGCAGAACCACGCGCCGCGACACCGCGAGCAACACGCCAGCTTCGTCGACGTCGCGCCGCAGTTCTGGCACTCCTCCCCGCGCGTGAGTTCTTCTTGGTGATGCGCCGCCGCGCTCACGAGGCTCATCGCGACCGCACCGTCCGTCGCGCTGTGTCGCCCGTCGCCATCTTTTCAACCTTTTTTTCGCCCCGCGCGAGCGTTTCGAGCGTTTTCTCTCATAACCCTAGACCCCGTACCACATTTTTCGCACACGTTCCTCGTACTGTGTACAATTCTAGATCCATAGAGTTACATCATAAAATCACACGCGACGCCCCGACCGCGGCGGCGGCCGACGGCACGCATCGACGCCCGTCGACGCCCCTGGACGCGCGCGCGGGCGAACGCGCGCGCTCGATCGAACGCTCGCCCGCGCGCGGACGCTCGCCCGCGCGCGCGCGCGGATCGGCGACCGAACGGCGTCGTCGTTGACGAATTTCGTCACAATGTCGGCGGCGGCGCGACCGCGCGTCTGCATCGCTCGATGCTCGACCTCGTCGTCGCGCGCGGCGAACGAACGCGCGCGCGAGCGACGACCGACGAACCGCCGGGCGCGACTCGACGCCGGAGACGCGGTGAAGCAGAAACAAGCGATCACGGAGGTTGTTCGAAAAGCGCGCGGGGGGCCGGCGAGCGGCGCGGGACGCGGACGGGACGCGCCGAGCGCGAACGCGAAGACGAAGAAAGGGCCGAGCGGGATGGTGCGGTCGTACGAGAATGCGGAGGTGGCGCCGGCGATGCCGTTGGTGGAAGTGCTCGAACCGGAGACGAATCGACGGTTGTTGTGCATGTTAAGACGGAGGTTTACGTTGGCGAACGGCGAGGAGCGGTGCGTGGTGCTCCCGGTGGACACCCCTATCGACGTCCTGCGAGGCGAGGGCTTGGACGAGAGCGAAGATTTAAGCGATATCGGGGACGATGAGCTGGTGCAAATTTTGCCGGACATGAACCGCGCGTTGGCGATGCGCGGGTTTTTGTTACAGCGAAGCGCGTTTTGCATGACAGTCCGAGGGGCGGTTCGCATGAACGACGAAGACGCGCTCGAAATGGACACCGGTGGGGACGAACCGAACGAAGGCGTGGAGGTGTGCACGTTTACGAGCGGTTCGTCGCGATATCTCGTCTACGCCCCTTTGAACCCGGTGCTGTTGATCACGAACGAAGATCCCGAGTCCAAGCTTCACGAGGTGTGCTTTGACGACGACGACGTCGACGAGCGCACGCTCCAGGCTAACCTCGACGCCGAGTACGAGATGCTGAGCGAACCCGAGGACGAACTCTTCGCCGACTTGGCCGATTAAACCCGCATCGACACGTCGTTAAAATCTTGTAGTGTCTGTAACAAAACGCGCACACAGCGCAAAGCGACTCGACACTCGCCCCACCTCACAGAGCGACGCTCGTAGTCGTCATGTCATCCAAGACGTCGCCCGCGAAGCCGCCGCAACGCAAGAGCGACCCATCGCCCGCTCCCACCTCGCCGTCGACGACCAAACGCCATGCGTCGACGTCCACGCTCTCCGGCGCCGGGCTCGGGTACTTCTTCATAGCTCTGGTCTGCGTCATCTGGATCGCCGCCTCCTTCCTCGTCGCCCGTCTCGAGGCGCACGGCGTGTCGCCGGTGATGTTGAGCTTCATATGTAGCTCCGGTTTCGTGACGCTCGTGCCGTTTCGCGCGCGGATGATCGCGAGGCACGTGATCGAGCGCGTGGGACGCGGCGGCGCGAACGGGACGCGAGACGGACGCGGTACGAGACGCGGATCGCGCGAAGAAGAGGAGATCGCGGCGGGTAAAGGGACGGCGGCGAACGAAGGAAAGGTGTCGAAGCGACACGCGATCGAACGCGAGCGCGGGACGGAGATCGAGATGGCGTCGTTGGTGGAGAATGGCGAGGCGAAGAGCGGAAAGTCAGACGCGAGAGAGCAAGAGGCGCGCTCGAGGACGGCGGAGCCGTACTCGTTCGATCGACATCTAGAAGCGGCGATCACGGTGGCGCCGCTGTGGGTTTTGGCTCAGGTCGCGTTCGATTACAGTCTGCTGATGACGACGGTGACAGCGAACTCGATGTTGAGTTCGTCGAGCGCCGTGTTCACGTTCATGGTGAGCGTTTACTGCGGGTTGGATAAGTTTTCATGGACCAAGGCGGCGGCCGTCGGGGCGTACGTCGTGGGGAGCGTGCTCGTGACGCTTGCGGACGACGATAAGGCGGCGTCCGGAGCGGAGTTCAACGCCGAGATTGCGACGAAACACCCGCTGTTTATGACGCGCGATTTTTTCAATTCGCCCGCGTTTGGGAACATTTTGGCGCTCGCGGCGGCAGGGCTCTACGCCTCGTACACGGCGACGATGAAGCTCCACCTCAGGGAAGACGAGCGAACGGACATGACATTATTCTTTTCTCTCATGGGTTTGGTTAATTTCTTTGGCTACGGCGCGGTGTTGGTGATCGGTCGTGCGCTGGGCGGCTTTACGCACTTGTATCACGCGTTTGACGCTCGCGCGTTCTGGCTCGCTTGCACCAAAGCCTTCTTCGACAACGTCCTGAGCGATTACCTCTGGGCCCGGGCGGTTCTTCTCACTTCGCCCACGATCGCATCGATCGGGTTATCGCTTCAGATCCCGCTCGCGGCGTCGGTGGAGGTAGTCATCGGCCATCCAATTTGGGCGTCGAAGCTCAAAAACGCGCTCATCATGACGGGCGGCACAGTGTTTATCCTCTTAGGCTTCGCCGGTGTCACCGCGAACTAGAAATACTTAGCGTACATAAGTTTCATAGTTCCATAGTCACAGTCATCCACATCGACCGATGAGCGTCGCCCCTCTGACAAAACCGAATGGTCGGCGTCTTTGTCGAAACTCGACGCGACGCGCTCCACTCATCCACCGCACTTGCGCGCGCCCGCGCGGGTTCGAACATGCTAAAGATCCCAGCCGTGAAGGTACGTCGCGAACCGTCCGTGAGTACGCGTGAACGCGTTAACGCGTCGAGCGACGCGCGTGCGACGACTCGTTGAAGAATCTTTTGAAGATTCTCAAAATCGCACGAAAACGCACCTTCTCGCGCGCTCGTGACGCGCTTTCACGCGCAATCGCGTGCCCGTCGATTACTGACGCATGATGACGCTTCCAACGACTTAGCGCGAGTGGACGGTGGAGGAAGAGCGAGCTTTACGAGACGGCGTGCAAAAGTACGGAGCGGGAAAGTGGCGAGCCATTCAACTCGACCCCACGTTTGGACTCGCGCTGAACCATCGCTCGAACGTGGACCTGAAGGATAAGTGGCGGAACTTGCACGCGAACGGCGGGTCGGCGGAGGCGGAGCCGACGGCGACGGAGGTCAAGCTCGGGGCGATGACGCGAGAGGTGTCGTCGAGCGGAAGAGAACAGAGCGGTGAGAAGGCGGCGAAGCGAAGAAAGGAGGACGAGAGCGAGGATGCGAGTGGTGGACGCGCGCTCACCGGAGCGCACGAGGCGCAGGTGAACGAGTTGATGGCGGAAACGCAGCGAGCAAAGCGTGAGGCAGAGACGGCGCTCGCGGCGGCGACAGAGGCCGAGCGCGAGGCCGAGCGCGCGGAGAGAGAGGCGTGGGAGGCGGAGAAATTAGCGAGCGAGCTCGTGACGGAGGCGCACAGGCAAAAGGTGGGACTCCCGGTCGAGGGTGCGGAGGATGTCGCAGACGTCGCCGCCGAGCTTCTTGACGAAGACGAGCGCGGAGGCGGATGACGAGAAACCGTTCTCCCTCGCGCGCGCGACGGTGTTTACGTAAATCGACGCGTGAACCATCAATAGCATTACCGAACGCGTCGCCGAACCTATGCGATCACGGTGTCATATCGAGAGTTTCTCCAGCCGCCGCAACCCGTGCTCCGTTATACTATACGTAAAATTCCCCCTCGCGCGTCGTCGACCACCGCCCCCGGTCGCCGCATCGTCCATCACCGGTGCCGTCGTTCGCACCCGATCCATCTCCTTCATCTTTTTCAACAACCGCTTCGCGTGTCGCATCGACGCCAGCGGCGCGCCGTTCGCCGTCGCCCGCTCGTACAGCTCCTTCGTCGTCATCTCCCCTCCGTGTTCACGCAGCGCCTTCAACAGACCCGCCATCGGCCCCGAAGACGCACCGTATCGATCCGCCCCGCGTGACGCCGTCGAGGCGTCGGACAGCGCGCGTCGTGTCGCGTTCAAGGGCGATGAGAACGACGAGGGCATCGCGGGTACAATCTCAGAAAATGCGCTCGCGGCGCGCGTAGCGAGCGCGCGCGCGTGCTTGGACGCTCTGAGAGTGAGATACATCGCACTCGCGCGTCGTGTGCGATCGACCGGGAGCGGAGATCGCGCGCGCGGCGCGTTATGTCGATCGCGCGCGAGCGACGCGCGAAGAACCCGTTCAGAGTCGAACTGGAGTCGTCGTTAAAAATCTACTGTACACCCCCGCGACGAGGTCACGGGTTGGTCGGCGTCGGTTCTGGCGTATTGTTGAACTTTGCGGCGCGTCGCTTCTTCTCTTGCTTGAACTGTGCGCCGCGTTTGCTCTGTTCCACGCGCACGACGTAGTCGCTCGCCCAGGCGAACATGTCGTCTCTCAGGCCCTCGAATCCACCCTCCAGGGCGGTGTCTCCGGCGAAGACGATGATGTCAACTCTCGGGGGCCACTTATCTTTGTTCGTGCGAAAGACGTGTCGGATCCGTCGCTTGATCAAGTTGCGATCCACCGCGCGGCGCACGCGCTTCTTCGGCACGACGATGCCCAAACGCGTGCACGTCGCCGCGTCGTACGACGCGTTATCCACAGCCTTTATCCTCAGATGCGATCCGTTAAACGTTCGACCGAATCGTTTCACTCTATCAAAGTCCGCGTTCGTCTTCAATCGTTCGCGCGGTCGAAACACCTCTCCGTCGATGCTCTCGAACGCCGCCGGCGTCTTCCCGCTTCGTCCGCTCGACTCCCCCCAATTCCCTCCGTGTCCCACGCGCTCCTCCTTCATCATCGCCGCATCACGCGGCGACGCACCGTCGTCATCACGCACCGTCGTCAACGCCGCGTCCACGCCATCGTCACCATTCGACGCCCGCGCGCCGAGGCTGCGTCCGAATCCGCCGAATCCGCCGAATCCCCGCGCGCGCCGCCGCGTCCCACCGAACGCCCACCCCCCCGACGCCATCCCGCGCACACAGCCGCGCGCGAAACCCACCGCGAGCGCGTCCAACGCGCGATCGCGCGTCCACGCCCTCGACGCCCGCGCGTCGCGCGAATCCCATCGCGCATCGCGCGCGCCGCCGCTTACGCCGTGCCTGTGCGCCCCCCCACCGAGGGCGCGACACGCCCGCGCGCCTCGACGCATCGCCCACGGCGCGCGCGTGGTCGTCGTCGACGTCGACGCGGCCGCCGGCGACGCGCGCGCGCGCATGCGTCGGGGAGCGAGGCGCGTCGGGTGATGATTCGATCGGTGTGTTGGACCACATCGTGTGGGCGAACAGTCTCACGCGACACCGCACGAATGCGCCATCGCGCGCGCCGCGCCCCGCGCGCGGCGACGGGCGCGACACCGCGACGTCGCGCGGGATGGAGGCGACGGACGATCGCCCGTCGCGCGCGTGACGACGCGCACGGACGCGTGAGCGCGCGCGCGACGGAGGATGGGCACGGATTTAGACGCGGGAATGGATGTCCTGGGCGATGATTCGATGGCGCGCGCGGGCGTGCGCGCGCGCGTGGCGGCGCTCGAGCGCGGCGCGCGGTCGGTGACGCCGCGTTCGGGCGTCGTGGACGTCGGGCGCGATGGGCTGGACGTCGGGCGCGATGGGCGCGCGTGGAGGTCGACGGGACGGTGGACGACGGCGACGGGCGCGTTGGCGCGGGTGACGGAGGACGTGCGAGGGATTCGGACGCGATTATTCGGTGCGAATGACGACGATTCGGTCGGCGCGGACGGTGGGGACGCGTCGGTGACGGTGCGGTCGTCCTGGACGCGCGGATTGGGTGGTCGATGCGTCGCGGTGGAGGTTGAGATGGAGGCGCGCGAACGGTTCGCGCGCGTGACGCGACGGTGTCGAAACGAAATCGAAGACGTCGACGAGCGCCGACTCGAGCGTGCTCGGGCGTTGATGCAGACGCGTCGCGCTCGGTTGGATAAAGAGAGTCTGATGTCATCTCGCGCGCGATCGAGTGGGGGGCGACTTTCGTCGCCTCTTCGCGTTCTGGATGAGCAGGCGACGCTGCTCAAACGCGCGGCGTTGGAGATTCTGAGACGCAACGCCGAGCGCGGACGGGCTCTCAGGAGGGCGGCGAACGACATGTTGATCATTCGCCGTGGTCCAACGCTTCGTAAGGCGTTCGAAGGGTTGAGACAGAACGCCGAGGCGAACGCGCCTCGCACGCGCGCGGTGCTAGAGACGTGCGAGACGTTTGTCGCCGTTTCGGCTCGACGAATGCGTCGAGCCGTTTTACGAGCTTGGGCCGACGCGGCGCGAGAGAGTGGCTTGGCGAAGACGTGCGCGGCGATTCATAACGTGCGGTGCGCGCAGGCGGCGCTGAGACACTGGGAGCTCTTTGTCGCTCGAGCCCATTGGAAGCGATGTGCGAACAAACTCGCAAGACGATACGCCGACGGGCGTCTACGCGTATCGGCGTTCAGCGCGTGGCTCCTGCATCTTCGTCGCGCGAAGGAACGGCGCGTTGCCGTACGGGCGCGCATGTTCGGGATGTCGGTGCTGGAAGCGCAACGCGCGGTGCACGAAAAGCTCGATCGAACGGCGCACGACGCCTCGCGCATGAAGGGTGAGGAGTTGAGACTTTTATTCGACGAGCGATGTTTACGGAGTGCGCTACGATCACAAATCGTCGCGGCGGTGAAATTTTCGCGCGCGTTGGAAGGTTTAAGGCGTTTCTCCGCCGACGACGATGACGTTCTTTGGGCGTCGAGCGACGTCGCCGCAGTTCGCGGTATCGGCGCCGCGCAGAACCACCTCGACGCCGGATTCAGAATGCGCGGGAGAATGCACGTGGATGCACGTGCAGATCTATCACGGAATCGCGAAGATGTCGCCGCGTCGCGTGTGGCGGCTTCGATCGAGGATGCTGATGCCAGAGTGCCGTTGTATGAAACGACAACGACGATAGATGTCGAAGCGCTTGGCGCTGAGGCTTTCGAGCGCTCGCGCGAGCACGAAGGCGCGTTAGCCGCCGCTCGCGAGGCGACTGCGAAGTGCGTGAGCGCGCGCAAGTTTGAACATGAGACGAGCCTACGTGTGAGTCGTTTGGTCGCGAACGCGGAGTCACGTGCGAACGCCGCCACTCAGGGCGCACACGACGCAATGGACGAAGCCGTCCAGGCTGAATATCTCGCCATGGAGGCTGAAGAAATCGCCGACGCGGCGGAGGCACGCGCCGACGCGCTCGCTGAAAACAAGAGTGTAGATCCAACGGAGGTATCCGCGGCGTTCGCCAGCGCTGCGGATGCCGCGACGAGAGCCGTGACGATGTCGTCCGCGCACGTCGCCGCGGCGAGAGTCGCCGAACGCGCGATGGATATAGCCGAGGAGCATCGATGCGCAGCCGAACTTGTCAGAAATCAAGCGGATGAGGATTTGGAGAGCGCTCGAGCGCGAGTACTAGAGGCGGAGGCTCTCGTGATGGCGACGGCCAAGGCAGAGCGTGAGTTGAAACTGCGCGCTATGCGAGCGACGGCGGAGCTTCGGAGACTCACCGGTGTGACATCTTCCAATGAACATCGTGATTACTTAGTGGAACGCGACGAAAATATCGTCTTTTCGCCGACGAAGCGTCGCGGTATCGATGAAAAGAAGGCGAGTAGACGGCTCTTGACGTGGGAGTCATTCGGCGATGGTGACGACGAGGACGAAAGCATTGATCTTCGCGGTATCTCGCTTGTTCCGGGTCGTTGGGTCACGCTCGCCGAGTGTGCGACGCAAGCCTACGCCAAGCGTCTTGCGAAGAAAACCGTGCACGCTTTCGTCTTGAACGTCGAACAACAGTGTAGACGACGCGAGGCGGCGCTCTTGGCGTTGGCCATGATGGTCTTCACCGAGTGGCGAAACTTTGTGCGCGCCGTGACCTCGCGGCGGAAAATCGTCGAAGATATCATAAACGAGGTCATCGAGGAGGATCGGGAGCGTTGTTTGCGCGCGTGCGTGCTTGTGCTTCGGAAACACGCCGCTTGGCGTCGCGCACGATGCGATGAACTCAAACTGAGCCTTCGTCGCGTCGTCGCTCCCGATACCACGCTCCCGGCGTTCACGCACTGGCGAACAAAGGTCGCTAACATATGCCTCGTGCGAAGAGTGGTCAATCGCGCGATCGAGGCGTGGAAAGCGCGCGGCAGCGGTCCTTCGCACGCCAACGCCTTTTATCGCCAATACGACTCTTTCGTCGCCTGGCGAAACGTCGTACGGTTCGAAAGAAATCGCCGTCGAGCGACACGCGCCGCCGATCAGTATCGTCGCGTCACGCTCGCCCTTGGCGTGCTCAAATCGTGGCGCGCCGTCGCTCGAGACGCTTCACAAGCGCGTCTCCGCTCCGTCTTCGACTTCATCCATCGAACGAGCCGCCGCCGCGCGCGAAGACTCTTCTTCGGCTGGCGCGCCGAGACCCTCCGCCGACGCATCGCCGACGTCGCCTTAGAATCACATCAACGCGCTCGCACCCTTAGCGCGCTCGATGCCTGGCGCGCCGTCACCGACGCCAGACGTCGTTCCGTCGGTCGCCGCGACGCGCCTAGTAGTTAGCAATCCAAGCCAACCAACCGGATTCGATAATCTCCGCACGATTCGCACTTCACGACGCGCCCGAGCGTCGGTGCGTCCATCAAAATCGTGCTCGCGGGCGGAGGAACGCATTGCGCGCGCGTCGTCTCGCTCCCGCGCGCGCGCGCGCGTTGATCGACGTCAGCATCGACGTGCACACGGTCGGGACACGAGTGTTTCGCATTGTGAAATCATCAAACCAAAGTCGATTTGAAGTGCACCGTGATGACGCGTGAACAGACGCGTTCGTCGTTAAAAACGATGGAAGCGACGCCGTCGATGATGGCGCTGACGCCACCGAACGCGACGCCGCCGAAGACGTTCGGGAGGCTGGCGTCGAAGCGATTCGTGCAGAGCGTGTTCGGGTCGCCGAGCTCGCGAGAGTTAGAGTGGACGGGGGCGAGGGATCTGGTGAGAGATCAGCGGCGAGAGGCATTGAAGGTACCGCTGAGTCTGCGTAATGGAGACATTTTTGGGCTCATGTTGCGATTTTTGCGGGAGATGGAGTTCACGACGAGGGAGACGGCGGTGTCGTTTCGCACGCGCGTCTTTTCGGGAAAGGCTTTCGTGCGGTGGGCAATGGATCAAGAGTTCAGGGGGCAAGCATTTCGAGACGAGGCGGACGCGGTCTTTTTTGGGAACGAACTTTTGATGCGAGGGATCATAGCGCCGATTTTCAAGGGCGAAGAGATCGGAGAGAAGAAGAAGGGGATTCCCGTCATCGGGTTGCAGATCCCGGGCGTGCCCACCGTCGGCGGCATCCCGGGCGTCGGTAAGGGTTGGAAGATGTTCAACGGAGGTGAGCAGTGGTTGTACACGGTGAAGACACATGAGCGAAGCGCACTCATCGCGGCATGTTTTCGTAACTCGACCGGTGAGGAGAAGAGCGGGATCAGAGACTGCGTTGGTCGCCTTCGCACGCTGAAGTATCTCATCGACGGCGACGAGCAACCACGTGCAGAAGATGGCAGTGATGTAGAAGCTCAGACGCCGGTAATCGCGGAGGAGGGATCGGAAGATAATGGGTGTCACGTCCATCCACTCTTGTTGCCGTTCATGAGGATGCACGAAGCGATGGAAGCGTTTTTCGAAACGCTGGCCCCACACGTGGCGCTCGCGATGGCGAGCATGTTGTTCATGGTGAAACTTCAGAATTTAGCCTTCGCGTGCGTACTAGCCGTGACGTTCATGCGACACCTGTGCTGGGTTAGCGAGCGTCAGGTGAACAACTTGCTGCACCGCTCGAAGGCGGACATGCTTAGAAAGTTTCAGCGCATTCGCGGAGACCCGGCGGTGAACAAGTATGGGGCGGAATCAGCCGACTGGTGGAGCGCGGTGTTTCAGCACACGTGGGCCGGTTGGCTCGGCGTTTGGCTGAATAGGGTCATGCGGGATTTGCTTCAGTGGACGTTCGCGAGCTTGGAAGTGCCATTCTTCAGCAAAATCGAACTCAGCCACTTTACTTTCGGTAGTGTTGGACCAATAATCAAGTCAGCTCGAACCTTCGCGGGCGTGGACGACGAGATGATCGTCGAGTGGGATCTCTCGTGGGTGACGGAGAATTCCAGCTTTTTTGTGTCGGCGATGTTTGGACGTGGAACGGTGGTGCCGATACCCATCCGTATGCGAATGACGGACGTACGGTTGGAGGGAAAGCTTCGCTTGACGTTCACGTGGATGCGAGAAACTGGAGGCCCGTATGTGCGCGCGCTTCGAGTATCCTTCGTCGGTTTACCAGATTACGATTTCGCCATCAAGGTTTTCGGTGGGATCAACGTGAGTGAAATAAGCGTGATAGACGCCGCCATTCACCGCGCGGTAGATGAGTACTTCAAGACATCTCTGTGCGAACCGGAGGCTTACTTTTGGGACGTCAAGGAGTGGTGGAATTCGGGCTCGACTGAGGAAGTCATTAATCCCCTGGATCTCATCGATCAAGCGCTCATGAAAGATGTCGAAAGACTGTGGAAGCGATGTAGATTCGATACGACAGTAGAGATGCGCGTGATGCCGGGCTTCGTCGAGTTAGATACGAGCGGGAAGAACTCATCGGTCAAGGATAAGTTCTTGGACGGAAACAAGTGTCGAATGAGCGTAATGATGGAGTATGGACGCAAGAGGCTTGTGTCCAAGTCGCACAGCATGAAGAAGCACCTCGAGGCTGAAAATCGTGACACGCTCCTTCCCACCTGGGAGGGTAATGCTTTCGCGAAGCTCGATGTGAATGATGACATCGTCAGTGACGAGGTGCACTTCACTGTCCTGAGCGAACGCGTCGGTGGGAATACGGCGAAACGCGCGACCACAAAGCTGCTGAGAATCAGTCGAAAAGTCATCGCTATCGGGAAGATCGACGACGTGCTTAAATTGAAAACCGGCACGATTCACGACATGGCGATCCCGCTCCTGGACGCTTCGACGCTCAAATCCGTCGGCAAGCTGCACGTGCGCATTCGCGTGAACATCATGAAGCCGGACATCGTCGTGAATGAAGAAGGTCGACGAGCGTCGCTCAAAAAGCTCGGCCAACGCGTAAACACAATGTACAGCACGACCCTGACAGATGCCGCCAAGTTTGCGACGGGAACCTCGAAAAAGATTGCGTCGACGACAACCTGGGCGTTCACGTGTTTCGGGTGTATCAAGAGAGATCGTGGCGAGTCGCGCGTCGAGAGCGCGGAATCAAGCGCCGGCCCTAGCTCTTCGAGAGTCACCGTCGAAGATTCTGATGACGATGAAGGGTTTTCGTTCCCGAAAAACCCGGTCACGTCGACCAACGCATCGCCGGTGCGCCCGTTTGGTCGACAAGCCTGGAAGTCGTCGCCGCAACTCGTTGAGCATCCCGGCGTCGAGATCGATAGCGATTCCGACGCCGAAAAGCCGCGCGCCGGCGACCCCTTCTACGAACACATCTAGCTTCCACATGTGACGAACACATCTAGCAGCTTCCGCACGCATCCATCGATTCAAACACACAATTTTTTTGTTATACCAAACTACACGTCTACGCGCCGCCGCCTCTCCTTTGCAAACGAACCAAAAATCGCTCACGCCCCCCGTCGCACCGCCGGTGCGATGTATTCTAACGCCTCCATGCTCACCACAGAATTCCCTCGCACGACGACCATTCCCATCGGCGTCTTCTCCGTCGTCGTGTCGTTCGTCGAGTCGTCCAGGACCAGGTTGAGAAACTGATCAAAACCTCTCAGGATCCCGGTCACGCTTCGATTGCCGTTCAATCGCAGGCGGAGCTTTTTGTCCATGTACCTGAGTGTGGAACGGTTACACGTCAGTCTCGAGGTTCGCGCGTCGCTCTGTTCCCTTGAACACAAACGGGCGCGAGAGCGACGAGTGAAAGATCGTCGGCGGCGCTCTCGAGGAATTTAAAGAAAACGCGTCGCCGCCGACGATTCGCTGCGTTCTTACTCGCGCGCGCGCGCGAGTTCGGGTCGAGGGAGATGTCTTAACGTACTGCTTGAGCTCGGGGATGGCGACGCCGCCCATGGTGCGCGTGACACGTCGAGATGTGACGATTTTGCGACTAATTCAGACCACAAAGGCGCCGCGCGCGGTGGGGGCGAAACGGAACCGTATGGTTGACGGTGAGACGATGCGTGGCGGAGTCACGCGGAGGTGGAAAGAATCGTTGTTTAAATAATGTTACATGAACTTTTTCGTCTTGCTCGTGGGCTTGGCGTTCGCGGGATCGTCGGGCCAGAAGTGTTTCGGGTAGCGACCTCGGAGCTCTTTGGCGATGTCCACATAGGCGCCCGCCCAAAAGCTCGCGATGTCGCGCGTGATCGCCTGCGGCCGCCCGGCCGGGGAGAGGAGATGGAGCTCGCATGGGATACCTCCTATGAGTGGCGTCGATACGAGGCCGTAGAATTCTTGAATCTTGGCGGCGACGATAGGAACGTCACCTTCGTAATCGACGGTGACTTTCGTTCCGCTCGGAAGCGTCGTCGTCGCTGGGCACAAATTCTCGACGAGACGAAGGTGATCGTGCGTCGCGAACTGCGCCTTGATCAGAGACATGACGTCAATCTTGGATAAATCAGATTTTGACGTCGCACCACCGATCCACGGCGCGAGCCACTCCGGCGCGGTGCGAAGGAGACTCTCCTCGGAGACGTCTGGAAATGTTGGATCAACACCACTCCGATGAACGAACTCGGAACGTCGAAGCCACGATTTCGCGGTTTGATTCAGACTGAACGCGTTAACGAATCCCATCTCTCGTATTCCGTCCAGCATCGCGCTCACCGTCGCATCCGGGTCGTCCTTCATCGATAACGGCAACTCCCGAAGCGCAAGCGAGCCTACGGTGAGACGTCTTCGAGCGAGGACTGATTTAGACGCACTCGCCCAAAATATTTCATCCCTCTCTTCGGCGAGCGCTTCGAAGAGAGCGCCATCTGGACCGTCGAAACATGATCTATCGATAGGAGCGGCCACGCGCACGCGATCGTTCCTCGCGCCAGCATTTCCCGCTCCGTCGCCCGCTAACTCGGCGATGACAAGCGTCTCCGACGACTTGTCCGCGTACTGCAACAGTGCGTCGTCTTTGTGATCCGGTCCTACGCTCGCGGCACCGCCGCCGGATAGCGAGAATGCACCACCGCGGCTTTTACGCGCGGCGATGCGATCGGGATACGCCAGAGCGAGCAAGAGACCTACCTCGCTCTCGCCCGCACCGCACAGGAACGGCCACACCGGGCCGGTGGGATCGCCTTGGCCGACGCCCGTCGCGCATAGATCCGGATGCGTCGTCGTCAGCTGACGAATCTGACTGAACAGCTGTTCCGCGACTTTTTTCGCCTCATCCACCGCGCGATCATCGACGTTCCAGCTCCCGCCGCTCGCGCCGTTTGTTGCGACGTTCACTGCCGAATTCACGTTTGGTCGCTTCCCTCGTGGCGCGCCCTTGATCCTCTTTCCGCCCTTAGGAAGTTTCGTATCGATAGACACTCGCGTAGGCGCAGCCGTGTTCGACGACGTCGACGGCGTTGGGGAATCCATACCGGTGCTCAAGCTCCCGAGCGGATCCTGTCCCCACAGCGCTCGAAGTCTGCACCGCACATCCAGCGGCGCGTCTCTGCCAGAAATCAAGTCCCGCTCGCCGAGCACGGCGGCGATTTGACACGCCAGTCGCGCACTTTCGGCGCCGCGCGACGCACCAAAAAGAAGCATCCTTCCCATTCTCGGGTGCAACGGGAGATCGGACATGACTCGTCCGAGCGCGCTTGGCGCGACGACGTCTTCGCCGCTCAGCGCTCCGAGTTCGCGCAGCAGCCGTCTCGCCGCGATCAGCGGCCCCTCGGGCGGTGGGTCCAACCACGCGAGCTCGTTCGCGTCACGAATACCCCACGTCGCCAAGTCCAGCGCCACGGGCGCCAGGTCAGCTTGCAGTATCTCAGGCGTCGTGTCTGGCGCCAACTTTTCATTCATCGACTCGCTCCAGAGGCGATAACACACACCCGGGGCGACGCGACCGGCACGACCGCGTCGCTGATCCGCGCTCGCACGCGAGATGCGAGTGAGCTCGAGTCGAGTCATCCCTTTCCTCGGGTCGAATCGCGGCGTTTTGCACAGACCAGAATCAACCACAATTTTGACCCCGCTAATTGTGAGCGACGACTCGGCGATGGGTGTACTCACGACGACTCTCCGCGCGCCAGGTTTTGACGGCGCAAGAGCGAGCGCTTGATCCTCCTGAGACAGCGCACCGTACAGTGGCAACGCCGTGACGTTATTCGGCAACTCTCCCTGTAACTCTCTAACCACACGATTGATTTCCGCCGCGCCCGGAAGAAAACAGAGCACGTCGCCGTCGGGCGTCGTCCGAATCGCCTCCTTCACCGCCTTCGTCGCAGCGCGCTCGAGCTCACCGAATCCCACACCCGGCGGACCCATGTAAATCGTCTCCACCGGATACGACCGTCCCTCGCTGACGATGATCGGCACATCCTCACTCCCGCCCTCCTCCCCGGCGTCGTCTCTTAAGAGGTCAGCCACGCGCGTCCCGACCGCTCCGAGCGTCGCGCTCATGACGAGCAAACGCAAATCCGGCCGAATCGTCCGCTGCGCCTCCCGACACAGCGCCAACGCAAGGTCTCCATCTAAATGCCGCTCGTGAAACTCATCAAAAATCACCGCCCCGACCCCGGCGAGCTCGGGATCTCTTCGCAATCGCCGCATCAACACCCCCTCGGTGACCACCTCGACCACCGTCCGCGAGCTCGCTTTGCGCTCAAACCGCACGGCGTACCCCACGCTCTCCCCGACTTTCTCCCCCAGCGTCGCCGCCATTCGCGTCGCCGCCGCTCTCGCCGCCAATCGTCTCGGTTCCAGCACCAGCACCGTCTTCCCACCGCCTCTACGCCCATCATGACCCGCGCGCGCGTCGTCGCCGCGCGACGCCGACCACCCATCCGCGCGCGCCGCCGCGATCAACAATGGAATCACCGTCGTCTTCCCCGCCCCCGGCGGCGCCTGCGCGACGACGCACCGAGACTCATCCAACGCCTTCAACACGTCCTCCGCGCACGCTCCGATCGGGAGCGACGACGCGGCGTCACGAATGCGCTCGAGGTTGTTTTTTGAGAAATCACCACTCGACGCACGAATCCCTCGCCCGCGACCGACGCGCGCGCGCGCGCGACCCGACGCCCGCGCCCGGCGCTCGAGGACGATGTCCGCGCCCGTCGCGCGCGCGCGCGCCATCGCGCGCGCGCGAACGAGCGCGCGATGACGGCGGTGCGGCAGAGACTGACGCATCCACCGCTTCATGCCGCGCGAGGTCTCGCGCGTCGGCGCGTACGCGCTCAAGCGCTCGCTCGGCAAAGGCGCGTTCGGGTTCGTCAAGCTCGGGGTGCAGGATAAGACGGGACGCAAGGTGGCGGTGAAGGTGCGAGCGAACGCCGGACGCATGCAACTCAATGGATGCGCGCCGCGACACGGCGACGAAGACGACGACGCGCGCGGCGACACGGCGACGAGGACGGCGCGAGAGAGACTGACGCGTCGTGCGCGACGTGGGGACAGATACTCGATCGAGAAAACTTGCTGCGCGTGGACGAGCAAGAGCAGTTGAAGGCGGAGATCAAGGCGTTGGCGGACCTGTTCCATCCGTGCATCGTCGATCTGATAGAGGTGCTCACGAACGAGACGTCGGTGTTTATGGTGATGCAGTACTGCCCCGGGGGAGAGCTGTACGACGTGATCCGAGCGAAGGGGGCGCTGAACGAAGAACAGGCGAGACGACACTTTCAGCGGTTGATACAAGGGGTTGATTTTTGTCACAAGAAACGGATATATCATCGCGATTTAAAGCCGGAGAACTTGTTCCTGGATGAAAACGGTGATCTGTGCATCGGGGATTTCGGTCTCGCCGCGTTGCGAGAGGATGAGGAGGATAACAACCTGCGGACAATTTGCGGGACGCCGCACTTCGCGGCGCCCGAGGTCATGGGCGGCTCTAGACGGTTAGTCGGAAACAAGAATTTTAAGACGGTAAACACAAAAACGCGGACTGAGGGGTACGACGGCGCGCCCGCGGACGTGTGGTCGTGCGGATGTATTTTGTACTTTTTACTCACCGGGGTCTTTCCGTTCGACGGGCAGAACTTCGTGCAGCTGCAAATGCTGGTGCAAAAGACCGAGCCGTACTTTGCGCCGCAGCGAATCTCAAAACCTTGCGAAAAACTAATCAGGGGGATGTTGGTCAAGGATCCAGCGAAGCGGTGGACGATCGAGCAGGTGATGAAGTCGAGTTGGTTCAAGACTGATTACGAGCCCGTGCAAGTGCAAGAGTCGAAGAAGGATTCTCGTCACTACGACGACGAAGACCCCGCGCTCGAGGAATTCTGGAGCCCCGACACGGGTCTCGTCGTTAAGACTGCGGGTGAGTCAAGTATGAGCGAAGTCGACAAAATGCGACCGATCAAACAACTCAACGCGTTTGAGCTCATAAATCTCGCCGCATTTGATGTCGAGAGTATTTTCGATGAAGATGAGAACACGGTGAGCAACGCCACGCGTTTCATGAGCAAGGAGAGCATAGACAAGGTTCAGGCGGCGGTTATCAAGCGCGCCGAACAGGATCTCAACACGGTCGCGAAGAGAAAGACGCTTTCAAGAGTCACATTTGAAGACGTAAACAACGGAGTCGTCGTCACGATGCGAACCTATCAGGTCATTCCGGGCGTTTGTGTGTACGATTTTAGTCGCGACGAAGGAGGGCGCGATCGGTTTCACGCGTGGTTCCAAAAGCTCCGTGACCCGAGCGGGCCTGTCGGTGCGTTGATCAACATAGACGATGCACAGCATACTGCTCCATGAATGACAGCGATACACGTAACATCGTTGTTGTCAAGATAAGTAGGCCACCTTTATCGTGGGACATTGTAAATTAAATACTTGTACTGCAACGTTGTTGTACTGCGGGATGTAGTGCGACCATTGAATCTATGCGGCCTCGAGCATGTTGATGAAGGCGTCGACGCCGATGACTTTGATGCGAGGATTCGCGTTCGCGCGCGCGCGCTCCTCCGGCGTGTTGTATCCCCAGTTCACCAAGTAGAGCTCCCACTCGTTCAAGTCATCCGCTTTGCTCACCTTCTCGAGCGTGCTCAGCTTATCCTCGACGAAAATCTTTCGCCATTTACCCTCAGTACCGAACGTGCGCAAGACATCCGTCTTCGGGATCCCGCTCACCGTCGTGCTGAACATGTCCTCCTCGGGAATCACCAACCCGCCCATTCGCTCCATAATCGCGAGCGCGAACCGCCCTTGTTTCGTCGTCACGATCTTCACCGCCGCGTCCGACCTCGCCTGCGCTCGCTTCACCGCCTCGGCGACGCCCGGATACAACGCGTTCGGTTCCAACCATCCATCGAAATCCTCCTCGATCCAATCATCTCGAATCCGCCCGAACGCCTCCACCATCATCGCCCGATCCAATCCCCATCGCTGCATCAAACCTCCGGAGATTTGATCCCACTCGTTCAAGATGTCCTCGACGCCGTACCCGTCCAATTTTTCGAGCAACGCCCGCGCGAGCGTCGTGTTCTCGTACCCAGTCTCCACCACCGGTCGAACCGCTCTCAACTCGTCCAGCACCCGAGGTTTCGCCGTCGTCGCCTCCGGGGTGTCGAAAACCTCCGGCCAGAGCTCGACGCCGTGTTTCCAAGCGCTCAGCGAAGATTCACCCACGGAGTCACAGACGACGCCATCGAAATCGAGAGCGAAGATGACGCCGTCTCTGTCCGCTCTCGCGACCGCGGACGACGCGCGTCGAGCAGAGGGCGCTCTTATGTTCGTGCGCGCGACGCGCGGGGTTGTTGGCGCGTCGTGATCGTCATGAAATGCAGTGTCGCGCGCGGTCGGTTGTTGGCTCCAATCCTGCTTTACTCGCGTGGTATTAACAACATCTCTTGCGTCCGAGGGCAGCCTCGGCGGCGGCTTTCTTGGCGGCCTGTTCGTCCTGACGCTGGCGCTCGCGAGCGAGGAGGACGTCGAGTGAGGTCGCGGGGTCATGGGTGGGTTTGACGGCGTTAGCGGCGGCGTCGGAGGATCCGTTTTGTCGGGTCCACATGGCGTGGTAGGTGCCGCCGCGGCGGAGGAGGTCGTCGTGCGAGCCGTACTCGACGACACGACCGGCGTCGAGGACGGCGATGTTGTCGCAGTTCCTCGCCGTGGAAAGTCTGTGCGCGACGACGATGGTGGTCTTACCCTTCATCAGAACCTCGAGCATCTTGAGGATGTCCTGCTCGGTGTTGGTGTCGAGCGCGGACGTGGCCTCGTCCATCAAAACTACCGGCGAACCCTTCAGCAAGGCGCGGGCGATCGCGACGCGCTGCTTCTCCCCACCCGAGAGCTTCAAACCGCGCTCACCGACGATGGTATCGAACCCCTTGGGCATGCGATTGATTGGGCCATCGATGGCGGCGAGTCGAGCCGCCTCGCGGACCTCACCGCCGTCCGCGCTCATCCTACCGTAGTGAATGTTGTAATGAATGGTATCGTTGAATAGGACAGTGTCCTGAGGTACCACCGCAACGGACTCGCGTAGCGATTTTAGCGACACCTTCTGCGCGTCCTGACCACCGAGGAAAATTCCGGAGGATTCTCCGTTCTTCTCCGCGTCATACAGCCTGAATAGCAGACGCAACAGTGTGCTCTTGCCGCTTCCGCTCGCTCCCACGAGCGCGAGGGAGCCTCCCGCGGGGACGCTCACCGAGAGACCATCTATGATTTTGCGCCCATCATCGTAGCCAAAGCTCACGTTTCTAAATTCCACCGACAGACCTTCTGGCGGCACGACGAGCGGCGGAGCATCGTCGAGCTCCCGAATCGCGCTCTTCTCATCCAACAGGTGAAACATGGACGTCATGTCGATCAGTGACTGACGCGCCTCGCGATAGACGGATCCTAAGAAGTTCAGCGGAACCGAGAGCTGAAACAACAAGCCCTGGACCATGACCAAGTCACCCACTGTCAAGTTGCCCTGCGCGACGCCCTGCGCGGCGAGGAGCATCGCCGCCGACAGAGACGCCGAGAAGATTGCATTTTGTCCAAAGTTGAGCATCCCGAGTGAGCTCGCGATCTTCAAATTCGCCTGCTCTACCCCTCTCAAGCTCTCATCGTAGCGCTTCACCTCGTGTTCCTCGTTGTTGAAATACTTCACCGTCTCAAAGTTTAACAACGAGTCTATCGCCTTGTTGTTGCCTTCGTTTTCCAACTGGTTCATTTGCCTCCTAAACTTCGTCCTCCATGTCGTGCACGCGATCGTGAACGCGGTGTACGCACCGATCGTCCCTCCAGTGAGCATGGCGAACTCAGAGCCGCACTTCGCGGCCAAAATTCCGCTCACAAGGGCGATTTCAAAAGCCGTCGGAAACACGTTGAACACCATGCTATTCAACAAAAAGCTTATCCCTCGCGTCCCGCGATCGATCGTGCGATTGAGCGCCCCCGTTTGACGATCGAGGTGGTACTTGAGATCTAACGCGTGTAAGTGCGCGAAAACTCTCCTAGCCACCGTACGTATCGCGCCCTGACTCACCTTTGAAAACGTAACGTTTCGCAACTCATTCGCCAGGCTCGCCGAGGCGCGAAGCGCCCCGTACCCCACCAACATCGCCGCCGGCGTCGCCACGAGCGCTGCCGCTGGCAAGTTCGCCATCGCCGCCGCTCCCGTCGTCGCCATCCCCATCTGCACGCTCAATCCATCGATCGCGTACTTGAACGCGAACGGCACGCTCACATTCGCCGCCTTACTCGCCACGAGCAACGCCACCGCCACCGCCACCCGTCCTTTCGCCCCGCCCTCCTCCGCGTTCACCAGATACCCTCCCAGCTGTCGCAAAATCCTAAAATCGATATCATCCGCCCGCATCGGCGCCGTCGTCTTCCCCTCCGTCTCCCCCGCCGCGCCGCGTCGCGTCTCCGCGTCCCCGCGTCCCCCTCCCGAGGTCCCACCCGTGGTCCCATCCGTCGCCGTCGCCGACGCCGACGCGAACGACGCCCGTCCGACCTCCATCCACGTCCTCGATCGCCGCGCGCGCGCGCCGTGGCGCCACCGCGCGCGGTGACACATCCACGTCGCCCCGTCGCTCGCCCACCCACCGCCGCCGTCACCGACGCGCGCGTCCGCGACGTCGCGCGCGAGCGCGCGCACGCGCGACACCACCGACCGCGCCGCGCGTCGCGACGCCGCGGACATCGCGCGCGCGGGCGTGGCGCCGCCGACGCGCGCACGCGGCGTCGACGATGCGGTGGCGGTGGCGGTGTCGTATCGCGGTGCATTTTAAGCCATCATCGACGACGTCGACGACCCGCGTGTGCACCCGCGTATGGGTTTTGCGTCACTCGCACAGTGGCGCCCGTCTGGACGACACCGACACCACGCGTGTGCACCCGCGTATGGGTTTTGCGTCACTCGCGGCGTCCACGGTGTCGACGTACATGGGTGAAAACAACACTGTATACGTCGACGCCATCCCGCGACCGCCCATCGCGCGCGATGCCGCGCGCGGTGCTCGACGGCGCGTCGCGCGCGCGGGGGCGGGGGCGCATGAAGACGATCGACCGCGACGCGACGACGTGCGGGGCGTGCGCGCGCGCGTTCGAGCGTGGGGTGGGAAAATGTCTGGATGAGGAAGAAACGGTCGACGGGACGGGATCGACCGCGGCGACGGGTCGAACGCAGCGCGGGCGGCGATTCGCGTCGACGAAGACGCCGGAGATTGGACCCATATGCCGGGCGTGTTACCAGAGGGAGTATCGGGAGCGGAAGGGGGCGACGCCGCGGGGGGAGAATCGGTGCGCGCGGTGCGGGGCGACGGAGACGAGCGGAAAGTGGTGCGTCTGGCGCGGAGGCGATGGACGGGAGGCGAGGGCGGATAATAAAGCGGAGACGTTGTGTCAGCGATGTTACGACGTCGAGCGGTGGAGCGCGTCGGTGAAGAAGCGGGCGGAGATGGTGGCGGAGGACGACGAGGACGGCGCGCGGTGCGCGCGGTGCGATAGAAAGGGAACGGGGAGCGCGTCGACGGCGTGGTATCGCGCCGAGGGCGGTGATTTGCTGGGGAGGAAGGTGTGTAAGGCGTGTCATCTGTTGGATTATCGGGAGCGGATGAATAACGACCCGAAGGTGTATTGTCACGGGTGCGCGAAGACGGAGCTGTCGACGAGGCAGTGGCGGCGACGCAAGGGCGGTGGGCACTGGTGCGACGCGTGCTACAAAAGGGATAGATTGGATAAAATGAACGCCGACCCGGAGGTGTTTTGCGTCACGTGTCGATCGCAAACGAGCGGTGGACCGGAGTGGAGACGCAAGGGCGAGGCGTATCAATGCCGCACGTGCCTGAGCGCGGAGCGCAACGCGCGGAAGCGCCTGGAGAAGGCGAGCGCGGTGGTTGTTTGATCGATGCATCGCTCGCGTGGTTTCGAAAACGGTGAGATGTCGCGCACACGATTTTGAGTCGCGTACTGAAACGCGCCGTCGCGAACGCTCGATGATTTTACCGCGTGTAATGACCACAAAGAGTACTTTATAGCTCGACGCCGCAAACATGCCCCCGCGTGGGTGCGAGCCCACGTCGACGACGAGGTGGGACCCCGAACACGTGACCGCCGCGATAGAGGTACGAACCCGTCGAACGACGACGCGCGCGTCAAACGAAGCGGCGACTGAAGAAAAATGCCAACAGCTCGAGACTGACGCGCTCGCTCGCCGCCCTCTCTCGCTTAGCGCTCCATCTTACACGTCGGTGAGTTCGTAGTGAACGAACATCGTCGACACGAGGCGTACGTGCGCGTGGAGGGTGTTCCGCACGACGTGAAGCTCGATGGGTTCGCGCGACACGGACGAAGCGTGCACGGTGACCGGGCGTGCGTGCTCGTCGATCCGTACGAGCAGTGGGAGCGGTTGAGAGTGGATTCGGGAGAGATAGAGGCAAGTTCGAACGAAGGACGGACGTTGGAGGAGCTCGCGGCGGCGTGTCGTCTTGGATGGCGACCGACAGGGATCGTCGTGGCGACGGCGGAGCCGTCCGCGCGGAGAAAGCGCATGGTAGGACGGTTGGAAAGGGACGGCGACGGCGGGGTGCTGGCGTTCGTACCCGTGGATGGACGGCTACCGAAAGGGCGGATTTCCCAGTACAGTGTGCCGAGATCGATCGAACGCGCATTGGCGGAGGGTGAGAGGTTGGACGATGTCTTCGTGAGCGTTCGGTTGAGAAAATGGAGCGAACACGAGCGTATGCCGATGGTCGATATCATCGACATCATCGGCCAAGGAGCGATCGACAATGACATTGCGTTGATGACAAAGGTAATCGTCGACGAGCACCGCATCGTGAGCGAAGATTTCAGCGCACAGGCGGAGGCGTGCTTACCAAAAGTGCAGCCTCGCGAGCACTGGAAAATTCCGGCCGAGGAAATGAAAAAGAGGAAAGACTTTCGAGAGAAGCTGGTCTTCAGCATAGACCCACCTACCGCTCGAGACTTGGACGATGCACTGAGCGTGGAGGTCATGCCCGAGGGAACACTGCGCGTGGGTGTGCACATCGCAGACGTGTCGCACTTTGTGCTTCCAGATACGGCACTCGATGAAGAGGCGCGCCAAAGGGCCACAACAACATATCTGGTGCACACCATTTTCCCGATGCTTCCGAGACTATTGTGCGAAAATTTGTGTTCTCTCAATCCCGGGGTCGAGCGTTTGTCGTTTTCAGTGGAGTGGGTGATGACGCGTGAAGGAATGGTGAAGAGGGTGTCCTTCACGCGCGGAGTGATCAAGAGCGCGGCAAAGCTGTCGTACATTCACGTCCAAAACGTGATCGACGCGGGGTCAGACACCACGAAGGCAAAAGATGCGCTTCAGGACATCGACTTGTCGGGAAACCACACGCTGGACGACGTGATTGAGAGCATTTCAATTCTCAACTCAACCGCGAAGGCAATGCGAAAGCGACGATTCGAGGCGGGTGCGGTTCGGCTGGATCAGCCAAAGATCGGATTCGAGCTCAACGACGATCTCGAGCCAGTGAACGCCGAACCGTACGTCATTCGTGACAGCAATCGTCTCGTCGAAGAGTTCATGCTGCTCGCGAACATGTACGTGGCACAGTATATCGCCACCATTTTCCCGTCGCACGCCATGCTGCGTTGTCATCCGCCGCCAAACGAGCGCAAACTGGAAGAGCTGTACACGTTTGCGAAGGAGCACGACATCGACATTGATGTATCATCCTCTAGACGGCTTCATCAGAGCTTGAGCGCCATCGCAAATGGATCGCGGGACGTCTTCAATATCGTCCAACTACTCGCCACGAAACCTATGCAGTTGGCCAAGTACTTCTGCACAGGAACCATTGATGAAGAACACTGGCACCACTATGCACTCGCAGCGCCGTTCTACACGCACTTCACGTCACCGATCAGACGATATCCGGACATTATCGTCCATCGCCTGCTCGCCGCGGCGATCGAGCATGACAGGGATGACAGCGAGTCTGTCGTCGTCGCAGAGCTCGTTGAGCGACACGGACTACTGCCACCGGAAGTGTGCAGCGGCGTCGCAAACCATTGTAACGACCGAAAGCTGGCGGCAAAATATGCACAAGAACGAAGTCAGCACCTATTCCTGTGCAAGTACTTGCAAAAGAACCATCTCGTCGCGCGAGCAATCGTTCGGCAACTTGGCGTGCAGTACGTGATCGCGTACTTGCCTAGCTATGGTTTCGAGATTAAGATTTACCTCGAAAAGCAACGTCATGTCGTGGTGAAACAGAGCGGTTTTAGTGAAGGCGCACCGCACTCGCAGACGAAGGAGGTACACATCAAACTTGACGTCCGCAAAGAATGCGAAGACGCCGCGAAGATCGCGGCTGATGCCGCCTCGCTCGAGCGCCTCGATCGCGCCGAATACAAGAGCGTGCTCAAGCACGCCAGAGGTTTGCGTGGCAGATGCTTGAACACCACTGAAGAGCAAGAAACGGCGTTAGACGACGATCAAGACATGCTCGAGTTGCCAAAAACGATCAAAGCGCTCGATAAGATTACTGTGTTACTTTGCGTCAGGAGAGATAGTCCCACAAAGTTTGAGATTTTCGGATTGGCGCTGATAAAAAATCCGTTCTTTCTCTCGTAGGCAACTTAGCGTTTAGGATTACGATGCTTGATGAAATAAATACAAGTCGCATTACAATACGAATGTAAGTAAACCGGGCGCTAAACCGGGCGCCTCTCAACTCGAGGCGTGGCCGCTCTGGGCCCCCAGAATCGCAATGACGGCGAAGGGTAACGCGTGTTCACGCAGTATGCTCCTTGTAGACGCCACTGTCATTGTCCATCGAAACTGGGTAGCGGTATCTCCCAACGGAGCCCGTGTATGATTCATTTGTTGCCTCAGATTTCTTCCTCTGAGGTATGGTCGGAGGATTCCGCCGACGACTCGGGGAACTCCATGACGCACGAGGGAGTAGCCGGGCGGTCAAGAGCCATCTTGGCATCCGCGAAAGAGAACGGATGCGAGCTCGTGAAACTCGTGCCACCTGCCAAGTTCGGCATACTGAACGACTGTCGAAGTCTATCGTTGTGCTCGTACGTGAAATAGGCGACGACGCCCTCGACGTCGAATTCCTGGCGCGTGGCTTGCACTCGTGTATAGCCCGGAATGAAGGAGCCATTGCCGAGCACGTCGTTCGCAACTTCGGCTGCGTTCAAGCCGTCTACGGAGATGGCGAAGATCATTTTTCCCGGCTTGAAGACGTTTGCAACCTTGCGAACATACGCAAAGGCGTCCAAATCCTCGCACTCCACGTTGGAGAGCTCGCACGAGGCGTAAGAAAAGCCTTCTTCGGGAGTGATGTGAATTGTGCTGTACTGACCATCAATCGAGCCGTGCTCGTTCAAGCCGTTCATAGAGTAGCCACACGGTTCGAACACGTAATCGTCGATGTCGAACTCTTCGAAGATGGAGCGGATGCCACTATCCGTGGTGGTTTGCGCCGAGCTCACGAATTTATCCGTGCGATAGAAGTGCTCGTCGCAGTGCTCGCGGTTGAGTTGCGTCATGCAAACCTCCAAGGACGCCTTCGGCCGAGCGTCTTGTACCGGGCACGCATCGCCGGCGACGTACACGTGCCACTGCACACCTTTGAGCTTACTCCCGAGAATATAAGACGAGCCGCCCTCGATGGATAAGCCTCCAAAGTGCTTCTCCAAGAAGTCCACCTCGTCGTCGAAGGAAGCGTGCAACGCCGGTTGGAGATCCGGCTTGTCGAAAGAAGAACGCGTGAATTTCACGCGACGCGGCTCCATGCCAACCTCCTTCGCGTACTTCAAGATCGCGGGCACGCCCGCAAGAAGGTGTGTCGTGCCGCACGTCTTGAGCACCAACTTTGTCGGAAACACGAAGAGCGAGGACTCAGAAAGAACGTACGCGTCAAACTTGACGTTCGTGCGAACAGAGACGATCTCGCACCGAGCCGCAGTCATACACTCATCGAGCTGCGTCCGCGTGATCTCACGAAGCCCACGCGGGTTCTCTTTGTTGAGGTGGAAGTCAATCTCAATCCTCTTCTCCGCCCCCTCAAAGTGCGGGGACGGGTAGAGCCCGTCCACCATGGTCACGGACGCTGTCTGCGCCACCATGACTCTAACTATTATTGTTTTTTAACCTCCTCTCTCACTGTCGCGTTTGGTCCCAGATGAAGCGCGCTACTTCACTTCCAGAACAAGCGTGTCAGGACGGAGGACGCGTCAGGTCGTAGTACGACGCGTCTTGATACTTCTCCCACCCCCAAGGCCGCAAATCCGCAATCAAAGCAGACTCAAATGCTTCGTTAAGTTCCAACTGATCTCTGGATATATTATCGCTACTACCGTCCTCGACGTCCATCGTGGTCTCTTGCTCTCGTAAGTGGCCTTCGCCTTTGGATGTGTGGGAAAATGTGTGGGAAACTCTCTCCTTGTCCCTCGACTCGCACGCGAACAACCTTTAACCCGTTTCCTCGGTTAAACTAAACCTCGAGCGGTCCTTAAATGAAACCCTCGCGACTCGTCGCTCACACGCTCCGTGAACAACCTAAAACAGCGCGTAATCGCTCGCGCTTTGATCCGCCGACGTACGCGCCGTCCGCGGTGCTTTCTCGGCGTGAAGATCTCCCTCTCACCGCTTCGTTCGAGCCCTGAGACTCGATGTATTCAATCACGTGACGTGAAAGATTCCGTGGGAACTTTCGTATGCGCGCGCGCGAAGACGTGGGGCGTCGACGCGCGCGATGAACTCTCGTCGATACGGCGCGATTAGGGCTCGAGGTGCCGAGTTGACTCGTCGCGTCGACGGGCGTTATTTTTTTCAGAAATGTGGTTGGTTTTCTCATACTGTGATAATTTTAGGTCTGTGACTAGTTCGAGTGGTTACTTTGTAGGACGTGACAGCGCAGACGCGTTTTCGCGATGGGATGCTCGATGGCGGCTGATTGACTGGAAAGAATGCCCGTGTTACAAGCTCGCGACGTACGAGGCTTAGATGGCCTTGTACTCGACGTTCGTGATCTTACCGAGCATGACCGCGGTGTTACCGTCCAAGAAGGCGATGCGGGAAAGACCCTCGCACTTCTTGAAGGAGTCGACGACGAGCGGGTGCACCGGTTCGAAGACGCACTCGGCGACTTCGTTGGACTTCAGCGACATCGGGGACTCGAGCTTCTTACCTCCGGTTTCCTTGCCAACCTTGAAGTTGAGCGCCGTGAGCTTGCACGCGGAGCGACCGCAACGGACGAAACCGATCGGGGAGTAGCCAACCTTGAGTTCACCCGGGATGTCCAAAGTTTGGACTTGCGCGGTGAAGTTCTTGCACGGGGCGAGGGAGGTGTCCTTCTTGTAGATCATGACGTCACCGGTGCGCGGCATGTTGAGCTTGTCGAGACCCTTGATGTTCATACCGACGTTGTCACCCGGCGCGGCGGCTTCGACACGCTTGTGGTGCATTTCGACGGTGAACACCTTACCACCGCACGGGTTGGAGGAGGTGTGGGTCGGGAGGAAGACGACATCTTCACCCGGCTTGACGAGGCCTTGCTCGACGCGGCCGGCGAGGACATCACCGACACCCTTGATCTTGTAGACACCGGAGATCGGGAGGCGCATTTGCGCTTCGGTGTTGCGGTCCGGGCGGTCGACCATGTCGTTGAGGACGTTGAGGAGGGTGTCAATGTGGAACTTGGCGCCCTTGCCGTCGTAGCCTTCAACGTCGACACCGTTCCACCAGGCCATCTTTTCGGACTTCTTCAACAAGTTGTCACCGTTCCAGCCGGAGATCGGGAGGACCGGGACGGACTTTTCGACGTAGTCCTTCTTCCAGCCGACCTTGATCAACATGTTCTTCATTTCGTTGCGAATTTCTTCGTAACGCTCTTGCTTGTAGCCAGCCATATCGCAGTCCATCTTGTTGATACCGATGATGAGCTGCTTGACGCCGAGCAAGTTGAGAAGACGGGCGTGCTGGCGGGTTTGGCCTTGCACTTCACCAGCCTTGTGGTTACCCTTTTGGATGGCGACGGTGAAGTTACCGTCGGCCGGGACCATGAGGAGGGCGACGTCCGCCTGGGCGGCACCGGAAATCATGTTCTTAATGAAATCTCTGTGACCCGGGGCATCGATGATGGTGTAGTGCCACTTCTCGGTGAAGAACTCCTTGGTCGTGCAGGAGATGGTCACACCACGCTCACGCTCTTCCTTTTGGCGATCCATGTAGAACGCGAAGGCGAAAGAGGACTTGCCGAGCGCATCGGCCTCAGCCTTGAGCTTTTCGAGTTCACGCTCCGGGATACCGCCGAGCTCGAACAGTAGGCGACCAGTGGTGGTCGACTTACCAGAGTCGACGTGGCCGCAGATGACGATGGAAAGGTGTTCCTTGCCTTCAGACATTGTCTGCGATCGCGAAAAAACGTTGAAATAATCGTCAGCATCGATACTCTCTCACTTTATCCAAACCTCGTCCCGCCATCCCCCCTTTGACCGCGCTCTGATCTTGACGCGACGCGTGCGTCCCCCGTGAACGCCGCGCATCACCAGAGCACTATTCATGCGCATCCTTCACCGACCACCGGTCCTCCATGGACCCAAATCCCGTCCGCAGAATCGAGATCTTCCACGCCCGCGCCGCCGAACGCGATCGCTCCGACCCGATTCCACATCTTTCGCTCCAACCTCCCGCTCAACGCCCGCGCGCTTTCGCCCTCGGTCCCGAGACGCGCGATAAACACCCGAGAACGTTCGCACGAGACGAGACGCGTCACGGATCGCGAGACGTACAGATGAGTGTGACTATGTGTGCGTGAAAGTGCGGGGGAGTACGCTCTTAGGGCTGCTCTCGTACGTGAAGCGGCGGTGATGTGCTTAAATACGAGCTTTGATAGCTCGATGATCCACGGCGGACCACCGGGGGAGATGACTATCGATGGAAGTGCTTATATATGTGATTTGATACTGATTTGGCGTGATCTCGTCATCACGAGCCACTTTTGGTACACATCGAGTTACAAAAAAGTAAATATTGGAGATACCCAGCGCGCGGACCTCAGAGTGCGGACGGAGCCTCAGGTGGACGCATCGGTCACCGCAGTCGTCGCACCCTTGATCCACTCCCGCATCGCGGTCTCGTTTCCTACGACCATGCTCTTGACGCAGAGTTTCTCGACGTTTTTCCACTCAAAGTCGTCCGAGGCGTAGGCGACTCTCACCGTGCCAATGCGTTCCCCGAGGGTCGGGTTCACCTTCGTGAGCTCAGTGAGCCATGAATCCCCATCACGCACTGGATTCGATTCCAAGTAATCCAATAAGAAGTCGTGCGAGGTCGTCACGCGCTGGGCCTCGTCGTTGGACTCGTTGCGCTCGTTCGCGTCCTCGCCCGCGAGCGAACGTCTCGGCGCCACATTCTCAAGCTGCCCGATCACGATCCACGCGCTCACGTAGGTGATCATCGCGTTCAGCATCTCGCTCGCCCTACGTTCGGGCGAGCGTCCGCCGAACGCGCCGGCCGGGACGAACATTTTCCCATCCTCGCTCAAACACTTTCGCCGCGACCCAAACCGGCGGCGCGACTGCGAAGCGTCGCGTGGGCGACGACCGCGCGGTGACGACCGCGGGACGCCGACGAACGACGCAGAAAGATTTTGTATCGAACACATCGCGCGCATCGAGCGCGTGCGTGGTCGGCGAGAGCGGCGCGACGCGTCGCTGAATGTCGTGGTGCCGACCGCGGCTGGGCCAACCGTTTTTTGGCAACTGTTTTTAGCGGTCCATGTGAGTGGTGCTACATGCGACTAACTAACGGGTTTACGTCTCCAGAGGATCAAAACGGAGTCGAACATGGGCCAGTTGGCGACCGGAATCGTTTTCTCGCGAGTGAACGCTCGCTCGAGCTCGTTCTGGAAATCCTTGGAGAAGCTTCCGCCCGTGGCCATCGTGCCAGGGGCGTACTCACCAAACGTGTGACCGCGCCACTCGCCGATGGTGACCACGGTGTCGCCCTTATAATTCTCCAACGTCGCCGTGCCGTAATCGCCCTCAGCACCGATGTCTATCCAAGACACGAGCAACGCGCGATCGGAGTGTTCCTCTGCTTTTTCCGGACCGCCACGACGCATGCCCTCGAACCAGTTCACCTCCGTGAGCTTGGACGAGTGGATCTGCGCGGCGCCGCCGTCTTGAAAATCCTTGTCGAAGGTTGGCGTATCGTAGGCAACGATGTCAACACAGCGTTCGACGAGTCGACGCGCCCACAAACCGCCGCCGGCGCCGATCTCAACGATGGGTCCAATGGAGGCCAAAAAGTCCAACGCAATTGACGTTGGCACGCTGCACGCATGCCGCCGCTTTAGTGCCGCGGCTTCGGCACCGATCGAGTTGAGATCGTTTATGTCGAGGATACCGCACGTTGCCCACTGCGCGAGCACCCACGATCCCCACAACTTCACCTTTTGTGTGTACGCCGCCGGGAGGAGGACCTCGTCCTCGGCTCCGAACGGGGGATGTTCCTCGCCTAAACTACCATCAATCTCCAGCTTTTCCATTCGCTCGAGGTCATCGTACGGTGACGAATCAGGCAATGACTCGACGTCCAGCGGCCAAGTCGGTGAGTGCAGCGCGGCGCGAGACACCACGTCACGCTCTATTTGCCCCATCAACCATAAGTACGCCAGATTGAGCGTTTGCAAGTGCGCCGCCAGAGGCAAGGCGTCCTGAATCGTCTTCGCATACCTGGCCACGGTGGGAATAGCGGCATCAACCATCGGTCGTTGCTTCCTGAGTTCGTGCAACCAACGGCACCCGTGACTCATGCACGTAACGCACTTACGATCGGTGCACAAGCCCTCGGTGCGAAGCACCGCGTTGCGTGTCGCGTCTCTCACCACCTTATCCAGGAGCGTTGAAGCCTCGGCGTAAGCCTTGGTCGCGATTCTTCGCTCACCCGAGCGCTCGATAAGAGCTAACCTTTTTCTATATGGCACTTCTTCGGACGGCTTCGCGAGCTCCACCGCGTCGCTCTCTGCGTCGCCAACGGTGAATCCCTCGCAGACATCTTGGAAAATGAGCTTCAATGACGCCAGCGCCGCCATTTCGTTCGCGGTGGATATGATCGTGTCCCCGGTCTTGTCGTTTGCGGCATTCATGATCGCCTTGCGGATCTCAGGATCGTTCAGATCGGCGTCGGCGAGCTGTTGTACGCGCGCCATCATCTGCAACGGCGGCGGAAGTGGCTCTCGCTCCGGAACAGTGTGCTTAATAATGAACTCCGCGGTGGATCCCTCTGCATCTAACTCCTCTGCGACCGGGGTGAAGAGAATACTATAGAGCATTGGCAGATACGGCTCCGAGTAGTCCCCGCTCTCGCGCCATCGCGTGTCGATGTCTTGGAGGTACGCCACCGCACTCGCGCGAAGCGCCGTCTCCAAAACCGTCTTCCTCAGCTTGTCCACCGTGATCGTGAGCGTGAGATCCAACTCCTCGTACGGGTTGTTCTCGATGCAAAATCCGTACCATGTGAGTAATTTTGCGTTCGCAGCCTCGCCACTACCGTAGGAAATGAACGCCTGCTCGCCCTCTTTGTAGTCGCGTCCGGCGTACACCGTGACGCAGTTCCGCTCGGCGTTCAGCTTATGCGTCTTCCCCAACGGCGCTTCCGGCGAGTGATTAAATATATCGAAATACGGAATCATCGCCCGCGTACGCGTCCCATCTGGGCGCATCAAATCACACTGTCGACTCCACAGACACTGCCGCGCCCAGGCGTACCGCTCGTAATCGACCCCTCGCTCGAGCAACCACCCGCCCTTCCCCATCGCCATCAATCGCCGTCCGATCGCGTCGTAATCCTCCCTCGTCTCCTCAATCAACGCCCTGGTATCCTTCAAACACGTCGTCCCGACTAACTCACTCAACTCATCCTCGCTCCAGTTGAACGCGCAGTCGAACGTCTTTGGCAGCGCCTCCACGTGCGCCGCGTGTTTCGCCTCTTTCCCACGATATCGCTCCAGACACACGTGCAACGCCACGACGTCATCCCTACGAACGCACGCCTTCGCTATCTCCCGCATCTCGTCGTCCGCCATCGCGTCGTCGTACGAAAACCCACGACGCAGCGGCACCTCGAGCAAAACGTCGCCGCGTTGGACGTCACGCACCACGCCGTGTCCGCGCCCCGTCGCCGCGAACTCGACCGGGCGAACGAGCCGCGCGAGGGCGCGACCGTCGTCGTCGACGTCATCGAGCGACATCGCCGCGCGCGCGCGTCCGGGCGTCGCGACGCGTCGAAGAATGCGGCGACGCGCTTTTCCGCACGCGTCACATGTCCGCACGCGCGCGCGCGCGGCTCGCCCCGACGCGCGCTCGGCGACGACGCGGCGCGCGATCGAGACGCGAGGTGATCATGCCCGCGATCACCGATCTCGCGTGCACGCGCGACACGTACGCGTTCGAAAAGCGTGGCTGTCGAGTGTTGGAGGTGACGGCGGACGACGACGGAAAGACGACGTGCGTCGTGCTCGACGCGACGATCGCGTATCCGCAGGGAGGTGGACAACCGTGTGACTTTGGTCGCATCACCGGCGAGCGGGGGTGGCGGTTGGATTACGATTCGGTGACGATTCGTAGGGACGACGGCGCGGTGGAGCACCGGGGAACGGCGAGCGGAGACGTCAGAGTCGGCGACGGGTGCGATGTGACGGTGGATGAAGAGAGGCGACGGTTGCACGCGAGGATACACAGCGCTGGACACGCGCTTGACGTGGCGATGTTGAGGCTGGGGATCGATGGGAAGACGTTGGAGCCGACCAAGGGACAACACGGCGCGACGGAGGCGTACGTGGAGTACAAAGGAAAATTGGACGAGACGCATGCGTACGGCGATAAGGAGAAGTTGATGCGCGCGTTGGAATCGGAGATGGCGAATATCATCGCCGAGGGTGGCACGAGTGAGGCGGCGGAGTTGGCGTACGAGGACGCGGTGAAGGCGTGCGACGGCGCGATGCCGAGTTTCATCACGCCGGATATGAAGCCGCGAATCGTGACCATCATTCCGAACACGCCGGGGTGCCCGTGCGGGGGCACGCACGTTAAGAGCGTGTCCGAGATCGTCGATTTTAAGTGCACTGGCGTGCGTGTGAAGAAGGGCGTCACCAGAGTGTCGTATTCCATCCCAGGAATGGAGTCTTGGCAGTGACGGGCGTGATAAACTCTCGCTTTGCTTCGTTGCTTTCGCTTTAGGTTTGCTTTGGTGTGTAATGAATTAAAATGTCGTGATGATTACCACGCGATGAATGAGCCCGTTCAGACGCGTCTATAACCAAATCACTCGCCTGAATTGAACATGAGGCGGAGCGTGTTCTTTGCGGCCAAACGTTTTTCTTCTTCGCTGAGGAGTTCAGAGAAGTAGTCCAAGCGCGCTGCGTGCGAGTCCATCTGGACGAGGTATTGAAATGGGTAGATGGCCGAGTTCAACAACTCGATGCGCTCTTCGCCGTACTCTTCGTTCATGCGCTGAATCTCAGCCTTGATGTTATCGGGGATGCTCTCGAAGGAGAGCTGTACCGATCGACCGTCGGTGAGATCGACGCCGCTCTCTTCCAAAAAGTTTCGCAACATTTTCTGGATGCCAGCTTGTAACTCGTTCTCGCGATGCTGCACGCGGCTCTGCATCAAACTTTGCCACAGACTCACGAGCCTCCAGAAACCTTTACCGTCGCGCTTTGCGCTGATGGGCGTGGTTGCCACTTCTTGCGTGAAGCGAATCGGTTCGTCAACCTTCTCTTGCATGTCGATCATCTCTTTGAATCGATCCTCCAGCGCCGATTCTTTATTCGAGAAGTCGTCGTCCGCATCGATATCTTCCACCTTTTCCGTCACCACCCTCAAGAACGAGCTTCGATCTCCCCACACGCGGTCGTTCAGCGAGCGCTTGACCCGCACGCGATCGATCACCGTGTGCGAGCACACAAACTTCACCTGATCGTTCGTCTGCTCGCTCACCTCCTTCAAATCGTCTAGATAGAACACAGCCGCCACGCTCGAAAATTTACCTTGCTCGTTCGGCGCGCACATCGGCACCACGAAACGCCTCGATCCGTTGAACAAAATCTCATTGTACATCGCCCGATACCTCGGCTCAAAGATGTTCAACACGTGCTCCGTCTCCGGCAGGTACACGTGCGAGCCCAAGGGAAACATCGGAAGCACTAACTCGCCCTCACGAAGCGCGGGATCCTCCTCCACCGCTTTCGTGGGATCCATCGTCGCCAACCACTCGACGCCGCCCGCCCAATCTTTTCCTTCGTCGTCCAGCGAACCGCTCGCGCCCACCTCGTCCGCGCCCTCCGAGCTCGCTCGAATCGCCGATCCACGCGCGCGCGACGCGAACGTCGACGACGTCCGCCCCGACGTCGACGCGCGCGCGATGCGCCCTCGAGCGGCACCGCGCGACGCGATGCACGTCGCACACGTCGCGCGCTGACGTCGATGTCTCCCCATCGCGCGTTCGTTCGCGCGCGCGACCACGCGCGCGCACGCGCGGGCGCACGCGCGCGCCGCACCGGCGGTGGACATCCGCGCGCGTCTCCGAGGCGGCGACGGGCGCGATTCGAGCGCGCGGACGACGATGCGGCGACGGGCGATCGACCCCGCGCGCGCTCGACGTGACCGAGAACGAAAGGTGTTTTCAATCTAGGTAAAGTCGCGTGTCCACCTTTCGCGTCACCTTTGGAAACGCGCGCGTGTCACCGATCGATCGGCGTCGCGACCGGTCGTCGGGAGACGACGACGGGAGACGACGACGCGGCGCGCGCGCGGGGGGGGGCGCGGACGATGGACGTGCGGCGCGATCGCGTAGGGGTCTCGCGATCGTTCGCGGACGCGTTCGCGGCGCACGAGACGTACGAGGCGTCGATGACGAGCTCGAGGAAATTGTGCGCATTCGTTCGAGACGCGGCGACGGCGCGCGTTCGGACGCTCGGACGGGGCGACGCGAACGCGGACGCGATCGTGAAGGATGGCGCGCGCGAGGAAGGGAGGGCGTCGTGCGCGTCGACGTCGACGAGCGAGTCGATGGACGGGGACGCGGGCGCGGAGACGGTTCGGCGCGGCGCGGCGGCGTTCGCGGAGGATCCGGTGGACGCGTTGATGCGAGCGGCGAACGCGAGCGATTCGGATTCGGAGGAATTGAATCAGCGAGGTGCGTCGGTGGAGGTGGTGGAGCTCGGGAGGGGTGCGATTGGTGGAACGCGGGAGACGGAGGAGGACGTCAACGAGCGTTGGCGGGCGAAGAAGAAGCAGACGCACCAGAGGCACAGCGGGCGAGGGACCATTCAGGTCTCTATGGCGTTTGAGATCATATCTACAAAGGCCAAGGGTGAGGCCGGGGTCGAGGCGCGCTTGGCCGAGCTCGAGAATACCACGAGCGGGCTGAATGCGCAGACGCACAGGATATCCCAACAGGAGTACGTGACGCGGTTGAAGCGGCTAAACGAGGACATCGCGAACGCGTGGCTCAACGACGATCGCGTCAACGCGCTAAAACTGTGCGTGAAGGTTTCGAGGTTACTCGCCGACACCAAGGTTGGGAAGTTTTATCCCGTGCTGTTCGTTCTGGTGACGGAGGTGATCGAAACGGTGGGGCGGTTGGTGTTTGATCGCATCACGCGCAAAGCCGAGGAACCTGGGCCGAACGGCTCGTCGAAACCGCTTCCGGATAATTTTAAGGCATCACATGTGCGTGCGCTGGCGAAGAACACGTGTAGGAACTGGTTCTACAAGATTTCCACAATCAGAGACCTCGTGCCGCGCATGTACATGGAGCTCGCGCTCTTCAAGTGCTACAGATTTTTACAGGACGAACCGCCGGTTATGCAGGCGCGACGATTACTGCAACAGGCCAGGGGTATCGCCGACCCGTTGGCCGCAGCGTACATTCGAATGTATATCGCGAAGTGCGTGCTCGCATGCGATTGCGAGACGCCCGAGAGTGAGCGGACGATGGAAATTCTCAAGGAGTTTATGCCGTCGTACACGAAGGTTCTTGATGAAGATGCCGAGGACGACCCTTCAACATCCTACATCTTCGCGCTCGGCATGCAGAGAGCCGAGTATGTAGAACTCATGGATCCGGCGATGGAGTGGCTCATCGAGTCGTGCGCTCAGAACTCGAATCCAGCGCTCCTGCAAAAGGTTTTGTACATGGGTGGAGAGAAACCAGCGGTGCCGTTTCTTCGATCCGTGTTTCGATCGCTCTCGAAAATACTGATTCGCGAAAACGCGGTCAAGTTTATTTCGCTCATCAGTGCGACATCCACGGATGAGGACTCTATCGACCACGTGGGCGCCATGGCTGATTGCTACTGTGTCCTCGTCGATAAGTTCGAAGAAACGCCTCCGCGAGAGGATGATCGATTGGCAATCTTGAGCGAAGTGTGGCGTGCAGTTCAAAAGTGGACGCATATCGAGCCTTACCTTCGTGTTGCTGAACGGTTTTTGCATTACATCATCAAATATCTCACGAAAGGCGAGCTGGAGACGCTGATGAAAGACGTCGCGCGACACGTCCACGCGTGGCTTGAGAAAGCGAGAGAGAAGGAACCGATGAAATCGCCGACGCTTTCGGCGCCTGCAATGAGGTACGTCGCGCGCTCGCTGCAGACAACGACGGATTACTTTAAAGGGGTGACCGCGCTGTTGAATCTAAAGTGGTACGTCTATCTCGGCGAAACCTTGAGAGGCGACGCTAAGGTCGAGTACAGCGCCTCCGTGCTCAACTGCGCAGCGAGCGGCAGCAAGGTCACAGACCCGCTCTGCTTGCACACCCTCCTCGAAGCCGCGAGAACGGTGCACGATAACGTCGACGGCATGAGTTCTGACGACGTTCGAGAAGAAGCTGAGCTATTGGTACTGCGATTCATCGACAGTGTCGATTTCGGAGACGATTTCGAGGCGCATCTGAACTTTCTCGTCGTCGCTCGAAGCGCCTTTTCGAATTTGGATCAAGTGCAGGAGCTGTTGGTGTATCGCGCCCTGTTGCTCGTAACGGGCGTGTACGAGCACGTCGGTTCAGCGCATACATCGAAGACAAAGGCATTCGTCAACGCGTGCACAGCGTACTGCCAAATTACGATACCAAGCGTGCGAGGTGTTGAAGTGCGATTACGTCTGTTCACGCTCGCCGCGCGCGCAGCGCTTGTGCACGCGCTCGTACAGCAAGCCGACGGACTTATTCGAAGTGCGGTGACGGACGCACAAGAGAGCGGTGGGGAGAGCGCCGTCGGTGGATGGATCGATCTCCCGACCGAGAAATCCGAGCAAGAGATGCTCGATTTCGTGCGGCGCTGCGGCTCGCTTCTCATCGTCGCGCCTGGAAATTTGGAGCAAGGTGCCTTCTTGGTGTTCCGCGGCTTGATGAAGGTGATTGAGGATTTCGAATGGCAACCGTCGAGCGTGAGCGAGATAAGGTCGTACATCGCTCTCATTCCCGCGATCGCGGCCATGGTACAAGAGAAGTTACCGTACAAACTCGATGGCGTGCAATCCAGCGACGTGCTCTTCGCCGGGGAGGAGGCGTACGTGGACGAAGCCACCGAGCTTGCGCATGCCCTCATCCAACGCGCGACTGATCTCGCGGGGACTGAACTCACGAGAAACGATGACGAGGACGGCGAGGACGGTGAGTGCGCATACAAATCGATGGCGACGGATCTCGCTCGGGCGAATATCGAGCTCGCGAACGCCATCGCGGTGGCGTGCAAACCATCGCCGTCAATGCTCGCTTTGGCGAACGGCATTATCGATCGCGCGCGACGAGTTCTCCCCGCAGACGAGTGTGAACGAGCTGGGAAAAGGGTCAAGGAGCTCCTCGGCGAAGACGCGCCCGACGCCTGAGTCGCCAGTCTCGTCAAACCGACATCGGAACGACGCGAAGCTAGTATACATCATAGACAAACATCCACACATCACACCGCGACGCACACGACTTCGCGACGAATGAACCCGTACCGCTCGTGTCGCTCACCCACGCGCGTCGCTCGACGTCGACCGTCGCGCAGAGCGCGTCTCCGTCGCTCCGCCGCCGCACAATTCGCCTCTCCAGCCATGCCGCGCGCCGCGGCGCTCGCCCTCACCGTCCTCGCCCTCACGCTCACCCCACACCGCGCACGGGCGGACATCAACGCCACGTCGTGGATGCGCGACGATGCGATTCGCGACAAGCCGATTGCATCGCTCGTCTTGCCCGGGACGCACGACTCCGGGACGGCTTGGCTCTCGCGCGAGCTCTTACCGGGATCGGACTCTCAGCTCCCGAAGTGGGCCACAGAGGCGGTGAACGCGGCGGAAAGGTTTGGTTTACCCGCCGACGACGTCGTGCGACGATGGGCCAAGGCGCAGACGTTGACGATTGGTGAGCAGTTGAGACGAGGCGCGAGATACGTCGACTTGCGGTGCGGTTGGACGCCAGACGGCGAGTGGCGGACGCATCACGCGTTGATCGGACGGATGGTCGATGAGCTGTTGGAGGAGGTGAAGGTGTTCCTGGTTGAGAATCCGAGCGAGGTGGTGATCGTGGAGATGACTCATTTTTTCGGAGGGCCGCGAGCGGAGGACGTCGAACGGTTGGCGACGGTGGTCGAGGAGATCTTCGGGGAGCTCTTGGCGCCGTATCCGGGGTCCACGAAAGCGATGTACGACATGAAGGTGAAGGATTTCGTGGACGCAAATCACAGAGCGATCGTGGTGTTCGAGGACGATCGCACGGCGGCGGAGTGGAAATTTTGGCCTGCGCGTACGATAACGAACACGTACGCAGACACGGACGACGAGAACGGCATGGAAAACTTCAATCGAGAGGTCGTTCGAGATTTCAATAAACCTTCGTTCGCTGCGGATGCCATTTTGAAGCTTTCGTGGACGCTCACCACGCAACCGAAGACGGTCATCGAGGCGTTGGACATTTTCAAGCGTTACCCACGAAATCTCCTACAGCTTGCCGATCGAGCGAACGCCCGTCTCTCAGCGTTCACCGTCGATGCGACGAACAATCATTGCTCCGTCGCCAACATCATCGTCGTGGACGATTTAGCGAACTCGGACGTCCTCGAGGTCGTCGCTCGTCTCAACGCCGTCGGCGCCTCCGAGCGCGGACGGTGCGCGTGGACCACGTCGTCATCATCCCCGCGCGTCGCCATCGAGCGTCGAAAACTGTTGTAAAATCATCTTCGCATCATCATCCATCCCATCGTGGTCTCGAGCGCGCTCCCACGCGTCCACATCGATCGGTCCGCGCCGTCGTCCCGCGCCGCCGCCGAGACTTCAACACCCTCTCGTCGGAGCGCGCGCCTCGCTTCGCGTCGCGCGACGACCGCGATGCCGCGTCCGACGTGGCTCGGCGGCAGTAACAAGGGTGAATCCACGCCCCTCGTCCCCGCGCTCGCGCGCGAAGACGTCGCGCGCGTCGACGGCGGTGACGTCGAGGATGCACCGCCCGAGTCCAGACTCGGTCGTGAATTCATGAAAGTCGACGCCGCCATGTCGCGCGTGCGCGAGGCGGTGCGCGGACCCGTCCTGCGCGTCGTCCTGGTGCTATTGCTCGTCGCGACGATCGCGGTGGCGATCGAGAGCGATCGATTCGCCGCTGTCGCGCACGCGGCGAAGACGGTGAAGGGCGAGAGGGTGTTCGAGGACGACGCGAGCAAGCTGGCGACGGTGAACGCGTGCGATCGGGCGTTCGTCGATGCGAAGACGAGCGATTGGAGCGATAGAAATGTAGCGAATTCGTTGAGCGCGAGCGCGACGCTGGAGCGGGTGTTCGAGCGGGCGGCAGACGGCGCGTGCGTCGCGGCGCGGGGCGCGGAGCGGAGGACGACGTGCGTCGACGCTGAGGCGATCGAGCGGTGCGCGACGGATATGGGAGTGGTTTTACACAGCGAATCGATTAGAAATAGGTACGTTTTGGCGTCGGTGATCGAAAAGGCGAAGAGGGATGGGACCAAATCCTTCGCGTACGTGGACGAGCGGGCGAACGCGACGGGTCCGCTCGGGTCGGCGGATCGTCGAGCGCTCGGCGTTTTATTGGACAGCGATCGGTGGGGTGCGGTACGATTAGCGTACAACGCCTCGATCGCGATGGCGACGACGGACGACGACGTCGCCGCGACGTGTCCGCATCAGTGCAAGTGCGCCTTCGCCGACGGCAAGTTGTGCGAGCTCAGGACGGATACGTGCGCGCTCGCCGACGACGCCTTTTTCGCCTTGCACGAGGACGCGTACGACCAGGTCTTACGCACGCTTCCGCACGCCGACGTCGGCGTGAGCGTGCTCGCGAACGTATTCCCGCAGTGGATCGTGGTCGACCCTCCGTTTGAGGTCGTACGACCCAGGCGACGGGCGCGAACCCATCGCTCGAGCGCGCTCGGGCTCCCGCACGCGTGCGCCGAGCCGAGCGACGTCCCGGCGCCGGCGCCGCCCGCGCCCACGCTCGCGCCCAACGTCTCGAGCGCGCTCGGGAACGTCACCGAGCGCGAGCGCGTGATAGCATTCAACTCGACCGACCTCGCGAGCGTCGACGCCGCCTTGTAACGCCGCCTTGTAACGCCGCGCCGCGTCGACGTCCCCGCGCGCGTCCGTCGCCCCCACACCCACGCGCGCGATGGACCCCGCCGAGCGCGCGCCGTTACTCCAACCGCGCGCCGCGGAGGTCCACCGCGCGCGCGTCCACCTCCACGCCCGCGCGCGCGGTGGGACGACGTCGAGCGCGCGCGCGGTGGATGCCAACACTAAAACGAAACCCAACGCCCTCGGGACGACCGTCACGGCGCGCGGTGGACGATACAGTCGCGCCGTCCTCGCGAGCGCGCTGGTGGTGATGGCGGCGACGATGCTGACGAGCGGCACGGTGAGCTTCGTGCGACGGGCGGGACGGGCGACGGCGGAGAAACCCCCGCGGGCGCGGGCGGTGGGCGTCGCGGCGCGGGCGAGAGAGACGCTGCGGACGGAGACGTTGGGCGCGTACGCGTGGTTGCTCCCGAGCGATGGACGGAGTGGGATAGAGGGTGCGGGACGGTTGGGACGGAGCGAACGGGCACGGGCGGGGACGACGTACGAGACGGAGGATCCGCTGGAGGCGGAGCTGGCGAGAAACGCGCACGCGTTGGACCGGGCGCGGACGGTTGAAGATTTCGTCGCGATGAGCGTGCAGGTGGACGATGCGCACGCGGTGGGGAGGAAACCGTTGAGAGAGTGGGCGCACGCGCCGGCGTTGAAGAGCGAGGAGGCGGCGCGAGCGAGAGGGACGAATTTAGAATTCGGCGACGAAGCCTTCACGGTGTGTTTGTATAATTTGCACCAGTGGTCGCGACCGTTGGGGTCGTCGACGTGGGCGGAGGACTTAGCGACGGTGTTAGATGCGAAGAGAGGGGTGAAGTCGGCCGCGACGGCGAATTTGATGGGACGATGCGTGAAGGATGTGATGCACACGAATGGGCGAAGCGACTCGCGCTGCATGGACGCCGACGTCGTCGTCTTCAGAGGAGATAGCATGGTGTCCAAGATGGATCCTCGGCTAGGTAATAGCGCTGAGTCTAGAAAGCACTCTGAGTTCGCGAGGGCGAGAATGGCGAGGATGGGGGCGAACAAGGCCAGGGTGGCGAAACTGGGCGAACCGAGGCGAGCTTCACCATCCGGCAGAGGACATTCTCAGGCGCCATCCGGCGATCAGTCCTGGGACCACACGCTCACGCGGTTGCCGAGTAAGAGACGACGAGATCAAGTGTACGTGTACGTCTCTACGGCTGCTCCGGCGTCCGAGAAGGCTGGGAAAGATTTGCGCGACAGAAACTTGCTCTCGCAGGTGGATTACCTCGCGTCTTCCAATCCGGCGCTCGAGAGCGTGTGGCGCTCGCCGCTTCCGTCGGCAAAGTTCATGATCTCGTCCTACGACGCTTTTCTGCGTCCGTGGCGCATGCGATTGCCCGTGATCGGATTCGGAGATAGTGCGACGGCGTGCAAGCATGGACGTTCGCCCGCGGCGCGCATCCTGCAGAAAATCTCCGAGCGCTGGCCGGTGTGGTCCCACGGTTCGTGCATGCACAACTACAACTCCACCGCTTTCATACCCAACCTCAGTCAATCGATGTCCTCTGCGGAGGCGATTCGCACGCAGCTGGATCTGAGCAGGTACCTGTTCTACTTTGTTGCGGAGGACGTTGACTGTCCGGGACACGTCACCGAAAAGCTGTGGCTTCCCCTTCTTCGGGGTTCGATCCCGATTTATTTCGGCACGAAAACCGTGGACGATTACCTCCCGTGTCCGAACAAAGATTGTGTCTTGCGCGTGAAGGACTTCAACAGCGTGCATGAGCTCGTGGATCGAATGAAGAGCATCGCATCGGATGAGTCGCTGTACGCCTCGCTGACGCAGTGGCGACACCAAGTGCCGTCGATGTGGCCCGAGAAGTTCCGCCAGGGCGTCGCTCGCTCCTCTCGCGATATCCAGGGTGTGGTGTGCGACATCATGCGAGACGGCTCGGACGCGAATAAACGCGGTTCGATCTCCGCCTTCGCGTCCGCCGCCCCCGCGGAGGCGCCCTGGCTCTTGGACAGTTATCCCAACCGCGACATCGACATGGACGTCGTGGAATCCCTCGAGCGATCGGGCGAACGCTCCGACGCGTACTGCGTCCGCCAGGACCGCGTTCGCGCTCTCGGTGAGGTCTTTTCCGACCCACCGTCCACGGCATCGACGCAAACGACCACGACGACGAGCGTCGAGCGCCCGACGCTTCGAGATCCGACCACCCTCTACGCCGTCTCGTGCGACGCCGACTACGTCGGCTGCGGCCGCTTACTCATCGACTGAACCCCGCCCGCGCGCGCACCGAATCACACACCCATTAGCATCGGTAACACCACGCGCAAACATCGTAGCCCACCCGTCGCGCGCCGCCGCGCCGCCGCGCCCGTCGCGCCGTCGCCGCGCCGCGTCCCGGGACGCCGTCATCCAAACCCTACTCCAGACTGTTCGCCCACACAATATCCAAAATCCATCGACGTCACCCCCCCCGGCGGCTCGATCGCGATCGTCATCGCCGTCGCCCATCGCCGCACACGCCGACGTCCACCGCGCCCGCGTCGCGCGCGATGATGCTCGTTCTCGCGCGCGCCGACCTCACCGCCCGCGCCGCCGCGGTCTCTCGCGGTGACGTCGATCGAATGTCCCGCGTCCACGCGATGCCGACACCGATGGCGCCGCCGCGTCGCCGCGTCGGTCCCGCGACGCGGTGCGGGAACGCGAACGAGGGCGGTGTCTTCGCCCCGATCGTCCGAATCGCGCGAGACGCGATCGGGGTGAAGCGGTTCAACCAAATCAGAGGCAAGGCGATCTCGCTGCACTCGCAGGTGATCGGGGACTTTTGCGAGGAGTTCGGCGTGGATTCAAAGGCGAAGCAAACGCTGATTCGAACGGCGAAGAAGAACGGGGGGTTATTGGGGTTCCTAGCGTGATCGTGTTCGCGCGTTCAGGGCGAGCGGGGGGACGATGGGTGCACGCGACGGGCGCGCGGGGGCGGCGGCGCGGCGCGGGGCGAGACGACGCGCGCGCCGAGGTGGGCGGCGAGTGGGACGTGTAGCGCGATCGCGGCGCGCGATGGCGAATTCTTTGCGTGTAATCGGCGATAGGAGTATCACGACGCGCTAAAATCGAACGCTCGCGATTGAAACGACCTAGCTAGCCATCGAGTAACTTGACGTCGAGCGGGGAGTACATTTCGTCGAGCAAAACCTTGATGAAACCCGGGCAGTGCGCGCCGTGATCGGTGACGAAGACGGAGATGAGCTCAGGCGGGACGTACTCGAGCGCGGGATTGATGACGACGGCGTCGGGATCGGCCCCTTTCTCTCCGTACCCGAGCGCCGTCGCCGGCGAACCGAGACCGACGGCTCGATCGAACCCATCCTCGTCGCGCGATTTCGGACTGATCACGTACGAACCCGCGAGCACGATCACCGGGACGGAGTGCGCCTTTGCCGCGAGCGCGATGTTATACGCCCCACTCCTCGTGAGCGCGGTACCGTCCGCTAAGACGCCGACGGCGCTCAACACGCACAACTTTACGTTTGGCATCGTCGCGTACACCGCGCTATCACAAATCACGCTCACATCTTTCGCCCCTCGCTCGGCCAAACTCCTCGCCATCGCGTGTCCATCGCACCTCGGCGCGCCCTCCGCGACGATCACACCGAATCCCTCACCGCCTCGCTTTTTCATCGCGTCTCTCAGAAACGCCTCCGTCAACCCCGTGCCCGCCCCCGCGCTCGGCGTCGTCATCACCACCGCGCCACTCGTCACGAAATCCCCCGACTGCGCCGCCACGTGCGACGCCGCCGCCTCCATCTCCTCCGTCACCTCGTGCGCGGTGTCGATCACGTCGCCCTTGAGCTTTTTACTCATCGCCTCTGGCGTCCGCGTCGTCCCGTCGCCCGCCGCGTTCGCGTTCGCCCGATCCGCCGCCGCGCGCGCGCCTTCGTCGCGAATCACGCGCAGGATGCGTCGGGCGACGTTGCCCACTAAAAAGTGTTCGCGTTTCACCACCGCGAGCGCGCCACCGACCTCACGCGTCGCTCGAACGATGTCATCGAGCGAGGCCTCGCTCGAGGCCGTGGCGACGGTGGCGATCAAGGTCTCGGCGACGCGTTTGGCCAACGCGCGCGCTTGGACGGCGTCGTATCGACCGCGACGGAGGTCTTGGGCGAGATCGTCCACGGCGCGGGCGACGGCGGGGGACGGGGGCATGACGCGGGCGATCGCGCGCGCGGGCGAGTGCGGCGGGACGCGGTGGGTCGCGACGCGGTGGGTTGGATGAAGGTTTAGTTATGACAATTCGTGACAATTCGTGACGATTCGTGACGATTCGTGAAAATTCGTGAAAATAAACTCACTGTTGGTTCTCGACGTCGAGCGGGACGACTTGGTCGAGGCCGACGAGGGACGGAACCATGGAGCCGGCGAGTTCATAATAGACGCCGCCGACGCCCATCTTCTGCCCGTTCGTGTTCAACCAGTTGTCGAGAGCGCCGGTCCGCATCAACTTATCGGTTTTCGCCGGTAACCGATACTTGGCCGAGATATCCGCCAGCACACCGTCTCCCGTGACGGCGTCGTGATCGGAGGCGAGTCTGTAGTGGTCGAGGACGGTGTCGAGCGCCTTGATCTTCAGCGCGCCGCCGTCGACGAATACTTCGACTCGAGCGAGCTTCCAGCCAGCTCCCACGAGAGAAGCGAGAATGTATTGCTTTCGCGTTCTCGTGGGACCGGTGTATCCTTGCCAACCGCTCGATCCCGGGTCGAACGCTCGCGCTATTGCAAACATGCAGTGGCCCATGTTTTGGCCCGTGGAACATAACACGCCAGACGTGATGGTCAAGCGACGAACATCCACGTCTGGTCCCCATTTTCCCGCTGGAAATAGCGTTCTCTCTTTATAAGCGCCCGTTGACCAGGTACCTTCGAGGAAGTGAGTCGATTGTCGCTGCGCCGAAGTGCACGCTTCCACTGCGCAGTTGGGCTCTGACTGGATGCCCGTCGTCAAACGGTGCAAAGTGGGTGCTGAGTCGCCCAATTTGAGAGACCTGTACAGAATGGATTTGATGATATACTGCGTCATTTTTGTGTTGCCGCTATCTCCGTACAGGGTTGACAAGTCGTACTGCATGGGATCACAAAAGACATTCGTGCAACCATCGACGTATGCATCTCCCACGCGCCAGTCTTTGTTGCCCTTCGAACGATATGGGTAACCCTTATTTGGACCGAGGGTGTGACGCGTCTGTGAGATGAAGCGCACTTTCGCACGCCCGTTTTCCAGATAAATTTCAATCTTGGCCATCTTCAGATACATACGCCAGTAGTCAATACCACCCACGATCCACCGTACGGCGTTTTTTGATTCGGCAAATGTGGTGTCTTTTTGTAAACCTGTTCTGAGATGTGGGTTTATACCTACATCCTTATTCTTGGTGTCAGCCAGAAACATGACGGACGAAGGAATGACGAGACGGGCGTCCGGAGAATCGCCCAAATCCACAGACGCCGTCGGATCAGTCGCGATAGACGGGAGTTCTCCGCTCACTGGTTTTGGCACCATCGAGTAATCCTTGTACCCCGGCGGACACTCACGCAAGCACGAACCAAAGACATACGAAATGTTCACTGGATCGATCTCATTCGTCACAACTCGATTGAAATATTTGCCGTATCGCTGCACGCACCCAAAATTGTCCTCACGCGCAAGCGGCGCACGCTCCGCGACAGAGCCGATGTCGTAATACTGCTTTCCCGCCACATTTCCGAGTGCAAATCCGTATTCCCAATCAAAGTCACGCGTTTCCAAAGTCCACGCGTACAGGCCGTCGTCAATCATCCGCCTTTCCAGCGGGATTCCCTTCTTGTACGAGAAGAAATCGCCGGCGCCGAAATTATGTCGCACCACCCGCGCGCCCTCGCGTCCAGTCGTCCAAAAGTCTCTCCTCACCCCCTCCAGCTTCGTCGCATCGTCCATGCAGTGATCGTACAGCGTCACTCGTCGCAGAGGTCCGCCCGCGCCCGCGCGCTCACTGTTCCTCGGCGTCCGCGGCAACAGCTTCCCGCGCACGCCTCGCCACGCGCCCAGCCCGCCCTCGCGCGCCGCCGCCGCGAGCTCGACCACCGCGAACGCGCCGCCCACCACCACCGTCCACCGCCCGAGGCGCCACCGCGCGCGCGCGTCGTCGTCACGCGTCTTCTCGAGCAAAGCCGACGTCTCATCGACCGACATCGCGCGAACGCCCGCGCGTCCCCACGAGGGTGCTGGGCGAGGGTGTTGGGTTCGATTCCCGTCGTCGATCACCGCGCGCGCGCGAAGTCGTCACCCGCGCGTCGCGATCGGACGCGCGCGCTCGAAGTCGTCACCCGCGCGTCGCGATCGGACGCGCGCGCGCGCCGTCGTCACCCGCGCGTCGCGATCGGGGCGTGGGCGCGGCGCGGCGGTGGTGGTGTACACTGTTCGCCCACACGCGTCGGCACTCGGACGCGGACGGTTAGGGTTTAGGGTGTGCCACCCTCGATTTTCGCCCGCGCGTCGGCGAGCGATCGATCGCGCGACGACGACGCGCGACGACGGCGCCCGTCGCCATGGGCGCCGCGTCGAGCGTGGAGTTTCCGTGGGACCCGTGGACGCGCGTGCCCGTCGTCGCGGCCGTCGCGAGCGCGGTCGGGGAGGTGCGTCGAACGCGATGGCTGGCGAACGTGACGCCGCGATGGCCGCGGGACGACGTCACGGCGACGCGTCGACGCGCGAGGGGACGTGCGACGGACGCGTGACTCACGGAAGACGCCGGACGTCGCGCGCAGGGGATGAACGAGCGGTTGGGGACGCCGAGAATCACCGGGTACTTGCTCGCGGGCGCGGCGTGCGGGCCGTTCGGTTTGGGCGCGTTGACGGCGAGCGGGACGAAGCGATTGGCGATCGTCGATAACGCGTGCTTGGCGTGCATAGGACTCGCCGCGGGATCGGAGGTGTCGTTGCCCGAGCTCAGGAAGAACGCGCGGAGGACGGTGGTGACGATCGCGAGCGTCGCGGCGTGCGCGTGGACGCTCACGTTTTGCGCGTTCGACGCGGTGTTGGCGAGTAGGGTGGAGTTTTTGCGGGGATTGTCGGAGCGACACGTCAAGGCGGTGGGGAGTTTACTCGGAACGCTCGCGTTGGCGCGATCGCCGGCGAGTGCGATGGCGGTGATATCGGAGATGGAGGCGAGCGGGCCGTTTTGTTCACACATTTTGTCGACGACGGTCGTCAAGGACGTCGTCGTCGTCGCGCTCTTCGCGATGAACGTCGAGCTCATCGCGCTCAGTGGATTAGATTTTCACAGAATAGTTTTAGACACCGCGACTGCGGTGAGCGATGAGCGTCAGGCGACGCCGAACGATACCGGTGTCGGCAAGTTAAAGGGCGCCGCGCGGAGACTGCTCGTGAGTCTCAAACCGGCGACGCAGTGGGAGACCTCGCACGCGTTGACCAAGGTGTTTCAGCCGCTCGTTCGAGTCATCGGCGCGATGCTGGCGGGTATTTTAGCCGGTATTCTCCTCGGACGGTTGCTCAAGCCGACGGCGTTCGTGTCGAGATGGAAACACGTGCGCATCGCTTGCATCGTCGGCGGCGCGACCGGAATCTTCGTCTTGAGCGAACACTTCGCGTTGGAGCCGCTCTTGGTGTGCGTCGTCGCCGGCCTCGTCGCGGCAAATCGTAAGAATGCGACCGCTGAGCATGAACGAGAGGAGTTACACGCGGCGATAGCCGTGATCACGCCCACGGTGAACTTGCTCTTCTTCACGCTCGCCGGGGCGAGCCTTCGGCTGGAGAACGCGTACAACTCAATCTCCATCGCGGTGAGCTTGGTAATCGTGCGATTAGTGGCACTGTATTACGCCACGGCGATATCGTCGAAGATAATGCGCGTGCCCGCCGTGAGTGAGATCACGGGCGAGAAGCACAAAAACATTGAGTGGATGGGACACGTCACGCAAGCGGGCGTCGCTCTCGGCTTGGCGCGAACCGTCGCCGCGAGATTCCCGTACTGGGGACCATCTTTCTCCACCCTCGCCGTTTCCATCATCGTCATGAATTTGTTCATAGGCCCCGTGCTCTTTCGAGCCGCGATCGAGCTCTCAAAGGAGTCGCACTTAACGCCGACGAGACAGGTTGAGCTCGCGGAGGTCGCAGAGCGCGAGAGCGCGAGTCCTCAAACCGCTTCGAAATCGACGCTCGAGTAGGGCAACAAAGCATCGTTGGTGTCGTATCAGTCGCGTCAGAACGTCATCATCGCGCGATCCGTCGCAGTAGTCGTCGAGAGATAGTCAAATCTCTCGCGTCGTGTAAAACAAAGCGCGCGGCGTAAACCACTTCGATACTAAACATTACATCCTTCCCGTCGAACGAAGAGCTCTCAAACGCACTCGACGCGCGCGCATCACCCATCTCTTCACCCCCGACCTCTTCATCATCTCGTCTACTCCAACTCGAGCCGACGACGCACGTCCGTCCACAGCTTCCCCTTGTTCGCCCGCTCCCAAGCCCTATCGAAGCCGTAATTCAGCGCCTTCTCCCCGACCAACGCCCCTGCGACGATCACCGACACGTACACCGCCGAGTTCTGCGCGCGCGCGCGGACGCGTCGTCGTCAGTCAACCGCGAGACGTCATCGCGTCGTCACCCCGCCGATCGCGATCGGCACCCTCGCGAGCCCGCGTCGACGCCACCGCGACGCCGTGGACGCGGACGCACCGACATGAACGTCTTATAAAACGCGGTGTACATCGTATCGAGCGTCGCGCGCGCGCGTGGGAGTCACGCGTCGACCGGGGCGCGCGGCGCGATCGTCGGCGCGATGATCGTCGCGTTTTTGACGTACACAGACATACATGTCGTGGTGTACGAACTAACAGAACATACTCGACGAATCATACGACTATGTACGCAACGCGCGCGACCTCGACGCGACGCGCCGGTCGAGGCGACGCGCGAGACGACGACGATGCCGCTCAGGCTGGGAAAGAAGGTCCAGCGCGTCGCCCGGGCGATCGCGGAGGAAGTGAACGTCGCCCGCGGCGTCGGGGCGCGCACCGATAAGCACGGGCGCGCGAAGACGTCGCTGTGGGATCGAGGCAAGGTGCGCGGCGATCGCGGCGAACGACGCGAGGAAAGACGGACGCGTGGACGTAGAGAAAGGCGGTGGACGACGGTGTGTGAGACTGACGGAGGGTGGTGACGCGCAGGCGACGATCGCGGCGACGAGCGTGGAGAAGGAACACGCGGAGACGCAATTGGCGTTTTCAAAGGCGACGAATTTCGACGACGTGGCGCCAAAGGAGAAGCACGTGCAGGTTTTACTGCATAAATGTGGACAACATGGGGACGGACAGTCGAGAGCGTTTGTTTTGGAGGCGATCGCGAAACAGATCGCGAGCGCGAAGCCGTGGCGGACGATGTTGAAGACGCACGTGGTGTTGCATCGGTTGCTCAGAGAGTGCGAGGGCGGAGAGTTCAAGCACGAGTTTTTCAGGTTTTTGGAGTTTTTATCTCGGAAAACGCACGCGCCGAAGGAGCAGACGTTGTTTAACATTCGGTACTGGAAAGATGACGCGAATTCAAACGCGACGGAGCTCACGGGATGGACCCGGGCGTACGCGGCGTACCTGGAGGAGCTGTGCGCGCTCAACGCGCACGTCCGAAGCATCGTCGGTAGGAGCGATGCGAATGGCCGAGGTGTGGTGAATCCTTTGAAGGATTGTGATTACGCGACTTTGATGCACGTCATGCCTCTGTTGCAAACGCTGGTGAGGCGAATCACCGATTGCGAGCCAAGGTCGGCGGCGGTGAGAGAGAATGCCGTGTCAAGCTTCGCCGCGGGTCTCGTCGCCATGGACTCTTTGATGATCTATCGCGTCATGAACGAGGCCGTAATCAACTTAGTGGACAAGTACTTCGACACGAACAAGGTGGACGCGGGCAAGGGGTTGACGATTTTCAAAAAGTTTTTGTCGCAGATTGAAGACTTGCAGAGGTTTTACGACGCGTGCGCCTCCATCGGGGCGCTCGAGAACGGGAGCAAATTCACCAAGCTCGAGGCGCCTCCGGCGACTTTTGTGAAGAGTATGGAGGAATACTTTGAATCGGCGCCTCGAGAGGGGTTGCCGCTGCGTGAGCGACGATTAGCAGGCGCTAAGGCGTCGACGGGCGCGAGCACGTCCGCCGCGCTCACGGTGAACCTTCCGAGCTCAAACAGCGGCCCGGATTTGATCGCGGCCGCGCCGGGGCCCGCGGCGCTATCACCGTCTGGCAACGTGATCGATGCGCTCAGTCAGCTAGAACTAGGAGCGCCAAGCGCGCAGGCGAATGATCCGTTCAGTGCCATTCCGGCGCCGCCTCCAGCTCCGGTGGCTCCGGCCAGTTCAAACGCTCTAGATCTCTTTGCGGGTCCGTCCGGTTCGTTGTCCGCTCCAGCATCTTCGATGTCACTGAGTAACCCGTTCGGGGGCGCTCCGGTCGTAGCACCGCCAGCGTACGGCACCCCAACACAGGCTCAATCGAACACGTCCTCGCCGAAGGGCACAAATCCGTTCGGTGACAATCCGTTCGGATCTCCTGTGCATAAGCAGATCGACAGAAACACGCTCGATAAAATGTATGCAAGCTCGCCGCCGCCTTCGCCCAAAGGTAACGCCGGCATGAGCAACATGGCGGCGCCGTACATCAACCCAGCCTTCATGGCTCCGCAACAGCCGTACGCAAACAGTTCACCGCAACAGTTGGCTCTCCCGGCTCCCGGAGCACGATTCCCTCAGCAGGGTGTTCCGCAATACGCCATGCCACCGCAACAACAGTATGGCTCGCCGCAGTACGGCGCGCCGCAACAATACAGGCAGTACCCACCGCAACCGCACGGCGTCCCACCGCCAAGGCAGGAACCGCCCCTACACCCAGCGTTCCGAAGCCCCAATCCACCGGCAGCCGGTTCGTCCGCCGGGCAATCGCCCACGACCTCGAGCGGTAGCTTGATTTGATTCGACACACGAGAACACGCGTTGACGCCTCCAGTGGTGACCGCTGCCAACTACATAATTCGACTCTCATGCGCGCCATCGCTCACGCTCGCGCCGTCGTTCCCACCACGGGCGCACAGCGATCCTCCCCGCGCGCGCGCGTCGCCACAACGCCGCGTCGCGCCGGACGCACGTCCGTGACGTCGTCTCCGCCCCGCACTGGAAACCTCGGCGTCCCGGTCGCCGCGCGCGCTGCACCACTCAAGTCTCGACGCGCCATCGTCGTGCTCAACGCCGCCGCGGACGTCCCATCGTCATCGTCCACCGACGCTAAGGGTGCGGTCTCCGTCGGCGCGCTCGTCCTCGCCCTGGGCGTGGCCATGTTGCTCGCAAGCGCAGATCGCACGATATTCGCCGCGGCGGCGTTGGGGATTAAATCCGAACTCGGTATGTCGATGCGGGACGTAGCGACGGCGCAGAGTGCTTTTTTATGGGGATACGGCGTGACGCAGCTCGCGGCGGGAGCGGCGAGCGATCGATTCGGAGGCGCGCGGACGTTGCTCGGCGGGTTGTTCGCGTGGTCGCTGGCCATTGCGGCGACACCGCTGAGCGCGATGGCGAGCGCGCCGACGACAGCGCTGGCGGTGAGCCGGTTCATGTTTGGTGCGGCGAGTGGGTGCGCGTTGCCAGCGTCGGCGGCAGCGGTTGCGGCGCACGTGCCGCCGGAACGGAGGAGCGGCGCGTTATCGGCAATTTTCGCAATGTTCAACTGCGGGTCAGCGTTCGGTTTGGCCGCCGCTGGAGGACTCATCGCGACCTTCGGGTGGAAGATGATTTTTTACGGCTTCGGTGTAGTCGGCGCGGTGTGGGCGATTGGCGCTTGGGCGGCCATGCCAGAGAGCGTGAAGACGTGGCGAGCGCCGGAATCGAGCAAAAAGGACATCGTCGTCGACGAAAATGGCGAGGAAATGACGGATCTCAGCCCCGAGATCGTGACGCAGTTGCTGGCCCTGTTGTGGTGTCACGTCGTCGTGAACTGGGGGTTCATGATTTTACAGTCTTGGCTTCCTATTTATCTCGCGAATGATTTGGGAATGTCCATCTCTAGTAGCGGCGTCATCGGCGCACTTCCATGGCTCTTCACGGCTTTCATGTCCTTCAGTAGCGGTCAGGTGGCCGATAAGTTGATAGCTCGCGGCATGGAACGATGGAAGGTCCGTCGCTTGGCCATGAACGTCGCCACGATCGGTCCCGCGCTCGGTTTGTTTGCGTTGAAGTTCACGAGCACGCCCGCGGTGGCCCTCGCTTGCATCATCGCCACGACGGGGTTACAGGCTTGTTCCGTCGCGGGTTATCACAGCTACCTGCAAGACATCGCACCGTCTCGAGCCGGCGCAATTCTGGGCTTCACAAACACCGTTGGTGTCGCCGCGAGCATCTTCGCGAATATCGTGACCGGCGCGAGCGTCGAGGCGACGGGAGCGTTTTCGGAGACTTTCATGCTTACCGCCGCTATGTACGCGTCGTCATGTTTGGTCTGGAACTATTTTTTGAAGGGTAAAGTACTCTTTCCGTGATGTACATCGATAGACTGAATAATTATGTGTGCCATTAGATAAGTTGTAAAGGTACTTCTGCTCTTAGACTGCGACCGCGCTCCGACGTTCGGAGATCGTGTGTCCTCGACACGATGTTGACTGCCAGCGAAGCCAGGCGTATAGCGTTGCTTCTAATCGTCAACACGCGGGTCCGCCCCAAAGCGAGTACGTCGTGACTATATAGGTTATTTGTCTACGTGAGAAAGGCCATGACGGTTGCCGCGAAGACGACGAGTGTCAACGCGATGCGGCTGACGGGCGCCGCGCTGGATGAAGAGCCCGGTAGGCTGAAGAGCGCTGCCAGCGTCACGCGTTGTTGCGAGAGCTGAATCAAGCACAGTTGGTTGATGCGCGCGTTTTCCCACACATCGCAGTCTGATGCGGTCGTCTTGATGACGCCATCGTCACTGTTGACGTCGCGGAAGAATCTCGGACAACCGGCTCGGATGGCCTCGATGCCAAAGCTCGAGAACCACACGAGTTGCGCAAAATCAGCCAAGACGAGCGCGGGATGGACGTAAGGGTCCTCAAACCACGCCATGCCTTCCGAAGGGTAGTACCCGGCAGGGGCGTACAGCGGGTCGCCATCGCTCACGTGCTTGTCTAATCGCAAGATCATTCCCGTCGCAGAATTCATAGACGGAAGGGTGCGGCCAGTGAAGTCGAGATTGGCGTGAACTGCCGTTTTGGTCGCCGACGTGCTCGGGTTGTAAAAGTACGACTCGTCGATGACGATGCTCACGCCCGCCATGGCGGTCAGGTAAGCCTCCGTCGAAGGGAAGGTGTGTGAGGTACCACTGACTCCGCTTTGTGCGTACGTTGTCAATCCCGCGGCTGTGCAGATGTCATCTTTATATTTGGCCCAGCTTACGGTGTAAGATCCGCCAGATGCGGTGACCCAGGCGCATTTCAGTCCCGAACGAAGTCTGCCTTGCGACTGCGCCGAGGCGATGAGCGACGACATGTAATTCCACCGTTCGACTTGATCAGCGTAATACGCGTTCGCCTCCGCCTCCTTATTGAAGAAGAGTGAGAGAAATTTGATTTGCTCAGTGCGTTGGAGCATATCGAGATCCGCGTCCGAGGCGTGAAACGCCACGTCCTTAGCGGTTCCCGACGACCCCGTTCCGCCGTCGTAGTGATCGGTGATCACCATATCCAGTCCAGAGATTCCGTTCAAAGCGTTTCGCCACAGCGTACGGTTCTCCGACCAATCCGAGTTGTATTCAATGTGGCTCGCGACGATGACGCCATTTTCTTCATCCCGTTGCACGCACGGCGAGTGCACGTACGCCGGGTCCGTCATCTTCAGCGCGTCCCGCGCCCCGAGCTGCTCCAGGTACCCCACCGCCACCGTCATCGACGTCGCCACCGCTCTCACCGGGACGCTGAAGAACTGCGCATCGCTCGGAAACGCGCTCGAACCGTCGACGTCGACCGTCGGCCGCGGCGTCCCGCACTGATGCAGGACGTACGTCTTCTCCGCCGCCAGCGCGCCTCCGACGAGCGCCTTCGTGCGCACAACCTTGAACGTCTTCGCGTACGAGACGTTAAACGCCGCGCCCACGTCGTAGGTCGCCCGCGTGGATCCACCCGCGGTGGCGTCCGCGCTCAGACGATTCGCCGGTGGGAACCAATCGACGCCGCCGTCGCTCGAGGTCGCGCAGACGGCGTTATCGACCGCGCGCGCGCGCGCGACGAGGGCGAGGAGGACGACGAGGCGTGGGAGGAGTCCACGTGTGCCTCCGAGCATCGTCCCGGCGTCGGAGCGGGAGATGCGAGGGCCGGGGAGGCGAGACGTGCGGATGACGCGCGGAGGACGTCTTCGGGGGGCGGGGTTTGCAAACCCTGGATGGGCGAAGGCGAGAGCCCGGGCGCGACGGCGCGACGGGCGCGAGGGCGTCGGATCGGAGGACGACGGGAAAGATTTTGAATGGCAAACGAAAGTTTTATTTTATTGGTGTGATGCGAGAATCGCGCCGATGTAAGGGTAGAGGACGCGGCGGCGCTAATCCGCGAGACGTCGCTAGATAAATACGGAGGGCGCGGTCGATTCTTACGCCGTCTTTCCGGAGTGTTGGCCGTGCACGTAGTAGTGCTTACCCACGTTGTCGAGGTTTCCGAGCGTTGCCTTCCACGCACCGGCGTAGGTCATGACCTTGTAGTTGAGGTTCCACTTTTTCGCAAAGGCGACGAAGCGGCGAGATACCTCGGGCTGGCGGAACTGCGGCATGCTCGGAAAGAGGTGGTGGATGACTTGGCAGTTGAGGTAGCCCATCAACCAGTTCACCCAACCTTGACTCGGATCGATGTCGATCGTGTGATCGACGGCGTATCGAACCCAGGAGAGATGCTCGTCCGCGGGCACCACATCCAGGTGCGTGTGCGACGTGGAGAAGTGTGCAAACAGATAGCAGCCGCTCACCCAGCTCGTCGCCAAAAATAAGCCGTAGGACTGCATCGCGGTGAATCCGGTCACCGCCTTGATCGTCCACGTGCGGATGACGTGCGCGGCGAGCATCCACACCAACTCTTCGTACTTGCCACCCTTCAAAGCCTTGGAGGGGTGGAGGAAAAACATCCAGAAAAGGAGCACCAAGCCGGACGTCACGGGGATGAAGGTCCACGCCTGAAGGCGCAACCAGTACTTGCTAAAGCCACGGGGACGATTGTCTTCCACCGCGGTGTTGAAGAACGCCACCGCGGGGGTGGTGTCCAGATCCATGTCGTGACGAACCTTTTGAGGCGTCGCGTGATGCTTGTTGTGCATCGAGTTCCACATGTCGCCGCTACCGGCGAGACCGAACCCGGCTGTGAAGGCCTGGATGCGCTTGTCCCACCAAATGTTGCCCGTCAGCGAGCTGTGTCCGCCCTCGTGCTGCACCCAACCGCATCGGGCGCCGAAAAAGCAAGCGTACACGAGCACCGAGGAGACGACGTATCGAGCGTACATCAGGTACGTCCCGAGAGCGTACATCGCCGCGAGCTCGGCGAAGCGATACGCCACGTGCGCCGGAGAGGGCTTGAAGAATCCATCTCTCTCCAATTCTTTCCGCCACTTGGCGAAATCTTGGAGCATCTCCGCGTCGTCCACCTTGGCCGTCTTGGCCGGTCGAGACGGGAGCGCCGCCAAGGCTTTCCTCGCCTTTCTCGACCGATGATGAAACTCCTTGAACGCTTCCGTCGCGTCCGCCCCGGTGTTTGACAACGCATAGAAAATAACCGTTCCTCCCGGGTGCTTAAAATCCGTCACATCGTACTCCACCCCCTCGATCACGACGTACCGCCTCGCGAACGTCTTCGCCAGCGCCGCCGGCTCCATCTTCTCCGCGGACAGCTTCACGTTTGCCTCCGCCCGCTCGCGCTCACCGTCGAACGCGATCTCCACCGTGGGGATCCCATCGTTATTTTCCGTCTCCACGCACATGATCTCGCCTCCGCGCGACGCTCGACGAACCGCGGTCGCGCAAGATGTATTCAAAGACGACGATCGCGCGTCAACGTCACCGATCGTCTCGATCGATCGACGCGCTCGGTCTCGCGCGCGCGTGCGGGGCGGTGAAACCTCGGGAGAGGCGAGGTATGGGCGTCACGCGACCGCGCGTCGACGGTCGACGCGATCGCGCGCTCGAGGGCGACGACGGCGGGTGAAATGTGACGTTTGAGATATTCGGTCGAACTGGCGGCGTTTGGAGAGGTGTGGATCGCGCGCGGACGCGTTCGGCGCGAAGGCGACGAAAGTGACGTCTCTGAAGTGATCTAACGATTGAAATACGCGGCGAGTCCGCGCGTGATGGGGTTGGTTTTCGTCGACGGCGACGCAACGATCGGTGGAGGGGCGTTCTCGTCCGTGGAGGCGGAGGCGAGGGACGGCGCGGCGGCGGGCGGCGACGCGGCGACGCGCTCCGTCGGGTCGACGGCGATGGATGGCGGTCGGATGTCGGCGGTGGTGGGCGTTCTGGGCGTTCTAGGGATGCCGGCGGCGATGGCGAGCGCTTCACCGGGAGTTCGAGATCGCGGTGACGGTTGCGCCATCGGAGTGGAGGTGGAGAGGGTGGCCTCGAATCGCTCGCGCCAGTAGCGCGCGTCGCTCTGGTAGAGCGCGCGCGCGCGTCGCTCGTGTTCCAAAGCCTCGATCACGTCTGATGGCGCGTTCGGCTTGACTGGAGACGTACGGGGAGCCGCCGCGAGCTGCGCTCTGAGCTCCTCCACCTCGCGCGCGAGGTTCTCTCGCTCCTCGAGCGCTTGGTCGAGCCGCGCCTCGAGCGTCTGCGCCTTCTCCTCTGCCACGCTCGTCTCGAGCTCCGCCGTCGCCGCTCTCGCGTCCGCCAGACGGAGCGCAGCTGCGTTCTCAGTGAATATTTTGGATGCCGCCTCAGCGCGAGCGACGACGATATCGACTTTCCTTCGCGACTCGAGGATCTGAGACTCGGCTTCGCTCAGCGCTCGACTCAGCGCGCTTTCCGCCTCGCGAGACTTTCTCAACTCATCGTCTCGTCGCTCGAGCTGAGCCTTGAGCTCGACCATCGAGGCGATTTCAGTGGTCATTGTCGTCATCGACTCCTTCGTTTCTTCCATCGACGCGCGCGTGCGAACGAGTTCATCCTCGACTTGCGCGCGCGCGGCGGCGGCGCTTTCCGCGGAGGACTCTGCCATTTCTCGTTTCTTCTCCTCCTCGCTCAACAACCGACGGAGCTCCTCCAGCTCCTCTTGGATTTTCGAAGATATTGATGTTTCCGCGCGGGAGCTCGCGAGCTCGGCTCTCACGCTCTCGCACTCGTCGCGCGCCGCGTCCGCGCGCGCGTTTGACGCCTCGAGCGCCGCGCGCAAATCGTCGCGTTCACCCTCAATCTTCGATTTCTCTCGCGCCGCCGCCTCCGTCGCCGCCCGCACGCGTTCGTCCACCTTCTTCACCGCCTCCATCTCGAACTCTTCCCGCGCTTTCGCCAAAGCCTCCTCCCTCGCGCGCCGCGCCTCCGCCAGCGCCGCCGCCGAGCTCAGCGCCTTCCGCAGCGTCTCCCTCAATTCCGCCTTCACCCCGTCTCGCTCCTCGCGCACCACCGCCATCGCATCCATCTCCTTCCCCAGCGCCTCCTCCGCCGTCACCGCGCGCGCATTCGCGCGCTCTAACGCCTCCTCCCGCGCCTCCAGCGCCCGCTCGAGCCGCGTCACGTCATCCCCGAAACTCGCGTACGCCTTCGCCACCCGTCCCGCCTGCGCCGCCGCCGCCTTCAACCGCTCGCGCTCTTCGCGCACGATCTCACATTCGCGCTCGCTCGCCCGCAACCGCGCTCGCAGCGTCTCGAGCTCGTTCGTCGTCGTCGCGCCGTCGTGCACATCGTCCTCTGCGTCATCATCATCCGCCGTCGGCGTCCCGTCGACGCCCGCGTTCGCGCGCCCGGCCTCGGCGTCGACCGAGGACGATCGCCGGGACGCCGGGACGAACGACGGGGCGTCCGCGCGCACCATCGCGCGCGCGAACGGCGTCGACGCGCGCGGCGCGACGGGTCCGGGCGCTGTGCCGTCGCGTGCGCGGACGCGTACGGGGTTTCGTTTCTGACCCCACGCCCGTCGCGTGCGCGCCCGCGTATGGGGAACGTTTCTGACCCCACGCCCGTGACGTCACCGCATCGACGCCATCGCGACACACCCCGACGG